TCTAAGGATAGTGACTTTAGTGGTTCCTGTAAAGTTAAAACCAAGCAAACGAAGACCGCTCTCTGCGATGTTTAAAGCAACGTTAGGTAATGTGGGAAGAGCTCTTTTTCCTATGTGACAATTGGCCTCTATCGTTACTTTCTCGAATCTCACTTCCACTGTCGGTAGCTTTATTCCCACCCTGCCATAAATGTTAGAAACATCACATTAAAGAAGATAAAAAGTACAAATTCCAAAAACAGAATCACAAAAAAAAAACTATGCTGCATGAAGATTTTAAACAAGAGTTGAGGATCTTGCATGTATTAAGAGAAATAAAACATCGCAACACTTAAGGAAATATATTTTAAGTTGTTAAATTAATCAAACAGTCGATATGTCCGAGTGGTTAAGGAGATAGACTTGAAATCTATTGGGCTTCGCCCGCGCAGGTTCGAACCCTGCTGTCGACGTTTCTTTTTAAAAAATTTTTGTTCTCGACTCCCACCAATTTTGTATTATCAAAAAAAAAAAAAAACACTTTGCTAAATGGATGAGAAAAAAAACAAAAAACACTTTGCAAAATGCTAATTGATTGGTTGCATGCCTAACAAAAACAGTCGGACCAAAAATCTAGAATTATAATATATTTACTTCACCTGTCGATTCGATTCTTGAATTTTTTCAAGAACTTCTCGTTATCTTCGTCAGTGGCATTGAAGATAGAATCGATGAACTTCTGGCGATCATCAACTCCGAGCTTAGTGACGTCGACGAGATCTTCATGAGGATGAATGATAGTGGTACGAAGACGAGTAAAAGTTGGGAGTTTCTCGAGAGCTGCCCATTTAAGAGCTTCCTCGTCGTGATCATTGATGGTTGAACCGCTTCTCCTAGAGAAATGGCTGGTACTATGACTAGCTAACAGATCTCCCAAGCTCCTACTTAGGCTTCTCGACAATGTCTCCATTTGTTTTTGTTGGAGGGATTTTTGGGAATTGGCGAGAGAGAGAGAGGGAGAGGAGAAGAAGGCTTTTGTTTATTAATGCAGTTTTGATTTGGTGTAGCCAAAGAAAATATTTCGGAAAACAAAAAGAAAGCGTGAGGAATCTGAGGGTTGAGTGGGTGAGAGCAAGGACATGTGTATTAGTTTCTCTGTTTTGTTTAACAAATATTATCTATACGAAATCTGGTGAACTAGGGAATTATTTTTTACTATTTTTGGGATTTTCCCTTAAACTATAGTACAATACTCGTTTCTTTAACAACAGTAATAATTAAATATAAAATGTTTATTTTTTTTTGCTTTTTTTTTGGTTTTAAGACATTACATGCGTCGTGTTAACTGCCGTGACAAATGGAACTTTGAAAAAAAAAAAATACAAATTGTTTGATGTATGGTATTACACTTAACTTTATAAAGCAGCTCTAAAACTATTTATATTCCAAACTTATGTTTTTAAACAGAAATTCTTGAAATTTTTATCTTATTCACACTCGCTTGCTATTAAAAAGTTATTTGTGATCTAAGAATTATAGGGTTGGATTATATATGTGGTGTGTATACTAGACAAGAACAAAAAAAGCAGTATGCATGTACTTTAAGTTAGAAAATTAGGTTGATTTTTGAAAAATAAATACTCTATTTTACTATTTAATTTGTTATGTACCGTAAGGAATACATATGAAAAATCAAATTTATCCTCAGCTTCAAAAATAATTGGAAGTCAGTGTACTTACTAACATTGTGGTCTAAAAGAAGTAAGCAATTGGTCAAAAGACTCAAAAGTTAGACTTAACAAGTCTCTCGTAAGCCCTCAAAAATTGACTCATGTATGAAATTAACAAAGGAGCAAGTTGTGTGTCGTCTTGAGAAACCTTAGGACTGCTGTATATAAAGTTTGGTCAATATATCAAAAATACTTCACCATATATCTACGTCTGTGTGTATATTTAATAAAATAATTTATACTGTATATTATTATTTTGACACCAAATTTTTTTTATATAAGGTGAAACAACTGTATTTGGTGACCAGCTTGGTTTCTGATATGCCACTAGCTATATACGATATATGGATTTGGTGACCAGCTTGGTTCTGTTATGGGTGTGTAAATATGATAATATTATTTCATGAATATTAGATAACCAACTAATTGTACTTATAACATAAAAGCTGAAAATCCTTAAAATCAATTTCAAGGAAAGTAATCTATATTAGATTTCCTTCAGTAATTGATAGAGCAATCTATTTTATTATAGTAGTAGAAAAGGATTTTGAGAAAACAGTTAATCAACAAAGGTTACAATTTTTAGAAAAAGTTACTGTGTCTACAATGACTACTGTATTTTTTTTCAAATTATATATCCAAAATAATCAATTACCAGTTAAGTTACTAACCTTGGACCTTGGCTAATAGAATACTGACAATTGAATTACCAGTTAATTACCACCATTTGGTTTTTGTGGCCTTTCGTGTTTCGGCTTCTCTTCTTTCGTGACCCGTAGATATGTCGTCATGCATGTGTGTTCTTTATTTTTGTATAGGAACATATATGTATTTTTCACTATTAACATTCTTAAAATGCTGTTTAATTTAAACTCAAAAGATATGTACTCTTTATAACCAAACACTAGGATACTACGAGCGTACTAATCTCGACTCGATTCACCCCAATATTGAGGGTCAAAGCTAACTATATAGATACATCATATAAGTATTAAAGTATATATAGCTGTCTACATATTGTTTCTTTTACTTCAAACACTAGCTAGGAGATTGACTTTGGCTTCGATTAATCTTTCTTTTAGTAAATGATACTTATCGATATTAGATTTTGAACGTTAAGAGTAAATTGATCATATTATTTTATATTAGTGGTATGATGAGATTTGCACTTCACCAACTCAACTCTGTGCAACGTGTTTGGCGATGAATACAATAAACCAAACTTGTCAGGCTCAAAGGTCAAAAGATTTTGAAATTAATTAATCTCCATGGCCTCGACAGTTTAGAGGACCCAACACCAACATTAACAACTTTTTCTCGAGTTTTAGTAGCTTTTCACACTTTTAATGAGAGCACACGTCGATTACTTGAAATCATAATGTCACAGATTCGTCATCTGGACGTTAAAGTTTGGATACTTTTGTTTCTTTTTGCCCAGAGTTTAGAATTTGAGGCTTGAAGGAAGCTCCTGGGTCAAAGAAATAATGATTGTGAGGCCCAAAGAAGATATCGAGGCTTAGCTGAGCCTCAGTAGCCGTTATACAATACTGAACTATACAAGTGAATCCTTAAAATAACATCCAAACTTTTCAATGACCAAAATAATTTATCATATTTGAGTTCATTTTGCTGAAATGCATCCATTGTTAAGTCAACTTCCACAATTAAGTAACATTTTTAAATGAAGGAATTGGCATTTTTATCCAAAATATTCACAAAATATTGTTAAAATTGCGAATTTGGAAATTTTCATTTTTGTCTTAAAAATTTATTTTCGTTCATTCGATTATCTTGAGTTTGTGATTATGGCGACTGTATTTTAAGTCTAAATGCATAAGTTTTTGGATTTAGGATTTGTAAATTATGTTTGATAATATGTATACTGTATATGCTGTTTTATGTGTAGTTTGTTAAGCACAAAACGCTACGTTAATTTGAAAGAATCAAACTCCAGCTATCGTGTACTGAAATTAATATTAAAAAAAAAGTTCAAAGTATATTGCACTATCATTGATACAAAAATAACAATAGCTAGATACAATAAAGACGTTACGCCCTTATCCAATAAGAACATACAAATCATTTGAAGCAAGTCTTTAATTATACGTTACAAATCTTCTTTTAAATCAAACATATATTAAAGGAATCCATCTCACAAAAGCTTATGCCATCTAGATGTTCTTCGAGAAGACCTAATCTAACTAAATAATTGCATTTCTTATAAGTTTAAATAGATAAGCGATATTGTTGGATTATATGAGCTGTGTATCAATTGCGTATATGATTAATGATTAATTATGTCTATCAAATCACTTTTGCATATCGACTAAGGGAAGACGAACACACTAAAAGTCTAAAACCAAATCAAATAAGGGAAGAACATGAACAAATCCGCTTTCCATAGTTTAAGCTTTGAAAATCGAAAGAGATTTGAGTTAATAATATAGTCACTTTCACTCATAAAAAGAAGTTTTTATCAATTTTGACTCCTTGGCTTTTCGTGGATTGTGGCAGAGTTTGTTGTCTCGTGACTAACTAAAAGAGTTCAAGCTAGTGAAAACTACAAAAGAAGAGTTGAAATATTTAAACGTAACAACTAACAAGTGGAAAAGAGAAAATTAAAACAATTTTTTTAGAAAAGAAATTAAAAGAGAAAAAAAAAGTTAACCTTTTGTTTTCTTTTCTTTTGCTTTAAGGAAAGAGCCAAACAGCTTGCTCGCATTGGCTCTTTTACCGGCTTTATGATGTACAACCGAGTTTTTTTCTTCTTTTCAGATAAAAGTTTGTTTTTCTCTTCTTATACATACATGCACGATTATATTATTACATGCAAATTAAATATAATTTTTTTTTTTCATATCTATAATAATTGAAATGCAAAATAAAATTCAATGAGATTATACGCATATATACTTTGTAAGTATAACTCTTCAAACACAGTATCAATCCGGCCGAAATTGCTAAGATGAGACACAATCATCGGTTGGCCAATGACATGTACATTAGTACATACGTGTTCCTCGATCTACTCTACGTGGATTTGGTTTCCGGTCACGTCCTCCTCACATACGCAACCAAGATATATATAGCGACGTTTTTGAATTTATTGTTTGATAAACACACGTTACAAAATTAAAAATAACTAATGTTCCCAATAGATTTGAGGAAAAATACACATAAGGATGATTTATAATTTCTATTGATTTAAGTGTCGAATGTTTTTATCTCATCAGTTGCATATTTCGTAAATTCAAAGAAGATACTCTTTAACAATCCATTACATTTTCTAAATGAATGTAGAAAATGGTCACCCGAATAATTTCTTTTATTCATGATAATCTAGTTTTATCAAGAAACGAGAAAATAATCTCACCTTCTCCAACCAAGAATATTAATTATTACAAATTCCGAACTAAATGAGGCAAAAAGAGAGAAAAGCATTTAGGAAGAGAAATATAGAGAAATATTAATTGGGTGAGAACTCAATCATCTTCTTCTGCTGATTCAAGTTCTTATAAAACTTCTTTATAAACGCATCCGCTGCTTTGTCAACATGTCCGTTAGTCACGTCACCATCTTCCCGTAGCGGAAACGGTGAGTCCGTTACCCGTAAAGGCCTCACGGAGGGGCTACTCCGTCCAAACCCTGGCAAGTAAGGAGATAACGTCGTCAAGGCCTCGATGGACAAAGCCGCAGGCGTGTTGCTTCCCTGCTGGTCATGATCTCCGACGCCGTTCAGGAGCTCTAGTACGGCTCTGGAGGAGGAAATGTCGTCGTCGAGGGTCGGTGGTGCATGACCACAAGAGAAGAGGCTGTTGTGGTGACTCTTCTTCTTGAAAGCGGAAATGTTAAAGGGGAATGAGTAGTTAGGAGTGTCGCTGCAGCTAAACTCGTATTCTTTCCGCCGCGGCTGGGACGTGACGGTGGTGGAGGCTGCTGGGACGCGGCGACGGTTGTGGAACATGAGATTCTTACCACGTTTGAGAGTGGCGTTAAAGTCAGCGAGGAGCTTTTGCTTTGAAATGCCTTTGTGTAACATGTACATGACAAAACGTACGATGTTCCATAGCTTCTTGCTTATTGGTATATTCTTCTCCATCTTTAGAATCACAGAGATAGAGAGACAAGGAGATTATTGTTTTTTTTTTGGCTTTGATATTTGCTTATGGACTAAGGATCAATGTGTGTAGGATTTATATAGAGGAGAGAAAAAGACAGACTTTTCTACGAAAGAAGTACTTAAACGTGGAACATTACACAAACATTTTTAATATGTTGTTAATTAGCTTTAGGATTTCAATTACCCAAATAATGCAAAAGTAAGGAGAAAATTTTGAATTCTTTTTATCAACTTTAGTTGTACTTTAGATTGCACTATGTATTATAGCCATCTATATTTGGATATTAGGTCGTGCTTTCCTATATATAAATAAATTTGCATACATACAAAATTTAACTAGTGGAGGGTTTTTTTTAATAAGATGACTTGGCTTTCTACTATGATGGTATATACGCTTTACAACTACATCTTTTTTTTATTTTAAAGGTTCTTTTTTTATGAAAAGGATTGAATAAAAACACTATAGTATTGGGACTGTGGCTAAACCTTTTATCTTTATAAACTTAACTTTCTACTTTGTCTGAAAAGTTTAAACCCTTCACCAGATAGTTACCATTGGTGGAATGAGTGCCACAAATTTAGGCCAAGGAAGAAAAAAAAAAAAAATTTGTTGATAAAGAAATTTCAATAAAGAAATGCAAATTTCAACCCAACTCTATACAAATTTCTGTAGTTACTCTTACCCCTAATATTATAATCAGTTAGTGAAATTTGCAAAGTTTGGTATTAGGATTAATCCTATCACGAGATGAGAAAAGAAGTATAGAAGGGTTTGGGTTATACGGGTGTATACATTTACCTGCACAATGAATCTACAAATTCTCGTCCGTCTCCAACTCGTTTGGTACTATCAGCCTCCCCATGTAAGTCTGTATACGCAGAGAAGAAAATTCCATCAAACCTTGAAAAGATTTATCTTAAAAGACATTATAACAATTTGATTAATTAACCATTATTAAACCTAAAGCCAAAATGTGACTATGATTGATGATTGTGAAGCAAAAAAAAAAAAAGGGTGAAGGAGTCTTAACCTTTATCTTGACAGCATCAGATGGAGAAGGGTTTAAATCCAAAGCAATGCCGAAATGTAACACAGCTTTGTCATATAGTTCTAGTTGATTGTATATTTTGCCAAGCAAAGCATGGACACTGCTCTCTTGAGGAGCACATTCTTTCAGCTCTTCTAATTCTTTCTGGGCGTTGTGATAATCACCTAGGCTGGCTAATATGTTAGCCTTGTAGTACTTTGGGAGCGGATTTTTCGCATCAGTGAGTTTAGCCTTCTCCATCATCTTCAACGCCTCATCATTCCTCTGCAAAATATTATCTCAATCTTATGAGATATAAGTAAGACTTGACGTGAATAGTATATATCAGGCACCAACCTTTGACTCATGCAAAGCAATTCCATTGTAACACATGATGACTGAAGATCTTGGATTTATTTTTAGAGCCAGTTGAAATTGGTGCTGGGCAAACTCGAATTTCTCCTGATGAAGGTAGGTCATTCCAAGACCGTACCAAGCATTATAGTGTCTTGTATCTATGCTCAGTGCCCTCCTGTAGCATCTCTCTGCATCCTCATATTCTTCCAATGCAGCAAACCTGTGAAGACAAGGTGAGACCGTATGCTATTACTTTACATGCATGGTTATATGCAGAGTAAGACAAACAGAGAGACACATCGAAAAGAATTATACTCGTGACCACAAAGGGTATGCGCATATGTGAATCTTTCATTTAGTTGGATAGCTCTCTGAAACATTTTCAGAGCAGAATCATGGTCCTTACGCAAACTGTAGCAGTTCCCAACAGCACACCTGCAATTCACATTGCTACCACAGTCATTACAGAAAAATAATCCAAAAAAAAGAAAAACTCTGCAGTTTCAGATTTTGAGATAAGCTTGTGACAAAAGCTGGTTTCTATTAACAGTTTGTGGTTAAAGCTCTGGGTATAAAAGTCTTGATACAGACATATGTGGTTGATCATGCAGGTTTGTGAAACGAAGTTGGGAGAGCATATTGTTAACGGAGATTCTAAGAATGATACCAGGATTCTGGAGATTGGCGGTCAACTGAAATCAGCTCCTGAGCCAGATAGCCCAACCTCATTTCTTCTTTCAGGTGCTTCAGAAACAAAGACACGAAATCACTGAAAGTCAAACAATAACATAGAAGTCCTTGCAAGTCGATTCCAAAATCAAGTTCTAAATGCTGACATCGCAACAGTAACTTTCACAGTCAACATCATGTTCAAATGTTAGTTTGGGGACAATTCATGATAAATTGCAGGAAATTTTGTAAATAATGACAATAACTCACATAAAGAACCGTCGAGTACGTATCCATTCCTTCCAAAGCATAAGAATACTTTTGATGAGCAAGAGTAAAGACAGAGTCAGCATTGAAGTAGTCTTGTAGCTCAAAATATGCTTTTCCAACCTGTGTCAAAACGTTTCTCATTTTTAGTTCAGCGCCAACAAAAGGAAATTAGAAAAGGGTCAATGAACTAATGATATGATCATTTAAGCTGGCTTAAATTTCCAATAAAACAGCCCTCAGGAAAAGCTACTCCTATTATCACCTGCGAGAGAACCCATTGTGTATTGTATTGTTTCAGAGATAGTTTCTGAAATACCAACAAAGCTTCCTGCAGTAGTATCCAATTTTGTTATTTTGGCTTATCGATAGTTTAACTATTAGGCAGATAATTTAAATTGAAGAATATGAACCCATACGCACATTCTCTTAATAAAGTACCTGACAATTGTACATAAGTAAATGCCTGTGGCCATCTCCAAGAATTTTCAGAAGGCTTAGCACTTCCGAGATTCCAGAAATGAGGGTGGACCTATCAGGGGAAGATTCACTAGGATTTTTATTTTCCTCATCATCAACAGAGCTTCCAATGTCACTTATAGACTGGCCTGACGTCGTTGCTGAATCATTTAAGAATAACGGTATCAGCAACCGCCGGACACATATGGCCAAGTTTTATTGTCAATTTGTCATGTAAATATTTACATAATTTATAGAGATCTAACTTTCTCCTCAAAAGGATTCAAAAGTTATAACCAGTAGATGCTCTGTAGCTCGGTCGAGAAGACATTAAAAAAATATATATATATAAGAGGAAAATATTACCTTCCTTGCTGCTTTGGATTCTGCATTTTTCAATCATCGATGAAAGAGAAGGTACACAGTTTGACTCGGAAGGTGAAAGTTGCAACCGATGGGAATCTTTACCAAATGACTGCGACATAGGAATCTTTTTCCTTGCTGCTATTCTAGCACTACGGCGACGCCCAGACCCTTCTGGAGCCTTCAAGATAGGGGAAGTAAAAGAAGACCAATAAATCAAGTAACTTTAGATTGTCCAGCCATAGAGTTAGAAGACATAAACAAGATGGAGAAGCTTTATGTTAGAATATTTGCAATGCTAGATGATCATTGTTCGCATATGCAATAATGAGAAAACGCTTATGCAAAGAAAACACGGATTGAAAGCACTTAAAGCTCATTTCAGATATAAAACCTCTGCTGACATTTCTTCACTGAATTTTATCCCGCGCCCTCCATGTACAGACATCAAAGATCCTTCCACTGCTGGACGAAACCTATTCTTATGAAGCAGAGGTGGTGGGGCATCCAATACCTAAACAATATATATACTTAGAGATAAGGAAGCATCTTACAAACTTCTCATTACCTTATGAAAGGAAATATAGCTCATGAAGCAGATTATACACATTTCAACAACTGAGGATTTTATGCTAGCAACAGTAACTAATACTTTTCAATCTAGCTCGAGTTAATTATATCACCTGTGAAATCACTGGAGAAGGTGTGTTCAAGTCCCATCCATTAGTACTAAGTTGCCTGTCAGTATCTGGCGGAATATCTGCTCCAAGCTGCCTAATTTTAAGATCTTGTTGGTTCTCTCCTGGCACATGTTCTGTTCGCCATAAACCTGTATCTTTTGAGGCCTTATCAGAATCTGTAAGACGGTCTGTGTTTGCACCTTCTGAGAAGTTTTTACTTTGAGTGACACAAGTTTCCTGAAGACGCTGCAATGCAACATTTCCAAAAACTGTTGAAGCTTCTTCAGCAGCACCTGAAAAGGTAATCACAGAACGCAAGAGAAATAAATATTTTGCCCCATATTTCCAGATGGACTAACCCAAACATAAACTGATAAATACATAACTCAGACGGAGCTTTCACTTACCTAAACTACAAAGTTCTCTATATGCTTCCCAACAAAATGGATCCACTGATAATGCCATCCTAAACTGTTCTATTGAACTGTTCTTCCTCCCAGCATATCTGGAAGCATGTAACAAAGAGTACCACACGTCAGTAGCTAACACCATCAGCCTTAGCAAATGAAACATATTGAGGGTTACAGAAAAATCCATATAGACTGTCAATATTGTTGTTTTTCTCTCTTTGGGATTTGTATTCTGAAGCATACATAGACTAAAGATGAAGTGCAGCCAGCATAGGAAAGTTGTTCCATTACAGTAAGAGATGCAGCAAATGATTAAAGCTTATTACAGCATCAGTATACCAAGACAGAGAAGTACTAAACATATAAGCATACGGGAGCCAACAATATCACATATAGAATTTCCAAAGAAAAAAAGCCGTCACCTATATACAAGACCAAGAAGATAATGCCCAGCTGCTCCACCAGGAACCTGCTTTAAAAAATATGCAGAAGTCACTAGTGAGAAATTGCCAATTTTCACAACCAAAAGACAGTAATATCCATATTGATATCGAGAATTTTTTATAAGTAATGCAATATACTTCTTCAACATAATCTTCACCAGGCAACAATGCGGCTTCAGCCTCTCCAAGAAGATCCAACTTAAAACATGAGAATGCAAATAAATACCGAGACTGAGGCGTTTTTGAACCTTTGATTTCAAAATGTAAAACAAAGTTTAGTGTTTCCAAACAGATGTAAAACAATATATGAGATGTTCAAATATAGCACAGTTATGGAATAACGCAAGTACCTTTGAGGATGTAATAAGCACTATAAGCTTGACTATTACTCAAATAACACCTAGCTAACAATTGCAGGTTCACCTGCATAAATGAAGAAGGTCAATCATCAGAATCACATAACAAGGAAGAACTAAGGAATGTGAAATTCTGAGTCAAACAAATCTCAACTGAAACATAACATAGAATTCCAAAGTGGACAATCTGACCACAAAATAAACAACAGATACATGATTGAGAAGTCGAAGAACACATACTCCAATTTGAAAGAAAACAAAAAAAAACTAAATGCCGGAAGAAAATTCACAAAATAAAGCCGGAATCATAAATTCATAATACAGTTCAGTCAAATTGAACTGCATCCCACCGGAGAAATCATAAATCAGGCCCTCTCGATTCCACTTCCTTAGAGCCAAAACAAACAAAAAAAAAACCCAGAATCCGCCTCCGCATAAATCGAGAATTGTCAATTCAGAAACAAGTGAAAAAAATCTCCCTTCCAAAAGAGACAATGCTAGTAAATCAGATCAAACCGGAAGAGAAACAGAAATGAAACAAAAGAATGTGATCGAAGCTACGATTTGGAAAAATCGAAATTGGGAATACCTCAGTGGGGAATTCAGCAAGAAGACGTTCGCAGAAGAAGATGGCATTGGTGAACATGAACTGGCTAAGGTTTCTCTCGACACAATTGGCCAGTAGATTCTCCATTTCTGATGACCAGATTGATTGACGAGACAATCGGATGTCCTCGGAGGCTGTGTAAGTAAAAAATGTCTCTCGCCTAGCAAATCGCGCGCCGCTAAAGTATTTCAAAAGCTTGACCTTTCTCACGCGACGAGCGTGTGCGTTTTCTCTGACCCAATAGTGCCCCCCAGCTCCTTTGGCGGACACACCACCACAAGACCGCGTTTGGCGTTTTTAGAAACAAATCACGTTTTAGAATAGATGTGAACCTGCACACTGCGAAATAAATAAATTTAGAACTCAAGGTTCTCGAAATTGAGATTCGCAAATGAAAATATTATACTTAATAAACCACTAGTTTGCGCTAATAACAAATCAAAACGCAATTTGAACTGTATGGTTTCCACATCAAACAATTCACGATGAAAATGACAATTTGAATCGAACTAACGTCGCAATTTTCTTTTATATAACCGTTAGAATATAAAAGACGCGGCAATTTTTATTTTACATCTTCAAAACGGTGTTGTATTCTAGCTTAACTATTTTCTTTTATTTTTGGGAAAGAATTTGTCAAAATTTTCTCAAGATCTCTCTTTAAATTTTTATTTTTTTGAACAAACAAGATCTCTCTTTAATTAAGTTAAGGGATATGCTGCCAAAAAAAAAGTCAAGATGCATTCATGTTAATAGGAATCTCACATTTTAAGGATGCTAACTATGCTGGAGATTTGTGTTTATGTCATCAATTCACATCCCCATACTGCTTATTTATTAATGAGAAAAATTACAACTCTAATTAGCTTACAAACATTTGATTTGACATCATGGTGGATGATTGAGGATATTTGATTGTAGTTTTACCCTTCATCCCAAGTGCCACTCAATTTTATATGTTGAAGAAAAGCTTATGGGCCGAAAACTTGCAGATTGGCCCAAGTTTAGTCGATCGCGGCACTACTGTGCAAACGCGAGGCTAATTTCGTCATTCCCTCGCAAGGCGCTTGAATTTAGCGATTTTTAGAATCTTGGTTCTAGGGTTCCATTTCCTCCCCTCCGCGCCCATAAGCTCGAAGCTGAGCTTTTTTTTTCTTCAGGGATTTCGAAAGCGTGAATAGGAACACCATCATCATCATCTGCATCCTCAGGTTTGCTCGATCTCTCTCTCTCTCTACCCATCTATTAGATACCGTAGTTACTCTTATCTGCTTACGTCTTCGATTATTAGCGTGAATCTTACTGCCCTCTTGTTTGATTGAACGATTCGAGTTTACAATCAAGTCCGGCAACTCTAGATCTTCTCGAGCTTGTTCTCATTTTTCTAGCGATTACTACTATTAGAAACTCTTACATTAGTTTTCATTCATAGCGAGGAATTGGCTTGAACTATGAAATTTTGATTGAGCGGATTAGAGTAGCGTAAGTGATGTTGATGAACTTTTTGATGTAAAACAAATTGATTGTTGTCTTTGCAGGGAGATAATAATACTTTGTTGAGTAGAGATGAATACTACAGCTCACAGGACTCCTAAATCAGGGAGGCAATCTCTGCTTTTTCAAGATTTAGCTTCTCCTGTTTCAGCACGCAGAGGGAAATTCTCGAGCCCGGGCCAAGCAGCTGCGGTTTCTGCACTATGGCGTGAGAATTTTGGAGGGTCGGATCTTCCACCTCCTCCGATGAACACTTTGGATGACTTGTCAGACTTTTCTCCTGAGTCAGGTATTGCGGACTACTCAGCGTCTCCAGATGTCAAATCTGACAGAAGAACGCCTTTCCAGAGTTCTGGGAAAAATATTGTAACTCCTGGTAAAGGAAAGTTGGAAGCAAGCCCCTCTTTTTCTCTACTGAATGCACAACAGAGTCAGCAAGTTTCAGGGAGTCCGAGTTGGTGGTCGCAGCCAAAGGCAGGTAGTAGTATGGAGCAGGATGATAAAGGTAAGGGATCTCCAGTAGAAGGTGTGGTTCAGCCAGGTGCATTGGTCACTCTTCCACCGCCAAGAGAAGTTGCTAGGCCAGAGGTTCAGAGGCAGATCATACCCACTGGAAACCTTGATGAGGAAGAGTGGGTCACTGTCTATGGGTAAGATCACTTAAGCTATATCGCTCTTTTCACCGTTTATCTGTAGTATTGCTTTGGTGTTGCAAATGTTCTTGATTTTTTCAACATTCTTGTGGCTCTGAAATTTTAGTTACATGGTTAGTAACTGGTATATTGGTACTTGGTAGTGTTATTTAGTGCCTTATCTTGTGTCTGTCCCCCATGTTTTTAATCTTAGAGAACTATTCATAATTATATGCTGTATTTACCTCTTCATTTGCCAACCATCATGTAACTATGAAATTCTAGGTGCACCAAGTACTTGAATTATGCTAATGATGCTCAAATACCAACTTTAGATTGTGATTTTAGTTTTGGGAATTGGAATCCTGACTCTTTACATTGATAATAACTTTAGGAAGTGCCGTGTCTTGTGTTTGTCTCCCATCTTTTCCCATCTTTTCGATCTTAAGAACTGATCATGATAACTGCTTTCAGATTTTCTCCAGGTGATACAAATTTGGTACTACGGGAGTTTGAAAAGTGTGGTATGATCTTGAAACATGTTCCTGGTCCAAGGAATGCTAACTGGATGAACATCCTCTACCAGGTTACTCTTCTTCCCTTCAAATACATTTGATGCATGATGATAAGCATTCATAGTCATTCTAGACTGGTCATCATACATGATAATCTAATCAGATCTTCTTTATGAAAGAAATAACGGATCTGAACAATGGTCTGTGTATTTTATGCAGAACCGGTCTGATGCACATAAAGCGCTGAACAAATCTGGGATGATGATTAATGGAGTGGTTATAGTAGGAGTGAAGCCAGTAGACCCGATACAGAAGCAAGCGTTAAACGAGAGACTTAACAACCAAGGATTCATGCCTTTACCTCCACCATCATCCACTAGGGACACTGCTCGACCCTCATCACGTCCTCAGTTCTTGCAAAATGGTAGCGCTGCTTTCCCCGCTCAACCCAGCAGTGGTGCTATGGCCTCCCCATCTAAGTCGATGGTCTCAAAGTTCTTAGACTTGATGTTCAGTGTTTAAAGCTTCTTTGGTTGTCATTTCCCGAGTGGTTCATCTTTACACAAGATTATATGAAGTTTGAGAGCAGAGTGGCTAGGTAAATTTTAGAGCATGATCAAAATTCAAATTGTAACGTGTTTCCAAAATTTGTCTTTGTATTGACGACAGCTAAAATTCGGTACAAATCTGATTATAAAATATAAAAGATCTCGCCCCTTCTAGCTGTTTTATTGTTGTTTGTATTTGAGCAGACTGAGGTCATGCCTCGTGCAGAACGAACCACCATTACGAATTCTTGAAAGACACTGATTACATAGTCGGACCTGAGAAGCCTCACGAGCAGTGTTTTGAACTTGCACTAGAAAGCTAGTCACGTGTCTAGCATGTTTTGTGCTTATATATCCCGTCTGTGGCGTGGTTCTCGTGTAAGGAATTAATTGACGTTACAAACTCACAATGGCGAAAGCAGCAGAGCAGAAACAAATTTCGACCGTTGTGATTGAAGAAACGAAGCTTGACATCCGCGACGTGGTCCACACAGCCACCACTTACGGCGAGGATAACTACCACGGCGGTGGAAGACGCAATGACATGGCAATGGTTGCCCTCAGAGCTATGTGCATGGCCGTATCGGCAGTTGCTGTGACTTTAATGGTGACAGCCCGCGAGACTAGCATGACCTCTCTCTACGGTTTCGAGTTTCAGCTCCATGCCGTTTGGTCTCTCTCAGATTCTCTAATGTAAGCCGAATTCCAAATTTCATTCAAAACCATGAGTGAGTAATAACTAATAAGTGAAATATTTTTGTTCACGTGGCATTCGATACATTAAACAGATATCTAGTGGTGGTTTCATCGGCGACGGTTCTTTACTCGTTGTTCCAACTGATTACTAGTGGAACTAGACTGATGAGAAAATCTCCGGTGATTCCGACAAGAACACAAGCATGGTTTTGCTTCGTTGCGGATCAGTTATTGGGATACGCGATGGTGAGTGGAGGATCTGCGGCTTTGGGAGTGACGAATATGAACAGAACAGGAATAAGACACATGCCTCTTCCAAATTTCTGCAAATCTCTCGGTTTCTTCTGTGACCACCTCGCCGTCTCCGTCGTCTTTGCCTTATTCGCGTTTCTCCTCCTCGCCGCTTCTTCTGTTCTCGACGTTCTCTGTCTCTCACGCGAGAGTCACTAGACCCAATTTTTACTGTTTTACCTTCTGTACTTCAATGTTGTTTCATCATTACAATAATCATCTGTGTTGATTTTTGGAATTGTTTGTTTGTTTCAATCGATGTCAGCTAAAATCTTCGAATTCCGAAGTTGTTTTGAAATTATGTTGACCAAGTTTCATATAAACGACAAAATAAAGTATGCTTTTTAAAAATAATTCAAAAGCAACCGCGTCACGATTAGAGAACGCCTACTTTTCGCGACTGGGTTTGAAAGTTTAAGTTAAGAGCCAAATGGGCTTAACATTGGTTATTGGGCTTTAAGAAGCCATTTTACAATACCACGGTTCTGTGTTCTCTGTTTCTTTTCTTCTATCTCTTTAGACTGGGAAATGAAGCTCGTTTCGACGTTTTAATGGCGATCAATCTGTTCACTTCCTCATGTAAGTTGAATTCATCACTACTTTAACTCGAATTGTATCATGGCTTGTCGTTTCCCTCTACCTTCATCGCCACCTTCTCAATTCCTTTCACCGGAAAACCGTCAGAGAATCCTGAGATTGCCCAGAAATTACCCATCAATTTCATGTCAAAGCAATTCAGCTACGAATGATGTTCATGATGATGATGGTGGTGAGAACGAAAAAGCGAAATCAAGCCGAGTCAATCTTCTCGCTATACCCATTACACTCACTGTAATCTCCGCTTCTCTGGCCCAACCGTCACTTGCTGCGGCGAAGGTATCGGAGAGAAAGAAATCTCAGAAGAAAACTCAGGAGGCTTTGACTCTTGAGCAGCTTAAAGCTTGGTCCAAAGATCTGCCTGTTGTTTCCAATCGTATACCTTACACTGACATTTTAAGCTTAAAGGCTGAAGGTAAGCTCAAGCATGTCATAAAGCCTCCTAATTTAACTTTGCGGCAAAAGGCAGAGCCTGTGTTAGTAGTTTTGGAGGATTCTAGAGTACTGAGGACTGTGTTGCCTTCTTTAGAGGGTAATAAGAGGTTTTGGGAACAATGGGATGAGTTAGGGATCGATGTTGCGTGTGTTAATGCTTATAGCCCTCCGGTTAAGAGACCTCCTATTCCGTCTCCTTATCTAGGATTTTTGTGGAATGTGCCTGCTTATATGTTAACGTTGGTTAAGCCAAGAAGAGTCGAAACGTGCTGCTGAACTGAAGAAAATGAGGGAGGATTTCAAGAGGCAGAGGAAGGAGGAGCTTGAGAGGATGAAAGAGGAAAGAGAGATGATGGAAAAGACTATGAAGGCGCAGAAGAAACAACAAGAGAGGAAGAAAAGGAAAGCAATTAGGAAGAAGAAATATGAGGAATCTTTGCGTGAGGCGAGGAGAAATTATCGAGATATGGCTGATATGTGGGCAAGATTAGCTCAGGATCCTAATGTGGCTACAGCTCTTGGATTGGTGTTCTTTTATATATTTTATCGTGTGGTGGTGCTTAACTATAGGAAGCAAAAAAAAGATTATGAAGACAGGTTGAAGATCGAAAAGGCAGAAGCAGATGAGAGGAAGAAAATGAGGGAATTAGAGAGGGAGATGGAAGGAATTGAGGAAGAGGATGAGGAGGTTGAAGAAGGAACAGGGGAGAAAAATCCATACTTACAGATGGCAATGCAGTTCATGAAATCAGGCGCACGTGTGAGAAGAGCATCAAATAAGAGGTTACCTGAGTATCTGGAGAGGGGTGTGGATGTGAAATTTACAGATGTTGCTGGGCTTGGGAAGATTCGTCTTGAACTCGAGGAAATCGTTAAGTTTTTTACTCATGGAGAGATGTACCGCAGGAGAGGTGTCAAGATTCCAGGTTTGATGTTGTGACAAATTCCGTTTTATGTCACCAAGTATTTGGTATGAGCTTATTTGACCAAGTATATGACCATCTCTTTAATTTCGTGTTTTTCTTCAGGTGGTATTCTTTTATGTGGGCCTCCTGGGGTGGGAAAAACTCTACTAGCAAAAGCTGTAGCTGGTGAAGCAGGAGTGAATTTTTTCTCGATCTCTGCATCTCAGTTTGTGGAAATATATGTTGGTGTTGGTGCTTCTCGTGTTCGAGCATTGTACCAGGAAGCTAGAGAGAATGTGAGTCTTGTAATTTTTCTTGCATGTGTTAAGTGTGGAACTTAATTCTCCCCTTCAGTTGCATTTATTAAATAGTAAAGCATATTACCTCTTGGCTGATTTTTTAATGATTCTCCCATTTGTATCGTGAGGATCCAGTCTATTTCCAGATGCTAATATTTAGGTGGTCTCTCTGCAGGCTCCATCTGTGGTCTTCATTGATGAACTAGATGCTGTTGGAAGGGAACGTGGGTTGATAAAGGGTTCTGGAGGACAAGAAAGGGATGCCACACTTAATCAGGTTCCAAACACTTTAGATTGTGTAATAGTTTTCTTCTTTCTACATGATGAAAATTTATTCGTTTTTTGTGTGTTGCAGCTCCTTGTTTCTTTAGATGGTTTTGAAGGAAGGGGAGAGGTCATTACCATCGCTTCCACAAACAGACCAGACATTTTAGATCCTGCCCTTGTGAGGCCTGGAAGGTTTGACCGCAAAATCTTTATCCCTAAACCTGGTCTTATTGGACGGATGGAAATTCTGCAGGTAATTGCTTGGTGTATGTGTTATTGTATTCTTAAACTTGTAAATTTGCAAAAGGTGTTCTGTAACGTTGAGTTTTGTCCTTCGGTCCAAAGCTATATCTTTGTTTTGGTTTGGCTGTTTAGGTCCATGCTCGTAAGAAGCCAATGGCTGAAGATTTGGACTACATGGCAGTTGCTAGCATGACAGATGGCATGGTTGGAGCAGAGCTTGCTAATATCGTCGAGATAGCAGCAATTAATATGATGCGTGATGGAAGAACAGAGGTGAATTTAATATTTTTAGTCCCAATTGGTTACATCTGCTTTTGCTTCCGGATGTGTTTGGTTTTGAATGTTAGGATCGTGTACCATATGGTAACATAGTGTGTGTTTAATTGGATTAAGCTCTTGGACGTCGTGCTCGAGAAGCTGCGTAGGCTAATAATAAGTTGAGAAGTTTATTACTGATATCAGCAAGTAAAAGACTGAGAAATCATATATTCTCTGTAACTCTAATGCAGTTGACAACAGATGATTTGCTTCAAGCTGCACAAATAGAAGAAAGAGGAATGTTAGATAGAAAAGACAGAAGCTCTGAGACATGGCGACAAGTTGCTATAAATGAAGCTGCTATGGCTGTTACAGCAGTGAATTTTCCTGATATGAAGAATATAGAATTTGTAGGTTTCTAAAATCTTTCTTCCCCCTCCCCTTACTAACATCGAAGCTTCAACTTTTTGTTCTACCGCATTGTGACATTGTGATGACTTTGACCAGCTGACGATCAACCCTAGAGCTGGTAGAGAATTAGGTTATGTCCGCGTGAAGATGGATCATATCAAATTTAAGGAAGGCATGCTTAGGTTCGTAGCTTTAATCATTCAGATTTACTTTCTTGATTACACACAGGATTTTTACGTTAATCTATGTCCTTTCATTGTCTATATGCAGCCGACAATCCATCCTGGATCACATCACTGTTCAGTTAGCACCTCGGGCTGCAGATGAACTGTGGTATGGTGAGGATCAGGTGAGACATATGATCCCCTTTAACCATGGCACTGCATCAGAAACTTCATCTAGATATATGATCTGTGAATTTCCTTTTCTCCAGTAGTGTTTTTTAGTTACCAGTCTTTGCTAATGATTTGTTCCAGCTAAGCACGATATGGGCTGAAACATCGGATAATGCAAGATCAGCTGCTCGATCATTGGTTCTTGGTGGTCTTTCTGATAAGCATCATGGCTTGAATAACTTCTGGGTGACTGACCGAATTAACGTAAGGCCATATCTTAAGTTGTACTCGCTTCAATTTCCAATAAACAAGTCTCATATTTGAAGACTTGGGTGTGCAGGATATTGATACGGAGGCGTTGCGGATTTTAAAGATGTGTTATGAGCGTGCTAAAGAGGTAAAAGAGACTTCTAAATCGACTAAATCTGTATAACAGCATCTCCTTTATATTGGGTCTGTTAAAATATAATTAACAAAATGCATACACCAGATTCTTGGAAGGAACCGGACGCTCATGGACGAGGTGGTACAGAAACTGGTTCAAAAGAAAAGTCTTACGAAACAAGAATTCTTCACTCTTGTTGAGCTCTATGGCTCCATTAAACCAATGCCACCAAGCATCCTTGAACTCAGGAAAATCAAACGGCTTGAGCTAGAAGAGACAGTGATGAAACTGGACATGACTACCTCGAGAAACAGTTCATAAGATGATTATATTTTGGAGAAGAAAGACACAGTTCGGGGCAAACGTAGGGTATAAACAACAAACATAATTATGAAAACCAATTAGAGGCAATGAGCTTGATCTTTTGTATTTCCTCTGTAATCTTTTAGTGTATGTTAGATAATTCTTTGAGCTTCAATAGTAATTCCCCTTTCATCCATATCGAAGGAATGGTCAGTTTTGAAAAGAAAAGAAAAAACCATAAGTTAATGAATGTTCAGACATGTGTGACACGAACCAGTGATGTAAAGCATGGGCTTATTTAATCTAGAAAGGAATTTGATCAGAGACATTGAAAAATGGCACATGGATAATGTATGATTTTTTGGGATATGCCTTTTAGGTGAAATAGCAAATTGATGAGAATCAAAATCAAGAGTCATTAGGTTGGTCGATAAACACATAAAAACTATTTGATTATATTACAAGGCATATAACATTTGACTTGCAAGATTTGACAACTAAATGATATTTACGTGTTACCAATTTTAATTCTTTTTACTAAACCAGATTACCAAATTACTTACATAATCTCCTCATTGGTTACCTTAATGGCTTAGTCTCTATTATTGATCTCCCCCACCCATCTTATTTTATTTGCAATTCTCATATTAAATAAACTCTGTAAATAGTTTCAACACGATTCCATTGGGTTCTGTCTTCTTAATTAGGTGCCAAAGTAATTATACAACGGTAGAAACAAAAAAAATAAAATAAATTGAATTCGTCAAAAGAAATTGACAAACAACAAAAGAGGTCCACAACGGCAATATTTGACTCGTCTCTTCTCTCTGGTTGCTCGTTTCAATTAAAGTATCTATATATAGTTAACCTAAAAATAAACACGCTTCAAAATACTAAATAATTGAAAGAAAAAAACACACACTCGTGTTTGAGAAGACTAATAATATACCATTACCACGTTAATAGTTTCAAAATAAAGAGATAATTGAAAATGGAATTTGAACTGTAATCCCACCTTTTATGAAAATACAAGTGCATTTTTACATTTGAATTATTCGTTTTATATTAATTTTTCGGCCAATGGCTTCATTAGTTTGGTAAAAAACAAAACGAATACTGGAATTTGGTGTGAATATCAATATACCCGTGACCCCAAACAAAAAAAAAAAAAAGACAAAACAAAACTACTTACCCGTTATAGTTCTGTTGGTCGGAATAAGGGACTGAAGTTTTATCCACTGTGAAATTATACGTTGGTTATTTCTAAATGTTTTTTAATTATCAGAAACTTGTTCATTTGTAATTTACACCATCATTATTAGAATGATTTTTTATTTGGAAAATAATGAGTAATAAGTTAACAAAACAAAGCCAAAATATTTTACAAGTTAAAAAAAGACTGGACGGTGTACCTCATTGGAATTGTTTTTAGCGTGTTGTGTAATGCATTCTCTCGTAATTAACTATCATTTAAAAAAAAATTATGTTCCAACCTAAACTCGCACAGTTACCTAACTATCATATAAATTTCTTGCTTCTGGAATCATTTTATAAGACATGCTATTGCTTAGCTAGAGATAAACAATCTTTAATCTCGTAAACTGGAAAGTAATTTTATGGGCTTATAATATTAGTGTTTTAGATTCGAACTCTTTCATCACAAAACTTATAAAAATATCTAAATAAACACGTCAGTCAGCATTGGAGAAGAGGGTCATTGACTGGTGGAGAAGAAACAAAGAATGACCCATTGACTCTTTATACGTTAACAAAGAGATAAAATAAAACATTTTGGCTTTGTTAATTAATTCAAAACAAGTACAAGAACATTGCGTAAGGAATAGTTTCCATATCCAAACTTACGATAATTGTATATATTACATATGTACATAAACATGAGTATATTTTACAATAATTGTATGTGTACTAGCCTATATTACAACTTACGCCAATACGAATCGACCTATCCCGTACGAAAACAAATGGTATTACATTATTATTATATGTGACAACAATATGATTAACTAACGTAATTAGTGATTAATTAATCAGTTCCGTATGAGGAGGAAAGCTCCATAACTCCACGAAATTAAACTCTGATGAGATTTCTTCGTAAAAATCCAATACCGGAGGATACACCCAACAATCCAACGGCTCTGAATAAGCCATATCAGCACGTGACGTCACGCTTTCGTCGTACCTCCCCTCTTCTTCAATGTTAGGCAACTCCACGATCTCCTCCAGCCTCTCCTCCTCTGACGATTCCGACGGCGGCTGTGTTTCCGATGACGTCTCTGTCTCTGTCTCTGTCTCTGTCTCTGACGTTTTTCCTTCTTCGACCACCATTGCGGCTGCTTCTGCGGCGGCTGCCTGGATATCCTGCGGGGAAGATGAGACCGGACGAGGGAAGAGAGAAGCGAGCTCAGGGAAATTAATGACGGCGGAGGAGCCTTTGATGGTGAGAGCAGCGACGTCATGAGCACGAGCCGCCATGTCAGCGGTGGCGAAAGTGCCGAGCCAGATACGAGTCTTCTTGCGAGGTTGTCGGATCTCAGAGACCCATTTGCCCCAACTTCTCATCCGCACACCTCTGTAAACAGGATGCTTAGGAGAAGAAGAAGAACAGTCCCTTTGTCTCTTTCTTGTGTTTTCTCTGGGTGGAGTTCCTTCAGACAAGTGGGTGCTTGTTGCAGTAGTAGCTGTAGTTGCATCAGATTGGTCCGATGACGATGAAGTTGGTGACGATGAGCTGTTCAGTGACGTCATCTTTCGTACTCGCGTTTAAGAAAGAGAGAGAGAGATACTTGCTTCTCTGCTGTGGATGTGAGACTTGTTATTTATAGACTGCACCTCATGGAGCTTTTAATTCCGAGGTTATTTTTTTAATTTATTTATTTCTGATATAAAAACATAACACGTTGTTTTCTGGTAAAAGCAGAAGAAAAAAAAGATTTGTATTCTGGTTTTAATTATTATAATCGTACATATAAAGCATTGAAATAAAACAATTATAGTAATACTGTACCATTGGAGAATTTTTTCATATATTGTTGGTCAAAACTTGCAATCATACCAAATTAGACTCTTAAAACTATTTATATAGTGAATTTGATCATTTTCGAGTTTCGGTAATTCTATGAGTTACTGGATAATATTTGTGTTTATGATTTCAGATAAATATAGATTGTCTTCTTCTTCTTTTTTTGGTTGAAAAAAAAAGTAGACTAGTATTTCTGATTTCAAATGTTAATATAAAGAAATTGGTGGAAATGTGTCAAACTATCAAAGAAAATAAAATACAAAGATTTGACTAATGAAAAACTAGAGGCTCCAGTTTTCATTAGTGACATTTAGCCTACCCATCTTTCAATTACCATGGACCTCTCAAAACAAAATTAATTTGTGCTTTTGTTTTTTTTCATTTGTATTACGGTTCATGCCAAATAATTCTCATAAATAAAACACAAAAAGATATCATAGAAGAGACAAAGGTTTTTGGAAAAAGAAGCAGAAGAGATCTTTTCTAGCTTTCTAATTATATAATATCTCTCAAAGTGTTTCCTTCGTTTCCTATTCGAGATAGACGTTCGATAGTCTTAAGTTACTTTGTATGTCACTATCATTCTGCCCGTTGAGGTTTCTTTTTTATATTTTTATTTTAATTTATGAACACAAATAGGAACCACAAAATCTTGTAAAATTGGATTTAAAATTTTTGAGGATGTCATTCATCATTTTCCCGTTGCCACTTTCTTAAAGTGAAACATGTATAAAAGTAACTTTCACCACTTTTTTTTTAATCCTTTTGATATCTTTACCGTTGGTAAAAGCCTGTCAAATAAATTAACAGGATTTTCTTTTCTGTTCTTGAATTCAGATTAATCAACAGTTTTTTTTTTTTTTTTTTGCTTTCTTATCGTAAGAAAATATATAACTACAAATGCAAAACTCTGGACTAATGAATGAATGTATGTATTCTAAGCTTTGAATGAATGTATGTATTCTAAGCTTTAATAAGTAACACTAAATTAAATGAACAAGAGAGTTTAACAGGTAATGCTGAAATTATGGTACAAGTCTAACGTGTGAGAAAAAAGCTCACTGCAGCAACTTAGATTAGATCTACCTTATTTTATTATTATACAGTATATCGTAAACTTTACAATTTGCCCATATTGTAATAACTGACCTGGACATCAGACGAGTAATCAAACAAACTTATCTCTAACCAAGTAAAAAATGAATATAGAAGCAGACTTGACTTGACCACTAATGCTCATATGCTTTAGAGTCGAGTATACATACTCCAAGAAGAAATAAGGACTCTTTTTTTCTTTTTCTTTATCAGTTTTATTTCCTTTCTTGTCTTACTTTTCGATACACAGACACAAGTCTCTTCAGATCATACGATATATAGCAAAGTAACAAAAGAAGCACATCTAGTAACAAACATGTGAAACAAAACCAACTCTACATAACTACATGTTCATCATGCCAAGAACAATGGACTCCCAAAATAAGAGAAAAAACCAAAGACAAAACGAGGAAACAGTAAAAATAAGCAAACAGCTTACCATATGATTCTCCTTTCACTTTTCCTAAGATGATTTATAGCTCATCATCTCCATTTTCTATTCGAAACTTTTACAGCTCTCATAAATTAACGTTTTAGCCTCCTTCCCCTTTTATAAGCAAGCATCAAGATACTCTCTTTGTGTCGCGAGCTGATGCAATATGATCCTGCACCACATGAACATACACATGTTGTTGCTCCGTCAGTGTAAGTAAATCAATCAAAACGTTTTTGTAACTGTGCCACAGAAGTATATCTGTTCTGACTATGTTTAAGCCTATGTAGGTAGGTGGTTGTAAAGAAGACTACAAGCTAGGTATTACGGGTGAGACTGATAGTTTGAACATATAAAGGCAAATTGACCAAACTTAACAATCAAAGATTAGGAGCAAGATAGCAAAACTTACAGAGATGAAATCGAATGCTCTTGTATCTTCTTTTTTCGAACCATTCATTGTTGAGGTTGGAGCCTGATTAGCAAAATTTGGTTGGAATATATCAGGGAGTGCTGACTGATTCCCTCCGCTAGTACCCATAGAATGAACATTCCCACTACCCTGAGCGTTCAAGTTGCCAAACTGCTGGAAGTTGGATATATTACCAAGGTACTGCTGCTGCTGAGCTAACAAGCTTGCCATGGCAGCGTAATTCATAGGTTGAGCAAAAGCTGGATTCATCATCATCCCTGGAGGAAAATTGAAGGGCATAACACCCCCAGGAAGCATTGAGTTTTGAATAAACCCAGGGTTTTGTGAACCAACAATGCCCCCAACAGGATTTTCAGGTCCTTGGTGGCTGGTGGTGCTCGGCATTGCAAATAAATTATCTGGAAGGGTACTTGAAGACGAGCCTTTCTGATTTGAATTGTTCTCGTCAATGGAAAAACTTGCCATCAAATCATTTATGTTTTTAGATTCTTTTGGCTCTGCTTCAAGATTTGCAGTCGACCCAAACATATCAAATAGCTCAGGCACGTGATTACCATCACCAGCAGCGGATTTTTCCCCGACAGTCATTCCAGAGAACAGGTCATCTGCACTTTCTTTTTCTTCATTTGGATGAAACGATACATCTGCAAAGGGGTCATCATCGTTTTTCTTCTCACTGCTACCCATTCCAGTGTCAGTGCTATCCCCAAACCAATCATCATCCATCAATGGAGCTGCTGTTGCTACTGTACTGCCAGTATCTATAATATTTGGCTGGTTTAAAATATCTTCTGTTGTATAATCTGAATAACCGGTGTCGATCAAGTCAGGTAAATCAACAGCAGCCTCTCGCTTCACAGTATTATCTGAGCTGCTCATCAGCCCACTTGACTGTCCACCATTTAGAAGGTTTAGCACCTACACAACGCCAGTATCTTGAGTTAACCATATGCCAAAAAATGGGTTTTGTGAATGCTTACAACAAGCAGAATCTTACCTTGTTAGCCTTTTCGCGAAGGGAAGATTGCGGAGACTCTGAGCATCGCTGAATGGCATCCATGTTTTCATCAAAATAACTATGTACAATTGAAAAATTATCATCTTCCTTCTTCCTCAAAATGGCTTCAAGGACACATAGAGCTTTCATCCGAACCTACCAAACAAGAATCACAGTTTCTTTTAATGTACATAAGTGGGAAGATTTTTTTACGCTAAAGAAGAAACAAGACAGGAAAATATATACAAATGATAAAAAAGAAAAAAGGTACATTCACATCAAACAGTTTCACAAGGAGGTGAGTAGGGAATTATCATAAACATACCTGCCACATTGGAGACTGGAGCTTCCCCTCAAGGGCAATGCTTAAAACAACAGCATCCATTTTCGCAGCCTCTAAAATAAAAACATGAAGTGCATCACGAGTTGGCTGGAGGCGTACACCTCCAGATGTAACAATGGTTTCCAGCAGCTTTTCTTCACGAGTTTTGCTCTCAACACGTACTGAAGCAGAACTTTCACTTCCCTCTCCGGAAACATGGCCCCATGATCCACCAGCCGTGTTCTTAGACATTCCGGAGTTACCATCCTTCCCCAGCTTAACCGGATCATATCTACTGAAGTTCTCATTTTCCATAGTTAATGATCTATGGAGATTTGGACCTCTGTAGCTGCTGCTTCCATTCTCATTCTTCTTTGGCAAATGGCCTTGAGCAAAATTACTAATTCCTTGCTTTATAGATGCACTTCCAATACCCACCACCTCACTCAGGAACGATTTATTATCATTAGAGGGCACCTGAAAGTTAGTATTCCCAAATCCTTCTATGCGTCTGTTGATGCTTTCAGGAGCAGCTGGCTTGCTACCATTCTCCTCCGAAAATATAGCAGAAATTGTTTCATGAGCAGTTTCCCGTACAGCCTTATTAAGTGCATCCCCTTTTAAAGGATCTGGATGCCCCTTGTAATGGAATAAATTGCGCACTGCGACTGAGTTCCTTTGCATTTCTCGTCTAAACTCTGCGCCAGACTTTCCCACGGCATACTTTATCAACCTAAGAGCCTGTGAACACACAATTACAATAAACAGAATCAGCATAACAAGTTCCGAGACAGATTTAAAACAGAATTAGATAGTTTATTTAACAATTCTACGTTTCCCTAAGAAGTGCATGTTCACTTCAGCTAATGAATGTATAAGAGCTCTCTCTTTGATCCATTCTCAAAAAACAAGAAATCAACCAGTAAACTAAATCAATCCTCACATGCAACATTTCAATCAAAATCGTCATGGAAACAAATAAGCTCACAAAGGAACAACATTTTAATCAGCCAGAAACTGGAATCACCTTCTGCTTAACGATGGGGCTCTTGTTATCAAGACGTTTCAAAATGAATTCCGAAAACTCCTTCACGATGCTCACATGAGAAGAACGAAGAAGGTCACAGATCTCTTCCAGCTTATACACAGGCGCTACTTTGTCCTCATCAGACGTAACCGCATCTATCATCCGCGACCTCCAATACGATTCCACAGCTCTCCTACTCGTATCCATGACGAATCCGGCAACAATTACAACAACAAAATCCCTAATTTCCCAAAACACCAACACCAACAACGAAACAACCCTTCGACCTCGCCCGTCAAAAATCGCGAAAAGACAACAAATTTATCGAACACCGATCCTGAAACTATCAGATCAGTTAAAAAACCGAGCTTTTAAGCTCCAATTCCAGCTCAAACTCACCACACTGAAAGATCACGATCGGGATCCAAATTTCCCCCTACAAACCAATCAACGCGGAGCTAAATTAGACTCCTTGATACAAGATAACCATTAGGTAATCAGAATCAAATCAATAATATCGGAGAAACTAGGAGAGATCGGAGAAATTGAGGAGAAAAAAGAACTCACCGGTTCGTAGGTGACAGAGAAGGAAGGAAGCAGTCAATAGAGAAGAATGGCCCTTTGTTCCTCTAGTCTTTTCCTTATTTCCCAAAATTTTAGTTCCCAAATTTTTTATTTTTCTTTTTCTTTTCACAATTCACACTGTGCACATGAATTCTTATTTATTTTCCTCCGTCACACTCACAGGAAAAATCAATTTAATTGATTTATATATTCTTAACGACAATACAAAACAGTTAAAACAGGAGACAAAACAGAACATTCTAAGTAAACTAATTGATGAAAAAGCTTGGGACTTTGTCACTTATTAAGCTCTCGTCATCAGTCTCTTCGTCTTCTTCTTCAACCACCTGATTTCTGAAGAGAGTTTTGAAGTATGGTAAAATCTTTGGAAGCACATGTAGATCCGCCATGTTTATACTCATCATATCAAAGGCAATGCATGTATTGTGCATATGCGACTCGTCAATCACCGGAATCTTCGGGTATCTCTGGCTAAAATGTGTCAGTACGGTTCGGTATACGCCTGCTAAAGATCCAACGTTGATTGCTTCTTTGGTTGTGCTATGATTTTTAGCCACAGCTTCATCTACCAACGCATCCTCAAAAGTTGCCTGTTATAAGTTAAGAAGGTAAAATTTAAGAATGTGAAAGATGTAAATGTTTTAGACAATTTTGCTTATGTAGGAAAACCAACAAACCTCATGTATAAGAACGGTTGCTCCTTTTGAAGCTTCAACCATCTCAGGACAAGGCCTTGTGTCCCCCGAGTAAACCATTTTCCACCCCGGGATCTCATCTCCAGTGATGTTTTTCCTTTCTGCTGCTTTTACAACAACCCCAAAGGCTTGAGGGCAATGCACAACAGGAAAGCTAATCAAATCCTCCAACCCCATTTCGCCGAGGACCTTTTTCAGTCTCTTCAAGAATGGTAAAGCTGAAGAATTGTCGGTCAGTGGGCTACTCGGTCTTTTATATATACTTTGCATTAGACTTCCTTTACTGAACAAAGAACCCTCTGCATTGCCGCTTTTGATTATTTTATCAGGGCTGGTGGTTTCTACAGAAGCCCAAGAAGTTGTTGTGGTGTTCCTGCAATCAAGAAACTCCATATCTAAATCCTCGAGTCTTTGATATGCGTCGAGAAAGTTCTTTAGCGGTCTCGGTCCAACCACAATTGCTGGCTCATGAGCCACTCCTTTCAGAAGCTCACGTCTACGAGCAAGGATTCTTGCAAGACCCGTATGGTGATCAGCATGGATATGAGAGATCCATATACATCTCAAGTTTCTGACTGCTTCATCAGCTCCTTCTAAACCATATCTTCGTTTAAGCTGGCCTAAGGTACCTTCTCCACAGTCCAAGAGAATACTGCCTCTAGAGAAAAGGTCGATGTAAATTGCGGTGACATTTCGGTATTTCGAGGGTTGGGACGAACCAGTGCCCAAAAGAACTATTTCCATGTCGTCTCGTCTAATGTTTTCAAGACAGCTTGGAACAGTGCTTTCACCCAGCCATGGCTCTTCGATCATCATCTTGTTGTGTAGTCCATTCCATAACCGCTTGATTTCTTCAGTCTTACTGTTGATCTCAGGAATTTCTGAAAGAAGCTCATCCATCACTCGTAAGGATGTTAATCGACTAGGGATACAAGATCTGTCTACCCCAAGATTACCATATGGACGTAAAGTGAACTGCCCAAAATATGAGAGAGATTTACGAGCTAAAGGAAGCAAGTTTCATAGGGATGAAGCAAAGCAATGCACAGAAATAACATTCAATACCTTGAGGAGATTTTCAGCGGAAATGCTTTCACCAAGATTTGAATCGAAGCACTGACAAGAGAAGAAAAAAACAAGGCTTGACTATATGAACACAGCCAGATTCAACTCAATAAAAAAAATATCAGAAAAGCATTTGTAACCTTGCTCATAGAAGTGGATTCTATCGAGTTATTAACATGCTGAGAAGACCAAATTCCAGGAGCGGGAAAGAACTGTGGGCATAAATAGTTAAGTCTGGCTGTGATTCTAGAACTGGCTCTCAGGATTGGAAACTCCATATTCTTCCTAGACAAAGACCAAAACTATTACACAAATAATTCAACATTTTTATTATAATAAAGAACATGGCTGAGAAGACTCACGTTTCATGTCCAGCGAGAATGTGCTGGGCAGAATGGAATCTCTTCATCCAGCTTTGGTAAGTAGAGCTATTTGTTACAGAAGCTGGACTTAGATGAATAATACAATTAACAAGTTTAGCTCCATCTGTTGAGTTGTCAGGACATGAATAATAACTCTTGGTAGACGGATTAGAAAGCAGTTCCTCTGCATGTGACTCTGTTGGACAATCCACAAGCAAAACAACAGGACCAGGAACAGAAGGTCCCATCACATTACTCGGATGAACCTATAACCAAGACTGAACATTGTTAGTCAGCTCGAAGAGAAACTGATACTGAGTTATGGATAATCCAAATAATTGCTCTTTGAAACATTACCGTAATATCTTTAAAATCTGACTTCACTGACTGCCCAGACTGAAGATAACTGTATTTAGGACCAGCTCTCAGTCCAAGAGCCATGGCCTTCTTTGGGTCAAATTTTCCTTTGATTTCAGGTAATTCACATACATATACAACTGACGTTTCACCAGTTTTGCTGCCGGATTCCTCTAAGCGACTCGGTTCTAAGAGAATGGCAGAGATTTTCACAACTTCATCATCCACAAGAACATAAGGATCCGTGGGTTTACTTGAGCCAATCTGAGGCGTGGAGTCAGATGTATTCAACGATGGACCAAAACTTCTTGTATGAACCATGGCAGCACGAGGGATAAATGACCTCATAGCATCAACTAAATACTTGAGATCTGAAGGACCCCATACGTTTACCTTTTGTACCAAAAGAAAATTTTACAAGTTCAGCAATTCCACTCGAATAATGGTTGTCAAAATGGAAAATCACAAACTCAGGAAAATCAGACAAGAAACATACAAAGAGATCATAGGAGAAGAACACTCACGGATAGTCCTTCTTCACCAATACCGGCAAGAGTCAATAGAAGACCTAACGCATTTAAAATAGGAACACTTATCACTGTCTAATGATCTCGCAACAAACACATGGAAGCTGATGCCTGGATTAAAAAACAAACCTGGAAGCCCGCCTGCTGTTTCTGAGCACACACGAGACAAAAAGATATGATCCACCTGAAAAGACAGTTCAAACTCGCCCTCATCACACACAGAAACGAGACACAATTAGTAGTATTCCCAAAACACAAAATATAGTCATTCATACCTTTGATAACTTAATCTTATGCTCTGTACAGAACCGTTGCAACCCCTGCAATTGAAATTGTTAACCAATAAGACTACTAGAGCCACTAATAAAGAGCTATACACTAAAGCAATTGGCAATTGCAGAAAAAATCTACCTCTCCAGCATTAAAGATGAATCTTTGCTTGTCAAAGAAGAGTAATACAGAAGGCGATGTATCCTGTGTATCCATTCCCGTCCCAAGGATCTAACGATGCAGATGAATAGCTCAAAAATTACGAATCATCTTTTACAATTGAAGATTGAAATTCAAAGTTTGAGAGTAGATAGAAATCGAAACCTGAACATAGGCAATGGTGTTGGTAGGGTTAAGGGTGCGAGTGTTCCTCTTGAGATTCTTCTTAGGCTTATCAATCTTATCCAATCCCGCAGCTCTTCTCTTATTAAACTCGAAAGAATCAGAAGAAGGATTAAAACTAGTACTAGCTTTATCTCTCTCCATAGGAGGCCTACCTTTTCTGTTCTGCTCCTCGAAACTACTCCACTTGCGTCTCGGATGAGAAGGGTCGCTGCGACGGTAACCGGCGGTGCGAGGAGGAGGACGACGACGACTGGGAGGAGGAGAAGACGAAGCGAAGATTGGGTAGAGAGAAAAGGGTCTGAGAAAGAGCGAGAAAGAAGAAGACTTGAGAGGAGAAAATCCGAAAAGGCCTAGGTTTTGGGGTAGATGATGATGATGATGATGATGAGGCATTGAAGTTAACATTTTCATAGTTGTAATGTAAAACAAAGCTCAAAGCTCCTTCCTTCTTTCTCGCTACACTCTCACAGTGTCACAGATCAGAGTCAGAGCCCTTTCTATCGAACGATTCTTTTTCCTCATGTTTTTTTTTGTTTAATTCTTTCAATGAAAATATCAATTTAGCCCATGGACTTTTAATTTAATATTTAAGCCCATCAAAATTATCCATTGAATAAGTGAATTGAGTTGTATAGTTTTTTTTTTTTTTTTTTACCGGCAAAAAGATTTAACATTTTTATTTTCATGTGCAAAGTTTATAGTTTGTTCATGAACTTTCATGGCAAAGTTAAAGCCAATCTTTAGCATGAACCAATAAAAAAAGTTTTATTTTAAAGTTAAACTAATCATCCCTCTGGTGGTCATATGGACCATGTTCTAACTTACTTACAATATGTCAAATATATTAATTCATACAATAATATATGTTGAAAGGATTGCATTTTCCTCGTTTGTTAGAAAAAGAAAGGGTTTGAGAATCTCGTCCCATATGCTCCTCCTCGTAAGTGACTGCCTCAAAAATGATGCATGAACTCCGACAAATTGAGTCGTGTCATCCTTCCTTGCTGTCGAGTACTGAAGATGTCAAGTACTAAAGAGTTCTTTGAAGTTTTTTAGTAATTTAAAGAGAGAGAGAGAGAGAGAGAGAGAGAGAGAGAGAGAGAGAGAGAGAGAGAGAGAGAGAGAGAGAGAGAGAGATGGATTATATATGGAGTTGTATGTAATGAAAGATACTATGAGAGTAGTAGTCTTTGTGTTTATTTTTGTGAATTCATAATATAATTGATACTAGCTATATCATTCATATAGACGACATCAAATTAATGTGTGTTTAGTTTAATTAGGATAAATGAATTTATATAATTATTACTACATAATCATTTTTAGGTAGTAGTTAGTTACTTGTGAAATGTCAATTGTGATACAGACCGCAGTTCCAAATTTCTCTTGGATTATATACTTTTCTGTTATAAATAAATGTATAAATCTATTCAATTTATTTGGTGGTCATTTGGTTTTACTTAATTACAGCTAATGTAATTTTGTTTTTCAAATTTGTAATGCATAACATTGGATAAGAGATATAGGTTAAATGTAATACATAACATTGGATAAGAGATAGAAGAGGCACTACTCACCTCCACACAAACCTCATGGAGCCATATAAAACATTATCCCAATTAAAGACCCAACCTTTCTTTTTCTTTTCTTTTTTTTTTGGTTCTGTTTTATTTTATTATTATTTTAGAAAAGAGCTTAGAGCAAGACCATGGGAAGTGTACAGTTGAATGGTTCAGGCTTAGTAGCTTCTCTATCTCCAAATCATAGCTTTAGCCACAAAATCAAACTTAGTAACGCAAAGTCATACTTCTTGCGCTCAAAACACAATGCCACCAGAGCCAAAACCATTCGAGCCATAAGCACCGCACCAACGAGCCAACCTCCAGCGGCAGATGAACCCAACGACGAACCTCCTTCTGTCGATTTTGCGTTCGTCCATGTAAGTATTTATCTTCACTCACTCTTGACGAATTATATACACTTTTGTTATTATATTATTTGTAGTTAACAAGGATGGAGACCAAAATCGTGATAAAAGCTATTAACTTGAAAGTGATTAGAGAATGATGGTGTTTAAGCAATATTCGTAGTACTGTTTAAAAATGTTGGAGGTGCATTTCGAATGGATGACTAAATTAATAAATTGTGGATAATTTAATTGTTAGTCGGTGTTGTTACCGGACGGGACACCGGACGTGCATTGGAGAAGAGCATGCGGTGGACAGAAACTTAGAGACATAATGTTGGATTCTAACATCGAGCTCTATGGTCCTTACGTACGATATTATCTCTCCCTCGATTTGATCATTTCTCTTAGTCATATTAGTTTCGAGTTTATCATTTTTACGTTTCATTAACTTCGCAGAGTAAGCCCTTGTCAAACTGCGCAGGAGTAGGAACTTGCGCTACTTGCATGGTCGAGGTATACATACCATATCTTATATTTTAGTTTCTTGATGAATAGTCAATAAGCTTTAGTTTAAATATTCAAATGATGGTTTATCATCTAACTAAATTTATCTCCTGTCGTCGGATAATATTTTGTAGATTGTAAATGGAAAGGAGCTTCTAAATCCACGAACTGACATTGAGAAGGAGAAACTCAAAAGGGTATATTCTTAATTATCTTATACTAGTATTTAAATAATCTTGTATCAGTTGGTTGAAATTATAAACAAGTAATGTTTTCTTTTCATAGAAACCAAAAAATTGGAGACTAGCTTGTCAAACCAACGTGGGAAATCCAGATTCGACCGGATTGGTAATATATATACAAACTTTTCTCTATCTCTAATCTCTGTATTAGTTAATGTACAATTTTTCTATAAATGTGACTGATTGATATTATAATAAACTATCGCATATATAGGTCGTCATACAACAATTACCAGAGTGGAAAGCTCATGAATGGAACATCCCTAAGAATATACCTAATGACGATGATCTCGAAACTTCTACGTGAAACTTTTGTCATTGTTGTTAATTGTTATCACAAATTTGTAACCATCGAGTTTCTTTCAAATATGTGTCAATAATATTTAACAAAACTAAATGATTATTGTAAAATAGTAAATTTATTATAACCAAAACAACCATCCACTAAATGAAAGATTTTCATACAAACCGGATAAAATGTTATAAAAGTCCCAACAAGAAAGAATGAGACAAAGGAATCAAACACAGAAACATTGAATCAAGAATCATCAGTATGAAAAAGGCAGAAGCTTTTTCCATGTTAAGCCCTTTCATCAGATTTTCCACGGTGACTCCATCGGTTTTGACCTCCGAGACGTTGGAAGATTCGGCCGCAACAAAGTTGAACTTATCGCTGTCCTCATTGCCGAACCTTTCCTTCACCTCATTGCCAAACTTGTTAAAACGATGAATTATATTGAGTCTCAAGTGGTAGAATCTTTATTTATACTAAGAAAAATATTCTATTACTTAATTACAGCTAGTAATTTGTTTTTCAAATTTTTGAATTATCTTTGTATTGTTTAGTTTACCGACAAAAAATTAACAATTTCTATTCATGTGCAAAGTTTGTTTGTTTTTCACGAACTTTCATGGAAAAGTTAAAGCAAATTTTTTGCATGAATCAAGAAAAATATTTCATTTTTAGTTTTATACAATAAGATGTAATTCCTTCGTATTTGTTTTAAAGATAGCAAAATTATGTGTATATTTTTTAATTAAACCAAGATTTGTAAGTAATTTTGTCTAAATTATTGTATAAACTTACAAAAGATTATTGTATAAACTTAGAAAACATTGTAATTCCATATTCCACAAAAGTATACATGTTAAACAAGACTTGCACTACATGAAAAGACACAAAAATTATAAGAAAATTTTGAAGACACTTTAATCTCTGTATTAGTTAATGTACAAATTTCCTATAAATGTGACTGATTGATATTATAATAAACTATTGCATAGGTCGTCATACAACAATTGCCAGAGTGGAAACAATGGAACATCCCAAAGAATATACCTAATGACGATGTTTTCGAAACTTCTACGTGAAACTTTTGTCATTGTTGTTAGTTTTTATCACAAATTCGTAACGATCGAGTTCTTTTTTAATATGTGTCAATATCATTAACAAAATTAAATGATCATTATAAAATAATAAATTTATTATAACCAAAACAACTCCATCCACTAAATGAAAGATATTGATACAAATTGGATAAAATGTTACAAAAGTCCAAACAAGAAAGATCGAGACAAAGGAATCAAACACAGAAACATGAATCAAGAATCATATCACTTGTTTTGCTTAGAAATCAGCAGAAGCGAGAGGAACATGTTCGGAAGAGCTCATGAACACATTTCCGTAGATAAGTCCGGCGAGTCCACCGCCGATGAGTGGTCCAACCCAGTAAACCCAGTGACCAGAGAAGTCTCCAGCCGCAACAGCTGGTCCAAAGGAACGTGCTGGGTTCATGGATCCACCGGAGAATGGACCGGCGGCAAGGATGTTGGCACCAACGATGAGGCCAATGGCGAGAGGAGCGATGGTTCCGAGAGAACCCTTCTTGGGATCAGCAGCGGTGGCGTAGACGGTGTAGACCAAAGCGAAGGTGATGATGATCTCCATCACTACTCCTTCTAACGCTCCTAGTCCAGCTCCAACGCTGTGTGTTGGAACCGCCTGCGTTTTCCATTTAGTTGTTATCGTTCGTTCATTAGTTTTAAATATTTTAACTGTCTCAAGAATTGTACGTATATTAGTGGAAAGCAAATCTTTAATGTTCTTTAAAAATTGACAAAAAAAGGCATATAGTATGTAGCTAAGGCTATTATTAAAAATATGGAGAATATTATTTTGTTTGTTTGACCTTGTAATCTACTGTCTTATTTTGTAACCTAGTTTTCAATCGATTAAGATTGTCTTCAAATACTCCTATATTATGTATTATTTCTCAAATTCTTTTTTGTTTGTTCTTTTGTAGACCTATATATAGTAGTGCTGGAGGCAAGATGAACTATATTATGAGTTATTAAGAATCGGAGATCAAGAGGACATACCAAACCACCGGTAACGTATTTGAGGAGGAAGCAAGCGGCAGTGGAGCCGAGAAGCTGAGCGATCCAGTAGAAAACTCCGGTGATGACTGTGATCTGACCACCGACGGCAAGACCAAAAGTGACGGCTGGGTTAACATGGCCACCGGATATGTTGGCTCCAATTGCAACGGCCACGAAGAGAGCAAAACCATGGCAAACCGCGATGGCCACTAGTCCCGGCGTATCAAGAGCAGCGTCGGACGTCAGCTTCGCTATATACATAAATGTGACACATTCATTTAGTATTAGAGTACCCATTATATTGTTACAAATCACGAAAAAATATGTATTTAGATTTATTTAACTATGCGTCTACGAACCGTAGGCAATGGCAGAGCCAACACCAGCGAAAACAAAGAGCAAAGTGGAGATGAACTCAGCGAGGTAAGCTCTTAGAGAAGCCAAGCTGAAGGAATCATCAAAGGAACCAAAAGCAACTCCAGCCATTGTTGTAGACGAAGAAGAAAATGTTATGAAGGTTTTTTTGGTTAATGAAGAAAGATGATATATAAGACTTTTTGCATGACGCTCTCTTTATATAGGAGACTCATCATATATTCATGCATAAATTTAATTATATATAAAACTACTATCCTTAGTGAGTTTTTGTGGTGGGGTTGGAAACGACGTAATAAATTATTTCATGTGTTGTCATTTTACTCTACAGCATATCTATTCGTGATTTGGGTTAGCTAGGAAGGTGCCTAAACAAGTTAACATAATGACATTTACGTAAAAAGAGAACTCATATTTCTTTTGAGTACTAACACAATCATATTCATAATCCAATCCAATATATAGTAATACATTGATTACATATTAATATATGTATCCATACTATATAAGTGTATTCATAATCCAATCCGGGTTAGTTCTTTCGACGATGTTCTCATTATTTGAACTACAAAAGTAACTCTAGTACTACCAAAGATAAGTGAATCTTGAATGAAAACAAATCAATCAAATTACTTTTATTTTTGTTTTTGTTTTCTTTATTCAGAAATACTTTTTCTTTGGCAATATATAGCGGCGGTATATCTCATAAAATTAGTCAAAAATTTGGACGACTTTTTCTATGAGAAAGTATAAAAGGTCGGTTTAAAGTAATATGGCCGGTTTAAAGTGATTGGAAATTAGAGGTGGTGGGAGTGGACCCAAAGGACAGAGTAGCTTCAAAAATTCAAGAAAAAAGGGATAAACATAAAGATGAGATTTAGGAGTAGATAGAGAGAGAAGAAACATAGAGAGAGAAGAAAACAAATGGATACGAACAAAAACTAAGGTGAGGGACAAGTGTGAGCTGTAAACAATGTGTATGGGAGCAAGACCGGCCAAAACATGATTGTGGGTTACTGGTTTGCATGTGACATGATCTTTATTTTTTTCCCAAGAGTGATTTGATCAGATGTGACTCATTTATGATTATATTCCATTTCAACAATGTTATTTGGGGTCCCTCCATTATTTTCCTCTTCAGATGAACATTCTCCATCACATTCATTGATACATACTAGCTGCTTAATGTACAACATTGTTTGATTCACAATCCGGTACATTTTCTCTCTTATTGATGAATCCAATGCTAGCTAAAAACCGTAAAGCAACTAAATCCTTGGTTTGAACTTGAGAAATAGAGGCTAGCTAGGAAATGTTAAGCTTCATTGTAGTAACATGTGCGATGTTTTTATGTAAGAGTCTATCTATATACAACTTTCTTAAAAAAACTCTTTGTGGTTTATAAAACTCTTATGGCACTTACTAATTCAAGTAACTCATCAAATACATCGTTGGTTGCAACTTGCAAGGTTCATTGCATGCTGCCACCTTACCAAATACGCCAAGGGTCATTTAGATCAGATGGGATCATTATTCTCGTCTAATTTAATTATATCAGCTGCCACTCTTTTCTTAAGCTTAAATAGGTGGGTGATGAACTAAATGATAGTATAATTTATCTATAACAACAATGGCTTTGTGATTGGTTGTAGGCCGGTTGAATTATACGAATCTTAAAGAGTTTAATAAGCTTCAGTTTCGTTGTCTTGCCTCCATGCCCACGAATCTTTCCAAATTTAGATCTGTTGACTTTAATTATTATTAGTTCATTACTAAATTAATAGCCTCTTAAACTAATTTATTAGCAAGAACATTTTTTGAATGTGTAAGAAAAAGTACAATAACTTTTTTCCGGCCGGTTTATTGAACGAAGACTAAGATAAACTAAACCGGAGACAGTTCTTTGGTTAACACAAGATGACCGGTACAACTTTACAATTTTATTTGGTTTTCAAACTTGTAACTTGTAAGTGCTCATACAACGCCCACACACTGATTTATTCAAGCTAAGTCATAAAAGAAGAAACACCAAAATTAATGTTGGGACCAAAACATGTAAAAAAGCTTGAGATTTTGAGGACTGTGACTGGTTCCATGTTTCTCTCAGGCTCTGTGCTCTCCTGGAAATGGTATTGACGCACAGCAACGGTAATAACCGTTCTGGTCGAACACAAACCGCTGTGAGAGATGAGCTTCTCGGATTAGATATTCTCCCCAGTCTTGGTTTCCAAAATGTTTGTGTATCTCTCTTGCATCAAACGTCTCCATCTTCTTCCTATTGTCTTTTCTGGGAACACAAGTTTTTTCGGACAATCAGAGTTTTGTAACATTGTTTGCTTTATATGAACATAAATCTGGAGTTGAGAATCATTCACCTCCTTTTCCTGTGCCTCGCATTCATCACGGTCGCGTGGAGCTGCAAAAAAGGAAAAAGAAAGTAAATTCGAAGCACGATTCCACCACTTTCAAGTCCATTAGTTTTGAACTTTCAGACAAGAATAAAGTGGCTGCAACAATCTCGCCAACTTTAGTCACAGTTTTTGTAAGTCAGAAAGCTCTTACCTTCAAGCTCTGCTTTGCATCTTTCTCGAGAACAAGCCCAGCTTTCACAAATGCATCAGTAATAACTTCTAAACTTGGAATTAAGAAAATCATACGCACATACGCTAAACTCTTAACTTAAGGTCTAAACTATGATAAAAACTAGGATACGACAAGCACGTAAAATCCGTCCCTCATCGCCAATTTCTTCAACAGGAACATAGAGCACACGAGCCTTGGCTAATGATCCTCTCATACAATCCTTAAGAAGATATCCAAAATGACAGACGAGTGAATAAACCAGTAGGTAAATATATTGTAAAAAAATTAAAGATAAAAGATGTATCATCTTACCAACCCTTTAAGTCTTATGAATATTGGCTTGTTATCCAAAGCATCCATCACACTAGGAGATATACTCTGGATTTAAGAATAGGAAACACTCAAATTCATGAAGCGTTTATAAAATGAATGAAACCGTCTTTTCAGAAAGCAATTACCTTCAGAACGTCACACGCTACATTGACACGATCTTTGTTCCATAACTTTAGCATAAGCACAGTCAAGTGAAAAGTACTCGGCTTAATAAAAATGGACTTTTCAATTCCCATGTCTGCCAATGCATAAAATTTACTGAGCATATATGAGAGAACAAGTTTTCTTCTTTCTTAGATTCAACGATTTAGTTATTTTCTTACCCAATAAAGTAGATGACTTTGCTTTGGTCTTAGGAGGATAACTGACAATTGGTATACTCTTGATATCCAAATTGACCTGGTTTGTTTCACTATTAGCTTTTAGATCCACAGTCACACTTGTGGTTGATCTATCAGCTTGGTTATCTCGTTCATCACCAGCTATGCTATCGTTTCCTAGTATAGAGTTCTGAAAATTCACTAGCTTTTCCACTAACTCAGGGTGTATGGCTAATGGAAGTGATACAAAGTGTGAGTAATCTAGGCTCGCACTCTGTACAACCTGGAATGAGAGTTTCAAAGCGCAGAATCAGAAAGAAAAAAGTAGAACAAAATGGAGAAGGAAAAGAAAAGGCCAAGCATGATACTAAAGAACAAAGGGAAATATAATAAGGAACCTCATCAATAATGGTCACTATTCTTTCTGAAGCTTTAGTCACACAGTCCACTGAACCACCTTCAATGACTGCAAGAATAAAGGATACAACAAAATAAAATTTGTTAAACCATAGTGAGTTGGAAAATGGTAGCTAGTCAGAGCTAGGATTAAAGGCATAGACATCAGATTATACATTACAGATGATTCCAAAATCTTACTGATGTGATCTTCATTCCTTGACAATGGAAGAATGATCTTCACTCCCATTTCCTCCTCTATTTTCATCTGCGTAGTCCCTCTTTTGCAAAGAATGCAAACTCATTAGCACGTAGATACATGCGGGGTTAAAGAAAACCCTCAAATTAGAAAATTAAGAAACTGTAGCTCTTACTCTTTCCCTCTAATGAACTTAATCAAAGATGCCCCAACCTGAACCCAATCACACAAAGTCAGTTAAAGTAGTTGAAACAAAGAGGATACAATAAACTTAAGTAATAAGTGGAGAGAAAGGACCTCAAGAGAAACTGAATGCTTTCCAGCTGATTCAACAGAGGCACTCTCCCTCCTTCCTCCTTCAATAACTTCCTCAGAAACATCACTTGATTTGCTACACTGAGCTGCTTCTCGGACATCATTACCAGCTTCTGTCTCATCATGAGACAACAATGTAAGATGGAAAGTTTTAATCGGAACAAAATCATACAATTAAACAGCCTAAGTAGAGATGCTAGCCTGCAAGAATTGAAGAGGATTGAGTGGAGATGGGTCTCCACACTAAATTTACCATCTTCTGCTTCTTAAACCCATCCATGGCACTCTTCACACTCACCCTATAGCTCAAGATACTGAAAGATTCCTGAGACATGAAAGTTGTGCAGCCACAAAACATCAAATCCAAATTCTACGGAAAACAATCTCAGAGCACTTACAAAAGATTACACTTCCTAAAAACTACAGCAACAAATACTATGGAGACACAGACACTGAACTTACCGACTTCGATTGAAAACATCTACTCGTAAACCCGAACACACGATCAATCCTAGGAAATTACCAAAACAAACAACATGAGATATTTACAGATTTTAGACAAAATCAAACACTTTTCACGATTTTTCAAACACAACCATTGGAAGGAAGAAAATTAAATTTCGGGTTTTGTTGAATTTAAAGAAAGAATCAACATTTATTTTGAAGAGAGAACGAACCTAAACAGAGTCCTGCAAGCTAACATCTTACTCTCCTCCTCCGGTGGTCAGCCGTCAGATTATTTTTTGTTCCGCCAGAATTTAGGACTATTTACTACTAAACTCATCAGTTCCAGAAAATTATATGTTTTACCATGTACTTCCGAAACTTACTGTTATGACCCTGAATATATGGTCATGTCTAGCAAATGACGTCTGTATATAATGTGTACATTACAATACTATACACCGTCCAAAACTTATCTTACAAACACAAGTTACAACCCATAGTGTTACCAATGGCTGTCACACATACACATTATATAGAAACAGTTACATATTGACATATATACCAACACTGTCATCGTTTTCACTTTTCACCGATAAATTTTGCTACAACAAAACCTTTAAGAGGAGTTTTGATCGTTTTCAGTGTCACTTATGTGGAAAAGGCAGTGAAGCGCAGCAATGGAAGTAGCCATTCGGGTCATACTTAAAGCGTTGTGAGATATGAGCTTCTCTGATTAGATATGTTCCCCAATCCTTGTTCCCAAACTCTTTGTGTATCTCTCGCGCATCAAAAGTATCCATCTTTTTGCTTTTATCTCTTCTGTAGCTTGCATTCATCACCGTGGCATGTAGCTGCAAATACGGAACAAGCTATTTCAATTAATCACTGTCTTTATCTTAGTGGAAGAAAGATTTTGCTCTTTCTAGTACACAGTGGAATACTCAAAAGGGAAAGAGTAAACAATAGGAGAGTTTAAGGCTTTTACCTTCAAGCGTGACTTTGCGTCTTTACCAGCAAATCCAGCATTTTCAAATGCATCAATGATAACATCTGAACTATATAGTCAAAGAGTTCAAAAAGTAGTAATTTTAAGTCATGTGTTTGGTCAAGTGAAAAATAAGCTCTTAGAGAAATTAGGATACGACAAGCATTTAGCAGGCGACCCTCATGCCCAACTTCTTCAACAGGAGCATAGAGAACACGGGTTTTGTCTAAAGATCCATTCATACATTCCTTAACAAGAGACAAAAGAACACAAAGCAGATCATTGGGATTGAGTCAAAGATTACATTTCAAAACCACTAGAAATGTAGAAATGCAAAGACAATAATATGTAATGTTATACCAATCCCTTGAGTCTAATGAAGACAGGTCGGTTCTTCAAAGCCTGCCTCACATTAGAAGAAATACTCTGATCGATTTTCAGAACAAAAAATGACAACACCTCAATATCATCAAAACAATCATACAGTATCTATTAATGCGTAGAGGAAACTAATTATATACCTTAAGAATATTCTGAGCTCTAATCACAGATTCACTGTTCTCTAACTTTAACATAACCACAGTCAAATGGAAAGTTTTTGGGGAAACAAAAATCGATTTTTCGATTCCCATTTCTGTCCAATATCAAAAGGTTATAATGTCAAAGAAACAAGTGTTATACATATATATATAAACATTAATGGTCATTATTTTCTCTGTTTTTGGACTTACGAGATAAATTATTCTGAAACTTGACTGGAAGAATCTTATCATTATTGTTGTTACCCAAAATAGAATTCTGAAAAGCCTCAAGATTTTTGTTTAACTCAGGATATGTAGCTAACGGAAGTGACACAAAGTGTGTAAACATTTCTCTCTGGCGACCCTGCCCAATCTACCAAGCATATGAGAATTCAAGTGACCATATATAGTAAGTCAACCAAGAAGATAAATCATCACCAAACCTGTTTCTGCTTGCCTTTGAAAGCGTGAGGTGTGAGATGAGTAGTGGCAGATCCCTCACGATTCTGAAGTAAATTCCCCATAGCCTTTGACACGTACTTGATCGTTCGTCACACACCAAAATCAAACCCCGAAACCGTAGAACAGAGAAGACTTTACCTCTTTGCCGCCGTTTGAGACTTTTTTTTTTTTTTGCTTACGTGTTCAAGGACCCAAACAAAGCCAGAATTTATAATAAAAATTAAATAAATATCATTTTAAAAATAAATTAGTAGGTTTTCTTATATAAAGAAATGAAAACCCTAATTTTTGTTTCTCGGCTTATAAAAAACCCTTAAATCACAGCCGAAAAAATAGCCGTGTCAAACAACTTAAACCATTCTCATTACTGCTTCTTCATTGTTCTTTAGGTGCATTGGCAAGGTTATGACGATTGACGAGAAGGTTAATTAATTCGCATTACTGCTTTGGCCTTTAATTTCATGTTGTTTATAACCTTTCCACCTCACCTAAAGAAAAATTTGAAGGAGCAAGATAATTAGGTTTCGAGGAAAAAGTTAATATATATTAGCTAGCTAGCCACCTTTCTTTTAAAATTGGTTGTTACATAAATCCTCCTAAAACCTTTGACAAAGTTTTTTCCACAAACAATATGCTTAGCTTAGCTTTTCGCACTTTGTTGCGTTTCTTTGAGAAAGATGTGAGTATTGTTTGTGGGGAATCCTTGCCAAGGTGTTAGCGGGTTTAACCCCATATCTACTTCTCTTTCCCTTTTTTGTTGTTGGTTACTAACATTCTGTTTTTAATACACGTACTAGTTTTAAATACGGATACACGTACTAGTTGAAACTATCTTATATAAGTTGGAAATATTAGGACGGTGCATTTAAACTATAATTTGAAGGGATTTTGATTTTGAATGACTTTGAAGTTTGAAGGATTTTAAGAAGATTTGAGAAAATTTTGTTTCTTAAAAGTAAGAGAAACCAAAATCTCATGGTTTAGGTGGGATTTGAAAATATTTTAAAATGTGAACTTTCCTAAAATCATCAAAATAATAATAAAAAATCATCAAAACTCAATTAACTTAAAGTTCTACTTTGAATACACCCCACCCTAAATCTTCCACAAATTTAGAAAAATATATTGTTTCCCCTTTTCCAGATTTTCTTTTGATTTTTCAAAGTTCAACTTTTTATAAACTAAAATTTAAATTTTCAAAATTAAAACCCTAAAATTTTCTGCAGCTTATAAATACAATGTGGTCTTGTTGGAATACTCTTCATGCTCCACTTCTCCTCTCTTTCTCTAACCCAGGTTTCCACACCACCTCATAAACGTAATAATTTTTTTTTGTCACTCTTTGGATTTATGTTACATAAATCATCTTAATCCCTTGACATGGAGGTCCTCCACACACAATATTTTAAATTTGTCATGTTGTGTTCGTTCACAAGTATTTATATATTGTTGTGTGGAGGACTTGCAAGTCATGGTATTTAGAGGATTAATGTATTAGTAGTTATAATTGGATGTTATAGTGATGTGATATCTATCATTCTTCCAATTCTTGGTTAGCATAACATGTCTCTTTATCCTTTGTCAACGCATGAAACGTCTATTTAGTTGCAGGTTTGATATTCTAATTCTCTTTACTAAAATTTGGAATAGACGTTACGTGCTTATATCATTCCCTCATGGAACATATATAGATCATGCGGATTTTGTCTAAAGATCCATTTAGACGATCCCCTAACAAGGAAAAAAAAACACAAAATATTCTAATTTACAAGCCACTAAATATTTGAAATCAATTATGTGTGTCATTATACCAGTCCACTGTTTCTTATGAAACTGGTTTAATTAGTTAAAGCTTGCGCCCTCACACTAGTAGAAATATTCTAATTTTTAGAAAATGATAACACCTAATTAAGTCATTAAAGGAACCCTCTCTTTGATTTGGTTTTTGCCAAAATAAAGTCATAATTTTAGAGTTTAAAACAAACTAGAGAGAATGTTTAAGACTCAGTAACTTTCGTGGTCCTGGCTTCTATGCGCAAGGAATATTGTATTCTTTCGAAAAATTTGTTAGCTTTCGCTTGTTGTTTGGTCAAATAATACTACGCTGGTTTTGTACGTTTAGATGTTGCAACAAATCAAAGAGATATTTCAATGTTCTGTTTCACACGCTATCATGTGTTCCAAAAGGAACTATATATTGTCTCAACATACTGTATTGAAGAAACACCATATAATTTCTTACAATCATTGACTTTATCATCAAAATGTTCCTAATTCTATACCTTCCAGGCTTCCACCAAGCCAGCCACTCTCGACGGACAAGCACACAGAAAACACGTAATTTAAGTTGAGCAAATAATTAAGGGATTGCAAGAGAAACGCATATGTATAAATTGTTGATTGTCATGACGCTTAAGGCTACAAGCTTTTACAACCTTATAATCAATGCCTATCTTTGAGTCGTTTACAAATACGTGTCAAATATTACATTAAAATTTAATTAATATATAAATTCATAAACTTATGAAAGTTAATATATCATGAAAGACGACATTATTGAATGACGGAACACGCCGATTAGGTGTAATACAAATTTGGTTGAATAAATAAAGGAAAAAAAAAACTAGATCGACCCAAATTCATGTATTAGGTGTTTTTTTTGTTTTTCAGAAAATTTGCTGTTTGATAATAGATTTATAGATATACATATAGTGACAGCAGATTTGTTTTATATTATGACAGATTTGTATATTGGATATAATGATGACAGATTTTTTCCCTATGATTTTTATATATTAAATTCATAAGTTCTAAAAAAGTCAATCAATAAAAATGGATATAGTTTTTAAATAAAATAGTAACAAATTTACTGAGACTAATAATGATAGATTAATAATTTTGTAAAATTAAATTTCATTTTTAGTTTGATATAATTTAATTAAAATTAAAATATATTTTTATTTATAAATTTAATTAAAATTTTAAAAATAAAGAGAAATCTATACTATATTAAAAATAAAAAGAAATCTGTCGTAGTATAAGTTTTTCATATAATTTTAATTTCTATATTCTTTTTAATGTAGTATAGATTTTTTCAGCTTATTACAAAGGATTTAATATATGTGTGACAGAATTTTTATATTGTTTGTCATTTTTAAGATTTAGGTTTTTTGAACTTCTTACATAAATGTTGTGTCATGCTAGTAATGACTAATGATAGAGGGGTTACTTCAAATATTTGTTGCCAAATTTGTCAATCTAGTTAATTATCACATAAATAGATTGTTTGATTAGTCTTTTAAATACCTGTCAATTTTAGTGATAAATATAGTAAAGGAATCGTGAAAGATGAAGTTAGTGATGACGGAACACGTGAATGAGTTGTACTAAACTGTTCTCTTCTATAAATTTATATGCAAATCCACCAAACTTCAACAAAACACAATAAAATGTCGAAATTTCTGCCGGAAGATTTAGCTATTGAGATACTAGCGAGGTTATCGGTGAAGGATATTGCTCGGTTCAGATGCGTCAGCAAGACATGGAGAGATCTCATCAACCACCGTGGATTCGCTCAAAGATACCGAGACATTTCTCCGGTGAAGTTCGTGTCGTTTTACGACGAGGGTTTCTACATGCTTGACGTGGAAGGCAAGCGTCGTCAGGTTATTACAAACCCTCATAAGCTCGATTTCCCTATGGAGCAGTCGATGATCGATGAATCGGCGTGTGTGCTTCACTGCGATGGGAATTTATGTGTTACATTAAAGAATCACACTTTAATGGTTTGGAATACATCTTCTAAGCAATTCAAGATCGTACCAAATCCCGGTATATACCGAGATTCAAACATTCTTGGTTTCGGTTATGACCCGGTTCACGACGATTACAAAGTCGTAACGTTTCTCGACCGGCTTGATGCGTCCACGGCGCATGTTTTCGAGTTTAGAACCGGTTCTTGGAGAGCGAGCCTACGGATTCCTAATCCTGATTGGCATTACAGAGACAGGAGAGGTACACTATTGGACCAATACCTCTATTGGATTGCGTACCGGTCTAATACTGACCGGTTTATTCTATGCTTTAATCTCTCAACCCATGAATACCAAAAAATCCCTTTCCCGGTTAACAACCAAGGCGTGGCGTGTTCATGGTTAGGCGTTACATCTCGAAAACTCTGTATTACAGAGTATGAAACGTGCAGGAAGGAGATTGGGATTTCGGTTATGGAGAAAACCGGATCATGGAACAAGATTATAAGCCTTTCAATGTCTAGTTTCATCTCTGTTCAAGATCGTATCTACGATTATCAAGTTGAATTCGTGTCGTTTGCAAAAAAGAACGATCTCTTCGTAACATTGACTGGATACAACGATAGTTTCGAGATGGAACGTACGAAGAAGATGGTGTTCTTGTACAAAACCAGAGACGAGACATTTGAACAAGTCCGGCTCTGTAACTCTCTTGCCGGGTTACGGTTTCTCTGCGAATGTGTGGAGACTCCTAAGATTACTAATCGTATATTTATTTGAAAGTAAAAAATAATAGTAAAAAAAAATAATAATAATAATAATTAAAAATAAAAAATAGTCAGTTGGACGAAGAAATAATATGATCAAAATTCATGCATATCTGATATAGTGATAATTAACTCTGGGTAAAATATTCGTTAAATTTGTTTCGCTTCTATACGAGTCATGGTTTCTCGGTTTCTCTGTGAATATGTGGAGACTCCTAGGATTACTAACCGTATATTTATTTGAAAGTAAAAAAAAAAAAATTGGACCAAAGAAAATGCAATGATTCGCCATATATAGGCTACATCTAAGCCGGTTTGGCTTGATTCGTGATAACCGGATATATGAAAGTGGTTTGTAATGTTGAATTAAAGACCAAACCGGATAGATGAGCTTTAGTAGATTATAAAATTTGATTAAACACAAGAGAGAGAAAAAAAGAAGATTAGGAAGAATATTAATGGAGAGAGGGATGAGCAATGGGCAATCACTCTGGCACTCTCAGTCCCCGAAAACTCCAACGAAGATGCTGGATCGCGCGCTTTCCTCTCGCCGTCCTCACTCCGACGCTGATCTCTCTGATTCCGGCGAATCCGGAACCGACGAATCTAAGACCAAACGCCCCCACATTTACCTCCTTGCTTCCAATTTCCTTTCTCGGATCGGCCATCAGTGGTGGCCTTTTCTCATCCTCGCTCTCCTTTTCCTCCTCCTTCTCTTCCTCATCTCCGTAGCTTTCCATTCTCACAGCTTCGTTTGCATCTCCCGCTTCGATCCCGCTGCTCGGATCGGGTTTTTCGGTTTTGATGGGCTCGAATCCGACTTCGGTGCCCTTGGTGTTCCTTGGTGTAAGCGCTCGAGATCTCTCTTTCTTTAAGCGTTCATTTGTTCTGTCTTCAACATTGTCAATTTGGTTTTTGTGTATTCTTAGTGGAATCTCTAGTGAATTTTTACTCGAAATGCGCTGGTGAGATTTGGTCTAGGTTTCCATTTCATATTCATGTGTCGATTTATAAACTGCTCTATAAATATGTTTCAAATGAGATTTTAGTTTCATTGAATTGAAAGGCTTGTAGCTTCCAGTGGTCTCTGGATAGTGTAGTAGTTGACAAATCAATGGAGAAGAACGATTAACTGCTCTAATACACTTTGATTACGAGTTTTGTATTCTGAGGTTGCAATGTCGTTGTTATCAATCCTTCCACTAAAGCAACAGGAAGAGGATTTTTATGGGGGTTTTCTTAGGGTGTTATAGAATACGTTGTCTATGAACAAATTGATTCGTTGTGCTATGGAAGTATTTAATTTTCTTCCTTGGCAAAAGGCAGATCGAAACATGGAAAAGAAGTTGAATGGACCTCCAAAGATTTACTCAAGGGTCTGGAAGAGTTTGTGCCCATATATGAAACACGACCTATAAAGAACAACATGTATGGAATGGGTTTTGATCACAGCTTTGGGTTATGGTTCATGGCCCGTTGGCTAAAGCCAGATCTGATGATTGAGAGTGGTGCTTTTAAGGGACACTCCACTTGGGTTCTGCGGCAGGCGATGCCAGATACACCTATTATCTCACTTACCCCCAGGCACCCTGAGAAGTATCTAAGAAAGGGACCGGCCTATGTAGATGGAAACTGCACATACTTTGCAGGCAAAGACTTTGTTGATTTTGGAAGTGTTGATTGGAAGACTGTGTTGCGAAAACACGGCATAACAGATCTCAACCGTGTTGTGGTCTTCTTTGATGACCATCAGAATGAACTCAAAAGGTAGTTTTTTCATATCTCACTGCTTTGCCAAATGGCATGTGTTAAGATTTCACTAATTCTTTTAATACACATTTACAAATGAGCAGGCTAAAGCAAGCACTGAAAGCTGGTTTCCGACATCTTATTTTCGAGGATAACTACGATACAGGAACTGGGGATCACTATTCCCTAAGACAGATATGTGATCAGTCATATATAAGAGGTGGGTGGTTCTAAAAAGATCACACAATAGTTACATGGATTTGGATTTGAAATGGTTCTTATATGGATTGTTTTGTGTCTCCAGGAGGCGGACACAGTTGTTTCAAAGACAGCGATGAAGCCAGGATGAGATCAAAGAGGAAGAAGTTCTGGGAAAAAGCAGTTGATACAGAGGAACTGTGTGGACCAGGTGAAACATGGTGGGGAGTTAGAGGAGAGATGAGAGACGATTTTAACCACACGAACACGCCAATCTCATACAATCAGCATTTTCAAAACAGTCGGTACGTAGAGTCAATTCTCGACGTCTACTGGGAGCTACCTCCAGTTGCAGGACCATCATTGACTCATCAGTCGCGGTATGACCCTGCTCGTTCGACTCCTCCAATCGTAGCAGATGGCAAGCACCGTTTGTTCCAAAGAGTGGGTTTAGGTCGGCTGGATAAGTCAGTGTTCAATGGCTATACTCAAATGGTATACCTTGAGATATCCAAGCCTGGGTCATAGAGATTGTGTGATTCCTGCAAAAGAAGAGTTGTTTCCTTAGCTTTTTTTTTTTTCTTTTCACTTTCCTCTTATATAAGTTAAAACTAAAGTTTGTTAATACAGGAGATTTTTTTCTACTGTGCTTTTCGATAAATGTCTTGATCGATTGTTAATCTCTCTTATGATGTTATGCTTCAGCAGGTTTAAATTCTTAAGTAGGCAACGTTTGTCTTATTCCTTGAGTACCGGTCGGTTTAGATAATTATCTTGGTATTTGGCGACATGTTTTGCAAACCAGAATTGTGCTTTATTAATTGTTGGGCCGGACAAAAAGACACAAATTATGGGCCGAGATCCATTAAACGAATACAATGAGAGAGAGAGCCTATCGAACTAGAATAAGCAGCAATTGAAGTAATCACTGTGCTCGGAAGTAGGAACCATGGCGGAGAGATGGACGAACACGGCTCTACTGGTTATCGATATGCAGGTCTCTCTCTACATGTGAATATCTCTGTGTGTTGTTACTTAGTGATAGGGTTTTTTGCTGTTGTGTGTGTTTCTAGGATTTTGGAGTATATGTTGAAATGTTGTATTTGTGTGGGCAGAAGGATTTTATAGAGGAAGGTTCGGTTATGCAAGTGAAAGGTGGGAAATCTATAGTTGCTAATGTTATTAGAGTCGTCGAACTCGCGAGGCAGCGTGGTATTCTCGTAATTTGGGTACTTACTCTCCTCATCTCTTATACTAGTATATTTCTCATGGTAAGGACTTTGTAGCATACTCTGGTTTGAAATTTTGTGAGAACTTAGAAATCTGCAATGGTTAGGTTGTGAATTGGCTAATCTTGATGGAAACTAAACTAAAACGGGGTCAATTCAGGAGTAAATTGGGTTCTTGATCATGCTTGCAAGCTCTGTTTTCAGAATCTAAAATGTAAGATCTTCAGTTTCCAAGTCAAGTGTAGTAAGTAGTCTTGATGAGAATGAGAGCTTCGTAATCGAGAAAGACATAAAAGATTCTAACTTGATTAGTGAAGAACGTTATCTGGATTCATTGTGTGGTAGCTTTAATTGACAAAGTGTTTTTATTCATCGTGGAATAGGTTGTTCGGGAACATGATCCTCGAGGAAGAGATGTTGAAGTATTCAGGCGCCATCACTACAATTCTGAGACAGTCGGGCCAACCGTTAAAGGCACAGTGGGTGCAGAATTGGTAGAAGGATTGATCATTAGAGAAGAAGAAGAAGATTATAAGATAGTTAAAACGCGTTTCAGCGCATTCTTTGGAACCAATCTTCATTCCTTCTTGCAAACTTCCGGTGTTAACAAGTTAGTGATTGCTGGTGAGTTTGTTAAAGACTATCATGAAACCTCTTATGTGAAACTTTTGTTGGACTCTTTTTTTGTTTCTCTATGGTTTTCTCGGATTAAGCTAGCTGTTTCTGTAACCTTTTTTTGCAGGTGTTCAGACACCGAATTGTATCCGGCAGACGGTTTTTGATGCAGTGGAGCTGGATTATCCAAACGTGACTGTTATTACAGATGCCACAGCAGCTGCAACACCTGAGATCCATACCGGTAAAAAAAGACCAGTTTTTACTCTTGATGTTGTTTGTCTTTGTGGTTTAACAAAAGCATCTCCTTTGTTAGAAATCATTGAATAATTTGTTTTCATCTTTGTCATATCCTCCGAGAAAGAAAGGAACTAACATTGTCGTGACTTCCATTGGATCAGCGAATATTCTTGACATGAAGAATATAGGCGTCAAGACTCCTACTTTACACGAGTGGTCCGAAGACGACTTTGCTTGACATAATTCGTATCACATACATATCATATCATTCCTAAACCCTTCCTTCTAATCTTGTTCTTGTTTGTATACATGTAATAAAGAAAGAAAATCTAATGTTTATTGTAAGTTACAACACCTCCTCCTTGTAGTATTTCATTTCTTTGTAACAGTTTGTATCCCGTCCAAAAAACTCAAAAAGTATTACATGTACAATAAGAGATACAATGGATTTGAAACAATAATATGTAGTTTTTGTGAAAGTATAAGTGAAGAAAAAAGATAAAAACAGGATTGATGATTAAAGAGAAGAGGGGATAAGAAAAGGGTATTGGGTAACGTGGGGGAAAGAAGAAAATGGAAGGTAATGGTTAGCCTCACCTCATTGTCCTCTCTTCCTTCTCTTTATTGCTTTTCCCATCTCCATCTCCTCCACTTTGTTCCCTCCAAGTTTGGGGTCATTCTTCATCAACAACTATATTAAAATAAAATCACACCTATACAAAATATTTTTAACACTAATCTAGTAATATTCCAATTTGATTATTATTTTTAAAAATATAATACTCACACTAATCTAGTAAAGTAGTCCATGAATTCATTTCACCAAATGCCTTGTGATTTCCAACGCTCAAAACCAACAAAAAAAATTAAGATACATATCTTTAAATGTTGTGTCGTTCGATCGTAATAAAAATCTTTAGTAATATAGCCATCATCATCATATCACACTATTATGTTAGTTGAGAAGAGAGACTTCAAATTGAATTTTGATTTCTATCTTGTAATTACATACTGTTATTTACATTATACTTACGGATGAGTAGTGCAATGTACCTGAAAAATAATAATGATATGCACAATTTATTATTGTTCCAGAAAGTAATTGTAGTTATACTAAAGGAGTATGAAACACTACCTTTGAAGTGACGTTTATGATTAAAGAAAAGAAGAGAGAGGAAGATCTAGAGAGTGGAGTAACACAGCTCATTTTCATGATTACGAGGGACATTCTTTTGTGTAACCCTTAAAACAATGTGGCTTGGGGACTTTACAAGACAATCACTTTTTTTCCTTCTTATATGTTGTGTGTGGCAATGTATATTTCACCAAAACAGTTTGATAAATCAAAAGCATATGAGCAATTAAAACAGTATGTCTAGTTTCCATATGATGGGATGATTTAACGTTTGATTTTCACGATTATTGATTCCGAGGATACACATAGAAGATGCATATACAAAAAAAAATGTGACAAGAATATTGTATTTTAGAGAGAGATTGAGGATAAGAGATTGATTTGACTTGTGAAAAGAAATGGGGACGACAATAGAGTGTTGAAATATCAAAAGGCATGTTCATGACTTTACATAAACTAATAAAATAAAGAAGCTAAAAAAGAGAAGCTCTACTTTGTTACTACATACATGTGAAAATAAAACAAACGCGTTGTTAGTTTTCTAACCATTTTTTGTTTTTTGTTTTTGGGTTACAACTTACAATTAAATAAACAGAGTTAAAACCTCCCAACTTGTAAATTCCAGTAAACACAACAAGAAGAAGAAGACAAAGGCTGGTAAAGAACTTGTGTGTAAAATGGAGATGAGGATTTTGTGAACAAAAACATGTTAAGAGAGACCAAAACATTGAATAAGAAGAAAGCAGAGTAGGTGAGAAAAAACGAGTCTGACAAAATGATAATAATAATATATTTGTTTTTTCTTTGAATTTTGAGAAGAAAAAATGAGTCTGAAACCTGACACATACCTCAATAGACCTTTCCTTCTTGAAGTAAGAAATGGAAGAAATAAAGAAATTTTTGTAGGGGGTTTGGCGTGTAAGTCAAGCAACCTTTGAAAATAAATAATGTTTCAGACGATTCCATTTTTCTACAGTCTTCTTTTTTTGGCACTGTCCCAGAATATGTATTGTCTTCGTCCGCAATCTTACATTTTCACTCTATATTATACATTCACACCATTTTTTATATTTACCAAATATCAATTTAAAGATAATTCTGTAATGTTTTCACCAATTGGTTTAAGTCGTCATTACAAATATTCGAGAAAAAATCTAAGCATAGTGTTGTTCCTGATCATAGTGAACATTTCTTTCGACTGTGTGTGTTATTTCACAAGCCTCTTTTTTCATAAAAGTCTGAAAAGCCAATAGTAAAAAAACAAAATAATATGTTCTTCTAGTGTGTATGCTTTTTGTTATATAGACAGTGTTATGGGTTTTTGGTTTATGTGGTTTTTGTACATGTATATAAAAGTTTCTTCTTCATATGTAGTAGCACACTATAGTTTGAAGTTTTGGATTTTCTTGAACTCGGTTTTAACGAGTGTCTAAGTCATTTTTTTATATTAAGAGAGTGGTTAAGTTACAACGAGTGTCTAAGTCATTTTTTAACTATGAGAAAGTGAGTAAACTAGTTTATAATGATGATGATAAGAGATTTATAATAATGAGATGACATAATGAGTAGTAGATTAATAAGTTTGTCAAAAAGTGTGATTGCAGAGTATCCAACACCCACGTGCAAGGCAAATGACCATGTCACTTTCATCATTATGGCTTTTTTCCCTCACTTTTTGTCTTTTTAAAAAAATAATATTGACATTATATTTACGAAAAATATTTTAAGTGATTTTTTTTATGTATAGGTATATATTTTTATTAGTTTATTACAAACCGGATATTCTAAAGTTGATTAATTCTGATTTATTCAAATGGTTCATGTGGACTCAATAAAGACCACAAACAAAGTTCGACTGATACTCTCTAATAAACTTAATAAGTCAGTTTTTATTCTGAGATTGATATAATAGTATAGCATTTCACTATTTCATATTTATAAGTCTAGCAGTATAATGGAATATTGTGATTTGTTTTATTGGATATTTATTTTGATGAAATGTTTGCTATTCTTTGCATTCTGTCTTTGGATTTAGTCACATCAAAGCTATAATTGTCAATTTAGAATATGGATACTTTAACTTAGTAGTATTCCTCTAAAAGTCGAAGTTAGCTGGGAATAAAACTAAATTTAAAGTATACTACTGTATATTCGAAGTTACTATACATCGTAAAGTCCGAAACTTCTTATTATGGTAAAAATGTAGTATGTTATTATCTTATTGATAGTGTATATTTTGTTTGGGCCAACTCTTTGGAGATGTTGACTTATTAGTGTGATTAGGAGAAAGCGAACCAAAAAAAAAAAAAAAAAGTTAACAATATGATTGCACTTACTTTAATGAATCTACTTCTTTTCTTTAAAAATGAGTGAAATTAAAGTTAGAAAAGTCTCAATTTGTCAAGAAAAGAGGAATAGAGAGTAGCCAAAACAAAAGCTGTTAACCTCATGGGATGTTTTGTATTCCTTTCTCTTCAATTATTAGTAAAACTTTTTTGTTATGATTTTTGATAATGGGGATATGTGATTTGTGAGAGCTATTTTGATTACTTGTTTAGTAACAAGGCTAGGATAGTGGTGATTCATGATGATTAGAACAAGACTTCTTTAGAAAGAGAAAATGAACTAAATATGTTTGGATATATGTATCCCTCTCTTATTTGACCAGCCTAGAAGACAATTTTAAGTTTTCCTCTTTCCCTTTTAAGATTGATTTTGCAAAAGCTTTGAGCTCATAATTTCAAGTATACGACAGGCAGATCTCTCTTTGAGTAAAGTAAGTAAGTAAACATGTGTGCCATAAGGAACCCTTACAAAACATAGAACACTAATGTGATGTCTTTACAAAAAGACAACTCCAAGGTTTACAAAACCAAAACAACGATGTATTTATATAAGTAACAAACCAATTAAATATAAAATTATAGTACATCCTTAACATATTTTTCAAATTTATAATTTTCTGCTGACTTGAAATGGAAATAGAATTTTTTGATTTAAAGGATTTATTTCAAAAAATATAAGTCAATAACACTATATATACCTTTTTATGTTTGACGTAAGTAACATGGAAGATGGAACATTTGAAGTTGAATGTACAAATGTACTGTTCTCTCTTCTTTAAAAAAAAGAAATATATATATATAGATATATATATATCTATATACAAATATATATATGTTAATTTTCATATGTATATATATATATGTTAAACACATATTTTCCTGGCATTTATAATTGGGTATTTAGCTAGATTAGGAAAAAGACGTGTAATCTCACTATTTATTCTACATTAGTAATATTTCAAGTTATAACTACGAATAAAAAGAATGATAATTGTCGTGTGCAAATAGGATAAACTTCACTCTATTAAAAAAAAAAAGAAGAAGCTAAAACCCACATTAGGATAAAATTGATATAATAAAATAAAATTTTGGCGTCCCAATAAGAATAAGATAGTAGTATTAATTTATTTCTGCTTAAGAAAAAAATGGTATACTTATTTAAATATCAATCTCTCGCCCATTTATTATTGCTCACTCGTCGCAGAAAACAGAGATTCCTCGCTGTCTGAACTCAAAATAAGATCGCATTAAACTCTTTTTAAGCTCTCTCACAAAGACAAAGATCTTCTTCTTCTTCTTCCCTCTTCTCTCTTTGTTCTCTCTTCTCTCTTTGTTCACTAAGTTGAAGAGAAAGGTAAAGAATAATGGAGAACCCACCGGATCAAACAGAGTCATCATCAAAGGAGATGCTTCAACCAAGTAGTAGTAATGGTAGAAGAAGAAGAGCCAAGGGTGGTCTTCTCACTATGCCTTTCATCATTGGTATAAGTCGTTACTACATCTCTCACTCTTTTTCTTCTCTTTTGCAAATCCAAATCTTGATTCTGAATTCTCTCTTCTTGTTTCTTGTTTTGAAACTGGGTGAAGCAAACGAGGGGTTCGAGAAAGTGGCGAGCTACGGGCTATTACAGAACATGATTCTTTACCTGATGAGTGATTACAGACTTGGAGTTGCCAAAGGCCAGACAGTGTTGTTCATGTGGGTCGCTGCTACTAATTTCATGCCTCTCGTTGGAGCTTTCCTCTCAGATTCCTTTTTCGGTCGCTTTCTCACCATCGCCATTGCTTCTCTCTCCAGTTTCCTGGTATTTTCTGGTTTATTCTTCTTCGTTTTCCCGGTTTATTCCGGTTCGATTTCAACTCTGTTAAAAGATCACCAATTCTTTTACCTAAACCAACCATGTTCTTTTATTAGCCTTTGGTCTCGACTGATTTAGGTGAAAACTGAAAAGTATCGTGCGGTGGTCTTCAGTGTATTCTTTTTTTACTTGGCTTTTGATAATTGGACCAAACTCATTTGTATCGATAATAGAAGTTATAAATTCCGGTTGGACACTTTTTGATAATAGAAACTTGGCTTTTACTTTTGAGTGACAAAAAAAAGAAAAAGAGAATTCAATAAAAAAAATCTAACCATGTCATAGATTTAAGGGCCTTAGCAAAATTAAATGGTACGAGGTTTTCGTAACTAGTTACTACTATTTATTTTTAAGTGATTTTTTTTGGTCTGGTAAACATTTCTAAACTTTTTAAATTTGTTTTACCGTTCGTTATCCTTGAATGATTAATATAGCTGTATATTTTGGCTTAAAGTATAGTAATAATAATCATAGAAGAGAGTGAAGTTTCTATTTTAAGAGTTGATATGATTAAGGCTTCTAAAAAGCCTCTTTCCCATTAAGAGTCAAATATTTCACATGTTGCATGTGCTTACCCCTGAAATTGCTGTCCAATGAATATATTAAAATCTTTTAACCACTTTGTCTTTTCTTTAATATTTTTGTGAGTTCATCAAAAAAGATAATATATATAAATACCAACGTCGGTAAAATTAAATTCGAAGCCAGCCAGGTGTTCTGAAATGTCCCATGTGATTTTATATTTATATATAATAACAGGTCTTAAATACTATCATAAAGTTATCATTATTAATTAATAATTCCAAAAAAATTTTATTAATTCTTTTGAAAATCTTGTTGTTGCTTTCCTTATGGTTTATGGCCATTTTCTTCTCTGGCAACTTGTTAGATTGTGAAAGACCTCACTGCTTGATTCAATCTCTATGTATATATATATTCATATTTCTTATAACGTTTTCGATTACTATAGTTTTCATTATTTTAACGTGTCCATACATATGGGTCAAGCTGATTGTAAGACCCACATTTTTGCCACCATTTAAGGATTTGACATTAGTTTTTTGGTTAGACATGAAAGCAATATCGACTGGTGTGACCCATGTTTTTGTACTACTCGTCCCATTCTTGATCCTCAAAGCCCTTTTTATTTCCATCCACTTGAATAAAAAACCAAACCTTATCATATAACATCAAATGATTTCGAAATCTCTAGCTAGCAATCATTCATTCATCTAGACTCTCTAGAGTATCAATCATTTTCCGTAAGAAATTACAATAATGTGTTTTTTCCTATGATTGTGACAATTTGACGTACGTATAGATTGATAGATCTCTGATCTAAACCTTAGATTCTTGTTCTTGTATGTACTTTTCTTTGAAAGACATCTACAGCATTTTACGAATGAGATGAAAACTACATTTTTATTTATTTATTGTTTTTAAAACGACAAAATGGAACCTTCACACACTGTTTATATTTCGACTTTGTGTCAATTTAAGATTTTATTATACTGTTTTATGTTTGTGGTATTATTACTACCAATTTAATAAACTTTGTATGAATCAAAACGTTACAGGGTATGGTGTTTCTATGGCTAACGGCGGTGTTACCACAAGTGAAGCCATCACCTTGTGTAGCAGCAGCCGGGACCAGCTGCAGTTCCGCTACATCTTCACAATTGGCTCTTTTGTATTCCGCATTTGCACTTATATCGATTGGATCAGGCGGAATCAGGCCATGTTCTTTAGCCTTTGGTGCTGATCAGCTTGACAACAAAGAGAATCCTAAGAACGAGAGAGTTCTTGAGAGCTTCTTCGGTTGGTACTACGCTTCTTCGTCTGTTGCTGTCTTGATCGCTTTCACCGTCATTGTTTACATTCAAGATCATCTAGGATGGAAAATCGGGTTTGGAATACCCGCGATTCTCATGCTGCTCGCGGCTTTCTTGTTTGTTTTGGCCTCTCCTCTCTATGTTAAACGCAACGTGAGCAAGAGTCTGTTCACTGGTTTAGCTCAAGTGGCTGTTGCAGCTTACGCGAACAGGAAGTTAAGTTTGCCAGAGCATCAAGACTCCAACGACTGTTACTATCGTTTGAAAGATTCTGAAGTCAAAGCTCCAACTGACAAATTGAGGTAATTAATTTGAATCCAATTCATATATATATAGTTCGTCATTAGTTTCTATTTTTGTTTTGTATATTGAAATTTCTTGCAATTGCTTTAGGTTTATAAACAAAGCTTGTGTCATAAGAAACCGAGAAGAAGACCTTGGCTCTGATGGTTTGGCCTTAAACCCATGGAGGCTATGCACAACAGACCAAGTTGAGGAACTCAAGGCGTTGGTCAAGGTGATACCAGTATGGTCCACAGGGATAATGATGTCAATAAACGTTAGCCAGAACTCGTTTCAGTTGCTTCAAGCTAAATCAATGGACAGACGTTTGAGCAACAGTTCGAACTTCCAAATCCCAGCTGGATCTTTCGGTATGTTCACAATCATAGCCTTAATCTCATGGGTCGTTTTGTACGACCGCGCCATCCTCCCATTAGCTTCCAAGATCCAAGGCAGACAAGTTAGGATCAATGTCAAGATTCGAATGGGGTTAGGGCTATTCATATCCTTCTTAGCAATGGCGGTTTCCGCAACTGTTGAGCATTACAGAAGGAAAACCGCGATAAGCCAAGGACTCGCAAACGACGCCAACACAACAGTGAACATCTCAGCGATGTGGCTGGTACCACAGTATGTGCTACACGGTTTAGCAGAGGCCTTAACAGGGATAGGACAGACGGAGTTTTTCTACACAGAGTTCCCAAAAAGCATGTCGAGCATTGCGGCTGCGCTGTTCGGTCTAGGAATGGCAGTGGCTAATATCTTGGCTAGTGTGATACTAAATGCGGTCAAGAATAGCTCAAAGAAGGGAAACGTTAGCTGGATTGAAGATAACATCAACAAGGGTCACTACGACTATTACTATTGGATTTTAGCAATCTTGAGCTTCGTTAATGTCATCTATTACGTTGTGTGTAGCTGGTCGTATGGTCCAACGGTGGATCAGATGAGAAATGACAAGGTTAATGGCGTGAGAGAAGAAGAAGAAGAAGAAGTTCTTAAATTAAACTAAGAACCAAATTGATCACAAGTGGTGTACGTACGTGTGCTATAAAAATCTAAATATTTGTATGTAATTAGATTACTATTATATAATGGATTTGGATTTTCTTAGGATGTAGAGTGATGATATTAATTAATCGGGTGTGCTTATTTATCACAAAATATGTGTATGATACTAGTATTTGTAATTTGATTGAAGAGAATCAAATTTTTCGATATGGTAACTTGAGAAAAAAAAATGGTTCAAAGCTTACTAAGAGTAGAAACATTGCGTCTGACTTTGACGCTAAGAGGGGACATCCACAACCTTGCTGTGGCTATGAGTTCTCCACTTGTTTCTCTTCTGATCTCAATCACAGCTGATTTCAATCCTCCATTGCTTCCATTCACTCTTGCTTCTATCTCTACCGTTTCCTTCAATTTAATTTGTTATATATTCTTTTATTATCTCAATCATTACTAATAATAATGCACTTACCTAATTTAGTAATTTACCCAATTAGAACATAACAAAAACGAGAGAAAAATGAGGATAGGAAAGCTAACTTGAATCTTGGCCGTTGAATAAAACGAGCAGTTGAGATCAACAGAGGAATGGAGTCCGTCGCCGGTGGAGTACACAGCAGAAGCTCCGATCGTATCCATCACCGCCGTAATCACTCCGGCGTGCCAAGCTCCGTCTTCTCCCTAAGAATTATTCATCTCTAGTAGTTAGTATAATAATAACATACGCCAATTCAAAAACAAGATTCGATTGGATGAGTAGTTTTGTTACCGCGACACGATCTGTGACGAGTAGTTTACATCGTAAGACTCCTTTCCCGACATGAATGAGTTCTAAGCCTTGTAGGATTAAAGCCTCAAACTCGCTTTTGCCGTTGCCTTTTGCTATCTCTTCGAGATACGATGATGTCGTTTTAAGGATCTTTGAATCTGCCATATCTCTTTCTTTTTCGTCTCGTTACGTGTTTGTTAAAAAAACTAACTCGTTAGTGGAATATATAATATGATCGGATCACTATTTGATTACCACTATAACCTTTGTGGAATGATTATTGATTATCATTAAAGACTATGCTCAACTCTCTTAACTCTCTTCCTTTCATACTTACGATTTGTTCATTGAACATATAGAAATATGTAGTTTCCAAATGGTTTGGTTTTTGATTCTTGACATTATTAAGTCAAGTACATGATATAGAAAAAAAAAAAAAAAGAGGACAATACATTTTATGATTTAAGCATGCGTAATAGAATCAAAGAACCAGGAGTGACAGAGAAGAAATCCATGGTTGTCTCTGAGAATTTATTCCTGAATGTCCAGAGATTTCTTTAGCTCTTTTTTGTTCACCTGCAATTCGACAAATACTCCAAAAACTGAGAATCATTCTTATTATTTTACACCAAACAAACTTCTCTGAATATGATTTAGGGGGAAAAAGCTTTTAGAGACACTGAGAGAGATTAAAGTTTACCTTTCCCATGGCGTTGCGAGGCAAGCTCTCCCATATAAGCAACCGTGTTGGTAGCTGAAACGATAGACTATTATCAGCAAGAAATTAAATACTATGAAAAGACTGTTGGATAGCAATTTGGCAGATTTTGAGTACCTTGTAAGGAGCAAGCTTGTCTTTAGCCCAACCGCACAGTTCTTCTAAGGTCATCACAGGTTTTGACTCATCCTCGCTTCTCTTCTTTGCTTCAGTCTCTGCTACAATTATAGCAGTAACGGCTTCCCCATAATCTTTGTCTGTTAAACCCAACACGCAACATTCTGCAACCGTAGGATGCTGCATAACACATCCCAGAATTTTCATTCAGCGATTAAATTTCTTGGTTTTGAATCTCAAGTTCTATAATCTATTTTCCGAGTAGAAAGTAGCTTCTACCTTCAATGATCCAAAAAGAACGCTAATGAATGTTAATGTTACCTCGAGAAGGGTTGATTCGATTTCTAAGGCAGATAACTTATATCCTCCAACCTTCATAATGTCAGCGCTATTGCCTGATCGTGGCCAAAGAAGAGATAATGTTAAAAGAAGAAACACAAACTACTCTTAAAATGTGTTTGAAGGTATTTCTTGCTTCTGCTTACGTCCTAGAATCACGTAGTATCCATCCTCATCAACTCTACCAGCATCTCCCGTCTTGAAGTATCCATCTTCCGTAAACGATTCTTTAGTCACTTCTGGAAGATTCCAGTACTCCTTAAACAGAGATGGGCTTTTGACACAAATTTCACCCACTCCGTTTGAATCATTTTCATCTTCTTTAATTTTAGCCTATTACATTGACACACTTTTTCAGTATCATAACTTCATGTCAACAGTATGTGCACCTTAGATGTGTGGATATAGTTAAAAGGTGTTGAATTTGGACTTAAGAGAAAGAGGATCTCACTGACCTCTACACCAGGAAGAGGTTTGCCGACAGTACCTGCCTTCCGTTCGCCATGTAAGGGGTTTGATATTGCCATTACAAACTGGGAATATTTGACAAAAAATTAAGTCAGTTGATGTAACTACTAAGAACAGGCTTTGTCTAAGGTATTGCATTATTGTAACTAAAAGATACAGGAAAATCTACTTACCTCAGTCATGCCATATCTTTCCAAAAGACGATGACCTGTGATAATTTCCCATTGATGCATGACCGGTCGAGGGAGAGCAGAGGAGCCAGACATCTAAGAAATGTATTTTATCCCCAAATGCGTAAGCACTTATTCCACCAGAATTTGAAAATAGAATAGCCGTCTAAGCATATGTATTGATAATCCATCAAGCTGGATTTGAGTTTCTAGGAGATATTTGGTAGCTTACCATTAGGCGAAGCTTCTGTGCAGCAGAAGCACTAGAGTCCTGCATCTCTTTATCCATTGCTTCATAACCTTGTATCAACCGAGTGTACATGGTTGGAACCTGTTTATCACAACATTCACTTTAACCACTTGAAGTAGCTATATCTCTCTATTAACTCTCTTTTTCTTGTCTCAAGCTAAATTCCTCTTAAGCAAAATGTGTTTGCTTATATCTAAAGCGCCAGAAGCAAATTGGAAACTGATCGACTCAGCCAAGACAATCACTTTGTTACAGAGTAAGCTGGAGTAATCTGGCCCTGAATCATATACTTCCTTCGAATCAGATATGAACCAAAAAGATAAACATATACAAACAAGCTTGCTATATTGATACAAGAAAAGCCTTATACAACATGAAACACTTAACTGGACGCAGTCACGCAGGGATAACTAATTCATGAACTAGAAATTCTTTTAAAGGAATAAAAGCAAAGAAGACTTACTCCAGTGAATACAGTTATGGCGTCTTCAGTTTTCCCAGCATTCACTGGATATGATTCACGCCATCTACGCCAGATTCCACTAACACTAAATTTGGGCAAAAACTCAACCTTCAAAGAGAAATATAAACATCAATTAAAAACCTTTAAAGACCTTGATGTTTTCAGAAGTTAATATATTTTGAAAGAACTAGCTGAAGCAAATATGGATAGTATAAGTTACCGAAGATCGCGCATAAAGTGGTGCAAATAAAGCGTTGAAAAGCCCATGAACATGATGTAGTGGGAGGCAGTGGAGAATATGATCAGCAGATGTGTACTCCCAAGCTTCAGTTAACATTTTAACCTGCACATATACAAGCTTACAACTTAAAAAGGGTTCATCATAATTTCACTTACTCACTGGAGAGACAGAGAGATACTGTATCAATTTAATAAATGCAGCCACATTCTAATGCAGGTTGAAAGGATTTAAAAGATGATGGGAGCTACATATTGGAGTTCCGATATATACCTGGGAATTGATGCTGTTGTGGGTATGGACAACTCCTTTTGGCTTACCAGTTGTACCACTAGTGTAGACGATCAATGCTGGATCATCTGCACAAATAAAGACTGATGTAATGCAGAAAAGACAGACCCATAATTTCTTGAATGTATGGAAGCATAAATTAAAAGAGTAGCCTCAAATATAAGATCATTATTTAAAAAATATTCAAAATTTTACCTAGAAACTTTACTTCTGTTTTAAAAATGTCGTCCTGAAACTGATTGCGAGCAACAGTTTCTGAAGTTGCGTTAACAACAGGAGGAATAAGATGAAATTTAGCGCCACTCTTTGCTGCAATAGTTTTCATGGTTTCACTATGGTCCTCTGTGCTCAATAACAGAGATATATCCTAGAAACCATAAACAATGATACAGCCCGAGAAATGTTAATAATTTCTACTCAATAGTAAATAGCAGCATAAGGAATACTTCTAAGCTTAAATATTGAACATGGTAGAAAACAGAGCCAACCATAAAAACCTAGCCATTCTAAAACCTTTTTCTACTTTATTCTACAGAGCACCCTTTTTGGTCATGTGAAAACAACTGATACCAAAACAAACAAGGGCTTGGATATGGATCAAAATTCAGAAATCATATCAAGAATACTTAAGAACTGACTACATGAAGAAAACCTAAGAACTGACCACAAGAATAATTAAAAAAATAGTTCCTTGAAGATAGCGTGGCCATAATCGAAATTAAAGCAGAACAAGATAGTTAGACAAATAGATCCCATACCGAATCATTCATCACATGTAAGAGTTCAGCTTCTGGATAGCTAAGTGCAAGTGGAACCGCTACACCACCGCTAAACCACGTTCCCAGGACTCCTGCAACAAACTCAGCAGAAGGTTTTGCCACAATTCCAATCCTAGCTCCTTTAAGACTACCAAAGCCTTCATACTTCTTAGTTTCACCTCCCTACGAAATTCAGAGAAAAGAAAATTTTAATAACCAGAAAGCTGTTAAATATTGTGATGGCTACAAGTGGATATGGCTGCAACATCAATCATACATTTGTAGTATCATCTTGGCAGAACAATTTAGATATGCTTAAGGCAGACGATGTGAGCTGGCCATAAGAGTGACTCTTTCCATCGGCTTTAATGGCAATCCTATCAGAGGAATTAGAGGCTTCTGAAAAAGCTGCTTTAAACACTTCCATGAGTGAACCAGACTGTGAAGCTGCAACATTTGATTACACAGATCAACTCAGGTTAAAGAGATATGACACAGATAAAATTCAGATCAATGAAAGAAATGACAAATTATAGAATAATCAAAATTGGGTTTTCAAACAAGAATCCTTATTGATGCTGAAAATATTCAATAAATTCAGACCAAAACTAACATATTGTTTTAATCTATGGATCATCAACGTTATATATGGAAAGCAAGAATCTTTAAGACATTTCGTCGAACAGGTCACATGCGTAAAAAAAACAAAAAAACGAAGAGCCAGAACAAAGTAGTAATAAAAAAATCGGAGAAGGAGAACTTACAGAAGAGATGATGGTAAGATTGGAAGAATCTAAAGCCAGAATTAAGAAAGGAAGCAGGAGGCTGGAGACGAGGAAGACGACGACAGGAGAGAATTGCTGAGCTATGGTTGAGTCGATGGGTGGTAATTAAAGACAAGTAGCTGAAACTCTTTAATGTCGTTGCAGTCATTTTTAGGTTCGCAGTAATGTAATGTTTTAAAAAACTTTATTGGAATTATCGATCGGAGATTTCAACTTTTTCTGTATAGTCGCTACAGTCAAATTACGTAACCAGCCGTTCTTCTTCTTAGGTTGCAATCGCGGGAAAAAAACCGACCTTGGTGGTGGATCATGGAAATAGCGACTGAAGCGTTTTGACGACGACTTGCTTTTCTTCGGAGACAATTCAGCCACGTGCGTGATTCTGACGATGGACAAAAGTGAACAAAGCGATTATGGTTTTTGTTTTGGTTCTGTCGTTTTGTATCTTTTGGATAATGATTTAAATCATTAATGATGTTGAGAGAAGAAGAAAAAAGACCATGAGAGTTACTAAAAATTTGATGTGGTGGTTAACTAACATTTCATACAGAAATTCATTGGTTTTAATTTTGTTGGTTGATTTTATTTAATGCCAACATGCAATTAATGTCTTCAATCAACCATTTTCGACCCAATCTGACTTCCAAAAAAAAAAAAAAGTTTTCATTGAAGAACTATTGTTTTTAAAACTTTACAGTGTAATTTATTAAATTTTTAAAAATAAGATGTAAGAGCACATGTTCATAGGGATTAGGTCCCGGGTTCGAATAGAGGAGAGGACGGCCATATAGAGGCAATTAAAATTAAAAACTTGGGTCATCTTCCTAAGCTCGTTCCCTCCACAATTATCACTCGCTCTCGATTTTGAATGCCTCCGTGTTCTTTGTTCTCAGTTAGCCTTTTAATTTCTTTCTGAGAAAACCCTAGAAGCTGCCAAAACAGAAAGAATACGCGAGAGTGATGTTTGAGAATCGAGCGGAGCAATCCAGTTTCTTCTGATATCTCCCAGCCATGGCGACTCTCCCATTCTCTGACCTGATTTAAGAATTGACGACGCTGTTTCTGAGGATTTCTCACCGCCCATGCTCAAATCGGTTCGCTTAACTGGGGAATAGCTTTTGTTGAAGTATCGATATGACTGATAAGGTAGATTCCGGCGATATCGCGACAGAGAAGAACCCTAAGGAGCTCGTTTTAACGAAATTGGAGCCATCTCTCGTCGTCCCGGAGTCGCCAGTAGAAGAACTTCCTCCGAATTCTCGGTATTGTTCCAATCTCTCTACCAAATTTTTGGTACATATGCTTTTCGTTTGAGTAATCTCCGTTCCAGAATCGACCCTCTGATCTCTTGATTGGTCTTTATTTTGAAGCAGAGAGCCTTCAGAAACAAAGGATAAGAGAGATGAGGAAGGGATTAGTACTTGGATGAAGCACAAAGGATGTCGATGCAAGCAGTCCAAATGTTTAAAGTTGTAAGATCATTTCAGGAATTCAAGAAAAATTACTCTTGTTGAGCTGGTAGAGATTTTAGTATAACGTTGAATAGAGATTTCTAAGTTCATCTGCTGTAGGCTTTAGTTCAGGTTAAACTACTTTTTTTGTTTGTGCTGAAGTTAAGCTTGAAACTGATGCATTATTGGATATTTTGTTTGACGCTTGGTTATTAGGTACTGCGATTGCTTTGCATCAGGACTATTATGTACCGACGACTGTGACTGTGCTGATTGTCATAACAACTCTGAAAACTTTGATGCAAGAGATACAGCTCTGAAGAGGGTACTAGCTCGCAACCCAAATGCCTTTAATGGAAAGTCTTTCAGCAGCCTCATTGACAAGCAGGTTTGTGCTTAAAATCTTTCATCACTTTATAGGAGTTAAGCTTCAGAGATGTATATCTCCACATCTTTTCTGATTTGTAAGTATCTGGAATGATTTGAATGCTTTGTATTGTAGTGTAAGGCTGAACCTGATACTAAACTTGGACTGCTTTCGAGAGGCTGCAAATGCAAAAGAACCAGGTGTTTGAAGAAATACTGCGAATGTTTTCAGGCTAATGTTCTATGCTCAGACAACTGTAAGTGTATCAGCTGCAAAAATGTCGGTGAAGCGTCCCAGCCTTCTGGTTTTGCCTTGGGACTAAACAACAGGAAGCTTCAGGAAGGATTTGATAATCCAGAGAAGAAGATTGTATGTGAGAACATTGTCAATGATATAGGAATCATTTCTCCTAGTGGACACAGTGTCGGCTTTAACAGCCACAACACTGAGGGAGGTATGAATTATGCACCTGCGTTTTCTGGTCACAATTCCCCACAGGTATACCAGAGAAGAAGACACCGAGAGCTACCTCAGGCAAGTGAAATATACTACCTGCTTTATAACAAATATGCACTCTATATACACAAGACTCATTTTTTCTATGTCTGGAAGTAGCAGCCGGATTCTTGTCCAGCTCCGTTGTTTTTGCTACCTGAAAATTCCATTCAAAATGCTCTGGGTTCCCCTATGTCTAGCTCTCCCTCTCCTAAGCTTCCTTACAGGTTTGTTTTCGCACTTCCTAAATGATATTTTCTCTTCTTCACCTCACAATATTAGGTATTTTCTTAACTGTATTTTCATTGTAACACCAGTAGGAAAAAGCCCCCGTTGGGATATACTTCCACACTTGTTCCGGACGTAGGAGATATATGCTCACTTCTCGTAGCAGCATATGTATCTGCTACAGCCACTGCAGGTATTAATTGTGTCTTAAAATATCTTAACTTTACTAGATCTACCATTCTGTCTTGCTTGGTTTCATCAACATTCTTCCTTCAACATCATAGAAGACCAGAACAGGATTTGTATAAATCCTGATGATAAGGTAGACCACAAGAGCACTGAGCTATTGAGTGAGTCTGAGAGCGGTAATGTAGAAGAAGAAATACAATCCTGTGGAAGATTGATCGAACTGATAGATGCTCAATACAATGGAGAGGAGGTCTATGAAACAGATCTATACATAGAGCAGGAAAGGGCAGTGCTAGCAACGTTTAGAGACTGTCTCCAGAAGTTCATCATATCGAGACTGGATTCATAAAAGGTAATAATAATTCCATCCCATTGTGTTAAACCATCCACCCCCAAAGTCCCAGTTACTACACTTTTAGTTGCTATCTGTGACAGGTCAGGTTCCTTCAAGAAACAGAGAGCTGAGTCCGTAATTAGCCATGAAGCTGAGACAGAACAACAATTTTAAACACGAACTAACAAATTGAAACCAGAATGAATACAATATACTATAGGACTGGAGGTAACAAAATGCCTAAATTTACTACTCCAGATTTTTTATTATAATGAATAACCAAATTAAATAGAGCGATGACTGATTAATAGCACACTAATCAAATACTAATACATTTTCTTAGTCTAAGAATATCTCACTCCCAAATAGCAACCTCCATGAATCCATCCTCTGTAGCACATCCCCTGAACATCCCATTGGAATTAAAACCACAAACCACCTCTCCTTTATTTGACACAGCGATGAGTCCAGCAAACCCTTCGTCTAATCGATGCTTGATGACGTAATCAACAGCTTCTTGGAGGTTAAGTCCTTTGTACTCCATAACAGCCGACACATCACGAGCTAGCGTAGCTCTTATGATGGCTTCTCCTTCTCCTGTACATGACACACCACAGAGCTCCGACGCGTACGTCCCTGCTCCTATAAGCGGCGAGTCACCAATCCTCCCCATCATCTTGTTCATCAGACCCCCGGTTGATGTCCCAGCCGCACACCGTCCTTCCCCGTCTACCACGACGCACCCGACTGTCTCCGGGGCGTAAATGCTGATTGGAAGACCGTTCATTTGGATAGGACTGTCGGTTGCAGCTGCACCGGCGCATCCCATGGGCGGAATACGGTAATCAAACTGGTGAAACAAAAATGCTATTAAAAAAAACGTGCGATGAATAAATAATAGACGGTGGAGATTTGATTAAGTCAAATGCGATGGTTTATACCAAGATGGAGTTAGCTTCCTTGGCCAACTTGAGCATTCCTACGTTGTCGTCCGTGACGAAGTAGTCGTTGTCCACAATTTCAACTCCCTTTAAAACAACCAATCAATTGTGTCACTTTAAATTTTAAACAAGAGTGGTTAGGAAGATGGAGGAGGAAGGGGCAAAAGAGTAAGTAAATAAAGTAAAGTACCTGTTTACGAGCGAAATCCTCAGCACCTGAGAAAGCAAGGTAAGAGTGGGGAGATTTGTCCATGACGAGACGAGCAAGAGATATAGGATTCTTCACGGTGGTGATCCCCGAAACGGCACCGCATCGTCTCTTCGTACCGTCCATAATGCTAGCTTCCATCTCCACCGTTCCTTTCTCTGTCAAAGCAGATCCACGGCCTGAGTTAAACAGAGGATCCGTCTCCAGTTCTCTAATCTGTGTCAACCATCAATTGTTTTGTTTAAACAAAATAGTTGTTACAAGACAACATTAAAAGAATTGTGAGAGAAGGGAACGTACGACGAGCTCAACGACATCAATGGCAGAGACATTAGAACGCAAAGCTACTATGCCGAGGTTAAGACATCGGGTCAAAAGCTGTTTGGCATCTTCTTGTCTCTCAGCCGGAAGATTAGGATCGACACCGGCACCACCGTGTACTGCGATTGCCCACCCACCCATTATTGTCTATGTCAATCTCTCTCTTTGTTTATTATGTGTCTCAGAGTTAAAACCGAGAATGATGGGAAAAACGTAGAGTCGCATTAGGTCATTTATATAGGCCTTTTACGAGGGCAACGAGGAACCCACATTTTTTATTGTTAATTCACTTCTTAATTTACCTCCTAATCTGATTTTTATTTTGTTTGTGTTTTTTTAATGGGAAAAATATCTTCCGTATATTTTTGTTTCCTTTTTCAGTTATTTTCTTTAATTTTAAACCAAATTAGGATTTGTTTCTACCATTTTTTCCCTTTTGACTTCATAAACATTTATCAATAAATTTAATTATTGTTGAAATAATGCTTTTTCCTATGATTATTATATTAAACAAAACAAAGTAATTAAGTCTTCTTCGGAACTTGGAAATTTGCAGCTGTTATGTTGAACTCCACGTCAGGTTGTCATAACATGCATGAAGGGAGCGATAACTATTGGCTCTCATTCTTTCTTTTTTTTTATTCAACCATGCTGAACATGGCTGAGTGTGTTTTTTTTTTTAATGATAAAATGTGTTTTTTGAGATGAACGTAACTGTTTCTCACAACTTGTGAAATAAATAAAAATCCAAGTTGGCTGGCATGCAATTTCCTTTTTGAGTTTTGTTTAAACATTTTCCTATTATTTTCCCGTGTTCCTTATGTTTATCGTAAATTGTGTGCTAATCGCGTCAATACTCATAGCTCAATATTATGTGTAAAGTCTATCTTGTCGATTACAATATATATTTGGGTCCAACTCGACAGGTTTTATCACCAAATTTTTCTATTTTTATTACCAATCTTACGTAATTGTATGCATCATATTTTCCCCCTAATTAGATGTATATCTGATATTTTGAATTGGGAAACAATTCATTTTCTTACGTCATGCACCAAAACATTTCCTCATACATAAACATAAATGCATCGAATCTATACAATACTCTTCTGTAAACATAATCTACATAAAATATTGTGTTCTATTAATAAAGCTTAGAGAAATAAATGTTGACAAGTTGATTGGTCTAGTAGACGACTAGTAGTGCGAGTTGCAAAGTCGATGTGGCGCGCATTTTTCTAGCAATTAGCAGGAGGATCCTATACATTAGGCAATAGCGAACGCAGGATTTTGTGTCTAAATATGTTTTATTTTATTGTTAGCCAGTCACATCTCTCTTTTGTCTCTCTCGCCACAAGTTTGGAATCTCCGAGATTTTCTCTTCATGTGTGTGGAAAAGGACAGATCCACCTAGTGACTTTGGTTTTGTGGATTCCAATAGATTCCATCACACATGACCAATTAAAACTCCATTTTTAGGAAGACGTCTATTCTCTTCTCTCTTTTCGTTAGTGCCTCTCCCATCTCTTAGGGGTCAATTAGATTCCCCCTCCCCCCAACTCTCGGGGAATCTTGTCCTCTCGAAAATGTTTTGTTTACTTCTCTCGTCTTTGATTATATACAAGATTTGCAATATTAATTTTGATTCTCTACTTCATTTTACTTTTTATAGAATCATATACTTTGAAATACTAACAAATATTGGTTCAAGAAGTATGAGATCCCTTGCAAAACGAATTTTAATTTTACTTATAACTCTTCTTTACATTGAGATATAAAAAAATATGTCTAACCTTAATTTGTTGAAAAGATAAGATATTTTAATGTGATGGAAAATATTCCTCCTGCTAAGTTGTATTTTATTTTATCTCTTACTATAATAATCTCATACGGCGCTTGCAATTTTATTTATGCTATATGATGAATTATGTTATATAGATGGATGGAGCCACTAGGTGCACACAAAAAAAAAAAAAAAGATGGATGGAGCCACCCACGACCAAAAAAAAAGACACAAAAGGCTATTTAACTAAGTTTTTGTGTTAAATCAAAGTTAAACTGTATATTATACCATCGATACCAAGATCAGAGGCCAAAGTAAGAGTGGTAATTCAAGAAATCTAAAAAACAAAAAACAAATAAGACCTATCAATAAATTCTTGTGTCCTGCTGGGTTTTTTCGTATACCTCAAAAATATTGGGGCCTTTTCCTCTTTTTTTTTGATCAAAGGGGCCTTTTCCAAAATAATAATAAATAAGGAGTCCAAAATCAAGAAGTCAGATTTAGTTTAAAACCTCACAGAAGATAGCCTTATCTTACTAGATTCCACGTGGCTTTATCCAACTGGCGTAAAAAATCTTCGAGAGGAGTTCTCAGTTGCCACGTGCAATAAGAAGATCAAAATCCACTCAATTTGACGATCAAAGGCTATCTTTCTTAACCAAATTGTTTACACAACAACAACATCAGAAAAAGAATAGTGATCGAAGCTCATGGCGTCTCTTGCAACTGTCGCCGCCGTGAAACCATCAGCCGTCGTAAAGGGTCTCGGCGGCAGCTCACTCGCTGGAGCTAAGCTCTCCGTCAAGCCTTCCCGCCTGAGTTTCAAACCCAAATCCATCCGGTAATCAAAACTCTTTAGGCTATAAAATGCCACTAAAACCACACCATAATTAATATTGGAATCTCAAATTTCATAGTCCATAACTTCATATAGTTTCAAATAGCTTGAGCTAGGTTGTTCATGTGTTGTAATAGGGCTAATGGTGTGGTGGCTAAGTATGGAGACAAAAGTGTCTACTTTGACTTGGAAGATTTGGGTAACACAACAGGTCAATGGGACGTATACGGCTCTGATGCTCCTTCTCCTTACAACCCTCTTCAGGTTTGTTCATCTCATAACTTATATTAACCTTTATACTTCAAGCAAACAGTATGGTGAGAAGAGTCTCTTCTTCTTTGCTTACTTGTAGAGCAAGTTCTTTGAAACTTTCGCTGCTCCATTCACAAAGAGAGGATTGCTCCTCAAGTTCTTGATCCTTGGAGGAGGCTCTTTGCTTACTTACGTCAGCGCTAACTCCACCGGAGATGTTCTTCCCATCAAGAGAGGTCCTCAGGAGAAGCCTAAGCTCGGTCCTCGTGGCAAACTCTAATTTACTTTCATGTTTATGTTCTCTTCCTCCTCCTAAAAACTCATAACATTTCTCAATACTGCGAACCCTTTAAATGATTTTATGTATATTCTGTTTTCTCTCTTACATTTGAATTGTTTTCTCTTCTCCTAATTTTACAAAAGATTTTTTTTTTGTTCTCAAGAGTATCGCCCTGCGGTTGGACTTCTTGTGTTTCCAAAAGATTCAAGATAAAAAGTAGCCTTCTTGTTGTTAGCCATGATCATGCTTGACACTCTGGTTAACAGTTTCTTGCCTGAATCTTTTAATGCTGCCTCGCTCTTTACTTTCTTTATTGGTATAGTAGTTTCGATATTCCATTGCATTACCTGAGACAGTGATATGGTAGCCTTCTGCTTTTTTGGTCTCTCCTCTAAAAGACAAAAGTTTTGAGCTTCTCCCTTCTTTGGACTGTCTGTTTCCTTCACTATATATCTCTTACAAACCGCGAGTTCAGGGTCTTGCGTTAGCTGATCAGCTTCAAGAACATCTTCTATTCTTGACCTTATTGTGTGCGCCAAGCTCTCAAGAACTCTTGAGTAACTCTCCAGTATTGCTAATCCTATATCCTGCAAAACCAAATTAAAGATTATTTAAAACAGAACACAAAAACAATTATATTTATAATGTGGTTCTGTTATAGATTATTTGATTGATTACTTTGTTGAATTGAATCTTGCTGATGTCAAGTGTGGATTGAGAGATCCCTGGGAATTCTTGTTTGATAAAATGCAAGATGGTTTCTGCTCTTTCTTCTAACTGTTGTCTCTTCTCCATACTTAAATTTGTACTCCATGGAGACGACGATTTGTTGTCTTTCTGCACTATCTTTCTCTTCCATATCACACCCGAAGCTTCGAATTTGTTCTTTAAATCAATTATCTTGTGCTCAGATGATAAATCCATTTCAAGAAGGAACTGCTCTGCATCAAACATGTCTTGTGTTATCATCTTGTAGATCATGTCTCCAAGACTGGCTCTCCCATTCTGAAGTTTAACAAAAGAAGGAAAAAGACATCGATAAGGATACCAAATCAAAACGAAACCAACAGCGATGATTTTTGTTCTGTTAATAGGTCTCAGACTATAGGGTTTAGGGGTGTATACCTTAGGAAGTGAATCAATGTAGCTCTCAGGGATCTCCATTTCAGATAGAGCTTCAGCATTTATGGCCATTGCGTATTTAAGCACTTGGCTCACACATTCTTCCTGACTCAGTAGAAACCTTTTTGACTTTTCAGATAAGCCTTTAGGTGGAACTTTGACCATTGGGAGCCACCATTTATCGTCATTCCTGGTCGAGCTACTGTTTTCATATTCTGGAGAATCGATCGTGGCATAACAGAACTCATCCTGATCTTTAAATTTATCAAGACAATCCTGCAGAATTTGTGACATCTTAGTCTTTTTGATGCAAACGCAAGTAGGAAATTATAAGTATGTGTTTTAGCTTACGATGAGCATTGCATCAAGTTTCTTAAGAGTAGGAATGTTGGAGACAAGATCTGTTCTCTGTTTTGTAGTCATTACCTAACAAGGGAAGATTCAAAATTCAGACACAGAGAGGAATAAAACTTAATTTCTCTCAGAAACTATAATAAGAAAGGGAACATATTTTCAGGAACCTCCATGGAAGATCCATTCTCGTTAGTTTGGTGTGTCGGTGAGAATTCAACTATATGATCAGTAACAGAGAGAAGCCATCCGATTTCTCTTCTCCACAGCTCTTTTCTATCTTCAGAGATTGGCTCTAAACGCCTTAGTTCCCCAAAGGCAGAAGCTGAAAGATTTGTGATCGAGTTAGATAATGCCAAAGCTGAACAAACACCTTTGCTTCCTCCTGACATGTCTTCCCCTAAAAGCAATTTCGCAAACTTCTCTTTCATCTGCTCCTTTTCTGTATAATTCAAAATAACATGTCTTAGATTGAAATCCACGAAACCGAAAGATAACTTATTTTCCAATGAAACCTAGACATAAGTGTCCCACGAACCCTCAATGCATAATGCAAATAGGTCATTACCGTCTTGTCTTGTAAGCCAAGAAACCCTAAAGATAACTCATTAATCATTAGAAAAAGGTTTTAAGCATAAATACAAGTGTTTGATCTCTTGCCTAAATCTTCCTGCAATTCTTCGTCAGTTACTTCACGCGGCTGAGGTGACTCATCCTTATCCAGAGGCTGTAACACCGGCATGAGGAGGACGCTTGAGGCAGCTGTTTTCCTGAAAACAGTGCCATCATCAATGTCTGGATCATCAATCCTCAAGGCGGAATCTGAGTTCCATCTCTTGTAGTGCCTTGACGATGACTTCTTCTTCTCCTTGGCGTTCTCTAAATCGAACAATCTCGACTTGTAGCTCTCTTGATCTTTCTCACACGCTCTCACCATTTCCATGATTTTCTTAAACCTAACGAGAGGTTCTCTGTTTTTGAATCTCTCTGTTTTATCCTCTTGAAACAAAGAAGAATTTTTAGGCGGAAGAGACATTAATAAAGAAGAAGATTTTATAAAACAGAGTTGTGTTGATGTCTGTTATGCATGGAAATTAAGAAACAAACTTTGTTAAAACACATGAACGAAACCGTGTGGTAATAATAATACTCGAGGGGAGCATAGCAAATCCAGAGTAGCTTTGTTTTATTTGAGATTGACTTCCTGTTTAATGCTTTGTTATCTCTGTTTTTTTTCTTTTTTGCATCGTTATATTACTAACTAACTAACTGATTTGTTGTCTTAAATCTCCTTTGACTAACTTCTCATTTACAGATATATAAACAATTTTAGGATTTTTTGTTGTCAAAAAGAAAAAGAAAAATGTAGGGAAAAAAGAAAAGAAAAAAAAAATCTCACTTTACTATTTATAAATTGTAAAAACGTTAAGTATTTATGCACTTTTCGCCTTTGAAGCTTAACTTGAGACATCAATTTCGAAGTTTTCAGTTTTTTTTTAAAAAATGTATTTTAGTACTAATTAATTAGATTTTCATAATTTTGTTTTAATTTCTTTTTATGTACCACACTGAAATTATGAAAAATTTAGTTTTCTAATTTCGATATATTTCTGTTAACTAATCCCAAAAGCCATTTAATTATCTGAATTAACAACTCAGAAAATGATACAATATCTCACAATTTTATTGGGAACAAGATCTATCTACAAAAAGCAAAAGAACAGCTTCCTAAACAAACAAAGCTCCTAGCACACATGGATGGGATGTGAGAGTTAAGGATTCAGAAACTAAAGACGAAAGGACTAAAGAGTGGCGCCTTTGAAGATGAGGAAGTTGAGAGTCCCCAAATGAAAATAGATGAAAGTCCCTTTAGAATGTGTGAAGAAACACCCAAAATTGGTTCCCACCACACATTGCCATCCACTTCCATATCTCTCATCAAACTCCTGATTTTTCAAAAACAAGAAAGAAGTTTAATAACAATGAAGTTTTGTATTAGCCAGAGAAAACAATCTTTATAATCTGTGTTACTCCAAGAATGAAAGAAAACAAAAAGCTACTAGTTATATATATATATATATATATATATATATATATTAACCTTCTTGATGTGAGCAGCTATGGATGTACAGTCAAAGACATCAAAAAGATCGAGGGATTGAGAAGCAATCCTCATTGCTTGCATTTGCATCTTCACTGGCATGTCTGTCTCTTCCACCTTGGCTTTCCCTTCCAACATTTTTTTACCCCCAACTCTAAAAGACTCAAAATCTCTATATTCCTTTTAAGATATAATCTTTTGAAGATGACTCATAAGAGAGGAGATAAAAATGAATTGTACGTCACCTTTTGGACAGGTTTTAGTAGGGTGAGAATCTCCCACACGTTCTTGTCTCTGTCGTTTTCTCTTTCTTCCTGAGTTTAAGGAACTGGTATTATTTTAGATAACAAGATCTTTCTTTCTTTTAAGATCACAGGTTTTAAGAGAGAAAATAGTAATAGTGAAAAACCGTAAAATATGGATCGGCTCTGTTCTGAATTTGATAAATTGCGACAACGAGAGCAGTAAAGAGAAAATAAGGGAGTGAGAATGTGATGATGAGTCATCAGAGTAGTGGGGAATGGTGTAACTGACGTGTGTCCACGTTGTTTTCAGACCTCTGATTGATAAGGATAACGATGGAGAGGCTCATGTATATCTCTCTGATTTTGGGACTTGTCTGAAACCTTTGCATGTGATCATCGTCATACTGCGCGTCTCTCCTCTGTTTTCGTTTGTTGTTAAATGGGCCAAAATAACTAAAGGGCCCAACCTGTAAGTCTTACTTGGGGGTAGAAATATTATTAAAGATGGAATTATATACAAAATTTCAGAGGTTTTTAATTATCTAAACTAATCATATTTTCTGTTTTTGTGACTAAATTATTTTGTTTCATAAATTGAAACTAGCCTTTAAATTATTGGTATTTGTATTGGTTTTTTGCAAAGTTTATAGAAGTAGAGATGAGCACAATCAACAGTATAATTTAATACCCCTTAATCCCTTATAACAATACAAACTTATATATATTATGGATTAAGGATTCTTAGGTACAAAGTTTCCTCTCCAGTTCAACAATTACACTTTAAAAGAAGAAAAAAAGACCTTTGTTCATAAAGATACATAAAAGTTAATCAACTAGTCTCATTACAACCTAAGTTCCATCATAGCATTCCACTAATCAAAAGTTTTTTAAAAAACCAACGGTGATGCAATGTAGAAGAAACATCTAACAAATCATAGCTAGACAAGTTAGCTCACTCCACCGATACTCATTACTCACTCACTCTCAAACCTAAGCCAATAGGTCCAGATTCAATCTCGCTATACCTCAACCACAAGACACCCGTTGCTTTCCTTTATTTTTTCATCCTTAAAAATCAAAAGTTTCTTGTAGATTCTGTCTTATTCCACAAGTAAAAAAATGTCTTTTAACTCACCAAATGCTCTGTTCAACTCTGTTCTGATAAGAATTCTCTGCTAAATCTCCAAAACATCTTTCAGCTTTTGAGTGTTTATGTACGTATATCGTAAGGTCGAGTAAATTTAGCTATAGTAAAGCACGATGCCTTCGACGAAGTCAGAATCGGACGTAACAAGTCTCGCGGCTTCTTCGTCGTCGCCATCACGATCTTCAAAACGCACTTTCTACTACGTACAGAGCCCGTCACGTGACTCTTCCACGTCCGTTGTACAGCCTAGTCCGATGGACTCCCCCACACAAGATTCTTCCTCCCTGGGACGTCACTCCCGTAACTCATCGGCGAGCAGATTCTCCGGGTTGTTCCGATCATCTTCCTCGGGGAGAAAAAACAGCATTAAATGCATGCCTAAAGAGAAACAATGTAAGATCATACTCGAAGAAGGAGGCTCGTACGATGAAATGGACGACGTGACGTCTATAAGAAAGTGTCAAGCACTACTTGCCGTTTTCACTTTGGTGGTTCTCTTCACCTTCTTGTGCTTCATCGCATGGGGAGCTAGTAGACCTTACAAGCCTCAAATCTCTGTAAAGGTATTTCATTTTCTTAGAATTATATTTATTACTGGAAATTATGTGGTTAGTGATTGGTGAAAGTGATGTAGACGTTCGAACTACACAACTTTTACGTTGGTGAAGGATCAGATCACACTGGGGTACGTACCACAGTGCTTACTATAAATGGAACACTAAGAATTGGTATTTACAACCCTGCTCCAGTATTTGGTGTTCATGTTAGTTCCACTCCTATCAATCTCTTCTTCTATGAACTCCCCATTGCCACCGGTCAGGTGATTTTTTATTGTTTTTCTCTAGTTTGGTGTTGGATTTTGCTTTTGGATGTATATCTAAGATTTGGTATGATGACTTAGCAGTTGAAAGAACATTATCAAACTAAGAAGAACCGAAGAACGGAATCAGTGGTTATAGAAGGGAGAAGAGTTCCATTATATGGTGCCGGAGCAAGGCTAGAGGCTACGGAGAGAGGTGGAAAGATTCCGGTGGAGCTGATATTTGAGGTTAAGTCGAGAGGAGATGTGGTTGGCAAACTGGTCAGGATTTGGCACACGAAGCGAATCTCATGCACATTTGTCATCAATGTTGCTAGTAATAATCCCATACCGTTCAATAAGAGTTCTTGCCGCTATTCATGATTCCTATATCTATCTAGTAACGTGTAATATTTTGGTTATTAGTATTGCATACATAAGCAAGATGTGGTTGACCATGTAAACGTTATAATTGCTATTAATTTGCTAATTTTTGTTAATTTTCTTCTTCCTAAGTGGTATTTAATTACTGGTCAATACTCAGTATTCAAAACGAAGATTTGTTTTAATTAATACTTCCCAATTACTCTTTTATTCCATTAACGAAGAATTAAGCTCCCGCCGTAAATCATGGTGAGATTTACAATCAGAAACACTCCATCGATCTTTCTCTTCATTTCAGAACGAGAACGATCACTTCTTCGTCCACTTTTCAAAATCCGACGAGTGCCCAGTAACCACCATGCCGATGGAACCAAAACCCACGTCCAAATTTGTAATCTTGTTCTCCTTCCTTTTGCTTCTCAGTCTCTTACTTGTCGTCGTCCGTTCCTCCGATGTCGCTGTCGAAGGTATCGAAGCCGGATCCGAGGGAGAATTAGACGATTTGGAGCAGCTCTTAGCGGTGGACGAACAGTTGCAGGAAGAGAGGCCGGAACAACAATCTGAGGCGAAGACGGTGAGCAAGGCGCAGAGGATCGTGATGGAACTCAACGGGGACAATACGAAGCGGTTGATCGACGGGAATGAGTATGTGATGGTTTTAGGTTACGCGCCGTGGTGTGCTAGGAGTGCGGAGTTAATGCCGCGATTTGCGGAAGCGGCGACGGATTTGAAAGAGATGGGTAGTTCGGTTTTGATGGCTAAAATCGACGGTGAGAGGTATTCGAAAATGGCGTCGCACCTTGAGATTAAAGGTTTCCCAACTCTTCTGCTGTTTGTTAACGGCACATCTCAGCCTTACACTGGTGGATTTAACTCGTAAGCTCTTTAATCGATTACAGAGTGTTTTGAGTTTGATAGGGACTAAGTATAGTTAAGCATCCTACTGTTATTGGATTTGGTTGTGATTTGCTTGTCTTAATGATTCACAAAGTTACTGAAATGTTGGTTCTTGTGTTGTATTTAGAGAGGAGATAGTGATTTGGGTGCAGAAGAAGACTGGTGCGCCCACTATTAAACTTGAAACAGTTGATAAAGCTTCAGAATTTCTCAAGAAGCATCATACTTTCATTCTCGGTCTGTTTGAAAACTCTGAGGTATTAAGATAGTTATACTTGGATAGATTCATTTGTTTAGACTGAGACTTGTTTTATGTAATGTAATTTTGGATACGTTTTTTTGGCTCAGGCTTCTTCTGGATATGATGAGTTTGTAAAAGCTGCGTCACTAGACAATGAAATCCAGTTTGTAGAAACAAATAGTAGTGATGTCGCCAAGCTTCTCTTCCCTAACCTTAAAACCAACAATATGTTTGTTGGATTGGTTAAAACTGAGGCCGAGAGGTACACTGCATACGGTAAGCTCCCTGATGTATATAAGATCTCCATTATTATCATTATATACCCTCTTATTTACAGCCTGAGATCAGTTATAAGTTTGAAATACTGCTTCTTTTTGTCAAATTTATTGGCGTATGCAAAGCTTACTGTATTGTGTGGTACATTATTTTCCAAATTATGAGTCTTATGCACTGAACATGCAGATGGACCTTGCCAAGCCGAGAAGATATTGGAATTTGTGAACAGTAATAAATTCCCGTTGGTTACAAAACTGACTGAATCCAACACCGTTCGTGTTTACTCCAGTCCAGTCAAGCTTCAGGTTAGAAGTTTCAACTCACTCAACTTGTATCCGATCTTAGTTTTCATTCTATTTCTGTTGGTTGTTATGTTATTTTCGCTTACACAGTTGCGGTATCATATTCTTGGTTAGGTTATGGTCTTTTCGAAGACTGATGACTTTGAAACTCTTGCTCAGTCTCTAGAAGATATTGCAAGAAAGTTCACATTAAAGGTATTTTCTTATACCAAATCACTTGCCAAATGGACTTAGTATACCCTCACTTGTATTTATGTTTATGCTAATACTGTGCAGCTTATGTTGATATATATTGACATATCAAATGAAAACCTCGCAATGCCTTTCTTGACATTATTTTGGATAGAAGATGCAAAGAAAACTATTGTAAGTTGTCTGAATAAGCGCTTATACTTGTAGGCTATGCCTTTCTTGATTTATTGATAAAGCTACAAGCCACAGTGATTAATATCAAATTCTTTAACAGGTTGCTGCATTCGACAACAACCTGAACTCTAAGTTTTTGCTTGAGTCAGATCCATCCCCTAACAATATAGAAGTACAAAAAATTTCAAAACTTTTTTTCTTACATTCCTAGACAAATACAAAACTCATTGATGTGATGTATATTGAATTTTGCAATGCAGGAATTTTGTTCAGGTCTTGCTCATGGAGCTGTTTCACCATACTATAAGTCAGAGGCAATTCCAGATAATGTGAGTGTGAAAAGTACATTTTCTTCTATATGTTATTTTGGGGGAAGTAATAGTATTGCTAAACAATGGTTTCATATCTGCAGCAAAATACAAGCGTAGTGGTTGTGGTCGGCAGGACTTTTGATGAACTGGTCTTGAAGAGCCAAGAGAACGTTCTTCTAGAGGTCTGTAAATGGATCCCTTCTTCTGAACTAAATTCTTATTAAAAAAAAATGTTATGAAAATGGATGTAATATTGAGTATGATTATGGAATAGGTGCACACACCATGGTGTCTTAACTGTGAGGCTTTGAGTAAACAAGTTGAGAAACTATCAAAACACTTTAAAGGGTTTGAGAATCTTGTCTTTGCAAGGATAGACGCTTCTGCCAACGAGCATCCTAAGCTTAAGGTAGAAAACAATCGCAAACTGCCAAGAGATGCAGATCCGTTATATGTGATTATAATTGGATGTATCCATGATCATGATGGTGAGTGTGATGGCTGATGCAGGTTGATGATTATCCAACAATCTTGCTTTACAAAACTGGTGAAAAGGAGAACCCGGTAAAACTATTTTGATAGTGTTCCAATTTGATTTCTTCAGTTCCTTTTTATTTCCTGCAGGAAGCTTTTCTCTTATAACTTTGTGTTGCACAGTTGAAGCTGGCGACAAAATCCAGCGCGAAGGAAATGGCTGTTTTTATCAACAGAGAGTTGAAACCAAAGGATCGGTCTACTAAAGATGAGTTATAGAGCATATGGAATACGATCTAGGGATCAATATATAGTTTATTGAAACCAGGAAAATGTAGTGAAGCTTTTGAGTAAAGTACACAGAATGGCATAGAGTGGAAGATGGAAATTACAATGTAACAAGAGAAATATAGCGAAGTTTGTTTTTATCTTAAGATTTTATCTTGAGGTCATTTTGTAAAATTTACCACACTCTGAAGTAATTAAGAATGTAACAAGTGACCAAAAATTCCGTTAAGCTAAAAGGTAAGGAACCCAATTCGTTTTAATTCTGTAACCCGATGAGATGAAAATACACAATTGCAGAAAGTAGTAACAAAGGTGCTTATGCTACTATTATGCCATAGAAACAAAAAGCTCACAACTTAGAACACAAGTTCTTTCTAATAAACCTTGCAACAAAGTTGGTTAGCATTCACACCCAGTTGATCTTTGTTGCCGAGCCCCAGCTACATCAATGGTATCCGGAAGGTACCTGCGAGGCATTAAAATGAACGAACCGAGAAATGCTTAAAGATAAACTCATTTGATGGTAAAGTAAGCTCAAAGTTTTGCTGAACTAGGTGTTTTGTTAAAGTGTTGGACTTACACTTCTTCTTCAGGTTCATTCTTGAGAGCATTTTTGGCTATGCATTCAAAAGCTGCATCGACATTGAATCCTTCTTTGGCTGAAGTCTCGAAGTAAGGAATGTTTCCCTTGGATGCACACCAAGCCTTTGCCTTTTTCTCAGAAACCTGAAGATGAAGGTATATACAGTATCTATCTTAGCATAGATGTGTCAAACTCTTATTTCACTTAAGAGAGAAGGAATCAACATCTTATTACCACTCGACTCTTTCCACCATCAACATCGGTCTTGTTCCCCAACACAACAAATGGGAAGTTTTCAGGATCCGAAGGACTAGCCTAAACACACTCAATAAAAATCGATCAGTCACTGATATGATAGAAAACATTCCAAAAGAATATGATACACAGTATAAGGCTACAGTTTGTAACCTGGATCAAGAACTCTTCCCTCCAGTTGTTAAGATTCTCAAACGATTTCATAACATTGACATCATTCACAAGAACACAACAGTCTGCTCCTCGGTAGAAAGCAACACCCAGACTTTGAAACCTTTCTTGTCCAGCAGTATCCCAAATCTACATGGGAACACAACACTACTTTATTCCTATTTGTATTTGGATACTAAAACACTTATCTTCTTTCTTTGTGAGAATAACAAGAGTGTGGAACTCACATAATTCTTTCTTAACACACTTAAACAATCTATAAACTAGAGTCTGTCAGTAATGTACTAATCACATTGTATATTAGATAAACACACTCAATGATTACCTGCAAAGTAAACAACCTGTCATCGATTTGAACCTCTTTGGTCAAGAAATCAGCTCCAATGGTTGCTTTGTACTGATTACTAAATTTTCGATTCACAAACCTAACAAAAGGAGATAAACAAACAGGTACTAATTCAAAAAAAAACCAAATCATAACACAAAAAATCTGAGATCCTGAGGAGTATTAGAATACATACTGATTCATCAAAGACGTCTTCCCAACACTGAGCAAAACAAATAACCAAAAATAGCCATCAGTGAGCATCAAAACCAAAATCCAGAGAGAATAGACAAATAAAGTTGGAGAATTTACCCACTGTCTCCGAGGATAATAACCTTGAGAAGCACTCGCCGCCGAGAAGCCATTGATGCTTTTAGACAAGTAAAGGTTTGATCTTTTTAGAGAAAAAGAAAACAATGATTCGTCTTTCCTTCTTCTTCTCCGGTGGGTAAGGTAAAGAGGCGATCTACGAGAGAGAGTATGTTTTATATATTATTGGCTAAAAAGTTACGGAGCCAGCCAATTACAGCAATGCAAATATTTCACCTTTTTTTTTTTTTAATATTTCGTGTAGATATTATTTGATACAGTTATTATTATATTTTCTTTTCATTGAAATTGAATGGCAAATAAGAACAGAAAGATTCAAGAGTCGTATAGAAAGATTGGAGAGTAATGCAAAACCCCAAGAATTACAATAACAACCGTTTATGATTCAGTATGTTCATATTTTTTAGTCTCAAGCTTCTAATTTCTATGACAATGAATAAAAGACATGTACATTTTTTTTTTGGAGAATCATGTTTTTTTTTTGTGTGTGTCTCTCTGGGAAGAACCACCAAAGCTTTCTCCTTTCTCTATCTGCTCTCTGCCTCAGTAACTTACATATTCCTGAGTCTTGTTTTCTTCACTGGAGTTTACTCCGCTGCATCCGCAACCGATTTTCCTTTGTTATCTGGTTCGCTTGTGGACTCGGTGGATTCCGGTTTCCTCTTCTCCAGAAAATGAAGTCGGTTTCGCAAAATCTACACCAGAACGTCAATGATAAAGATAAAAACACCATCTACTAAAGGCTATTCTCGAGTTTCACAAAAGATACATTACTGAGGGAGGACATACCTCGAGGTGGCTCTCAAGAGATTTTCTCATTTCTTCCAGCTTAGTCTCTGACATATTTGCATAGGCTTGAGGGTTTTCACTAGGAAGGCTGTGCTGAGGAAATGGAGACGGGGAATAGGATGAAGGACGAGTTTGATGTGGTTCAGTTGACACTTGCTCTGTTCCAGGAATACCCGGCGACCTTAACATAAGGGATATACGTCAGTTTATCCCTCTATCACATTTAGAGGAGTTAAGAAACGACGGCAAAAGCTAAAATAGCTGAAGAACATGCATTAGAAGTATAGAGGTCACATGTAGGTGTATCCTTTGGTCTTTTCAAATCTTAAAGCTTCTTACGAATCGTAGTTCGATAGTTTTCTATATATACCAATGCAGTGAGAATCCTGTGGAACCTAAAATTTAAATCACCTTACCAGTTCTTTAACTCGGAACCAAGCATGTGATCAACAGATCAATACGTACCAAGCTACTGTTTTTGCAGATGGGTAGACAATTGATTTCCCGTACATGGAGGCTGCAGAAGCAGCTGCTTGAAGCCTGGCGTGGTGCCTACTCAAATTATCATTGGAAACGCCAACAGAAGAACTTGTTGCAGACCCCTGGTTACCTGAGCTTGATGTACCTGCTTTGATGTGCACAAAAAAAATTAGTCTTATGTACATACAGGCTGAACTTAGACAATTGTTTCATGTTCCAATATTAAGATTCTCAAAAGCAAACAAATATTATTTATAAACAGGTTCCGCGTTGCTTACCCTGTTGGGAACCTTGGTGTAATCCGCGTTGGCCTGCGGCTGCAGATGTGGCATTCTCAGGAGGCACAACAAGTGCTCTGCAAGTAGGACATGTTTGCTGTCGCTCCAACCATGATCGAAGACAATGCACATGAAAGAGATGCCCACATATTAGTTTTTTTGCATTTGTCATCTCTTCACGGCATATGATACAGGTAGCATCACTTCTGCATATTAGAAAAAATGAAGGACCAATGACATAAGCATTTCCAAGAGTCAATCAAAATTCAGAATAGCGCCGACTTTCAGTGGAGACATAAGAAAAAAATGTGATATCGAAGACTTACGCAGTAAGTTCTTCAGGAGTTGCATCAGGAAACCTGTCGTTCATATTGGATGTGATTTTACGATAACGAAGGTAATCAGAAACACGAATTTGGAAGTTCCTGAAGGTTTCGTAGAGCTCCCGCAACAAGTGCAAAGGTACACCATAGTTCCTAAACAGACAAATAAGAATATTAATCCAACAAAATAGATATTTCTAGCAAGTCTAAGCATCTTTGATTCAAGATGTTTCATTCTGTATTATAACTTCCTGAAATAATATAGCTAAAACAATTTGAGAACAATATAACTGGATGGAAAAACTTACATGAATATGACAAAGAAGAAGCATATATACATGGACAGGTGAAGCAGGTCACGGATAAGCTCCAGATAGAAAGTATAAACAGGTTTTTTCTCCCACTGACCATCCATGATCATATCAGTCACATAGAAAACATACTTCACAAAAATAGCAACAGTTGTTGTCGCCAGGATCATATACCTACAACAGAAACTCATAGTCAGCTACACTAAATCACTAGTATGAGTGTCTTCGGTCTAGCTATGACTAAAGAGTGAACGCTAGCACTAGAAATTTCAACTTACTCGAATGAGAAGAAGAGAGAAACCGAAGCCTGATGCGTCTGAACCAAGTGGCGTATAGAACTGTACATAAAGAGACTATCCACAAGAAGAAGGAAACCCATAAAAGAGACAATACGAAAATGAGACAGCTTAGAAACAGAAGGAGTGGTCTCAATGTATTCAACTCTTTTCTGGGCAAGCCAATGCAGAGCCTTGATCAACAGAAGAGTAACAACCAAAGGAAGAAACCCACTAGAGAAGTCCTGTCGAAAGATAGTAATGGCAAAGAGAATCTCCATGAGCTCTCTCCAAGCTTGCTCATTCAGCCTCTCGACTTCTGCTTCCCTAAGGGATCCCAAGAAGACAAACTTGACCAAATGCCAGAGACTGAGCATAAGAACCAAACACATATTGAGAAGCAGCACCAAACTGATCTTTGATGTTGATAAATAAACCATGGCAGGGTAAAATTGGCATCTACTGTTGAAAGCATGATATATTACAGCCAAAGTCGCCATGAAACTGAGGCCTGCGTATGTTCTTAGTCGAATCATCGTCTTCTTCTTCACAATATCAAAGATAGATCTGCGAAAAATAATACCTTAGAAAGTAAGAGCGGATTTCATTCCAATGCACAAAGCGAATCAATAGAAGAGATCAAATCAGAAGAAACAAATTCACTTGATCCAATCACTAATTGAGAAGCAAACACAAATAGAATTGTAAGAACTCGATTTTCCAGCAGAGAGAATATTAACCTTCGAGATAGAAAGAGAGAAAGAGAGGATGAGCTTAATAATCGACGAATCGAATCAGGAGGGAGAGAGAACGATAGTGACGTCGGAAAAAGCCAAAGAAGCGGAGGAGGAAAGAGTTAGCGTCAGGGGGCGCGCGGTGTTTCTATGTTTTTCCGATTAAGACCAGTTTTTAGTTCTCCGCTTATTTCCTGAAAATTCCAATTATACCCTTGATTTCCTTATAAGTTTATTGTATTTAAGAGTTTCACGGATCGATCGAATTCAATTTTTGGTGTATATTTCATAATTAGGAAATGATCACGTTGATCATAGGATTTGATTCACTTTGATTAAAGCTAAGGTGCAAAAATACATCATAATACATAGAAAAATCAGGACTTCAATGGATGTAATTTGCAAGAGTAGAAGAAGGCTAGTTGAAATTGCAAATGTAAGATGATGTTTCAACCAAGTTCAAAACTTTTGAAGTGAATAACGAAAACGAAACAAAACCCACAAAACATAAATGTATTTAGATCCTCAGGAATTGTAATCTTCAACTAGATGAGAGCGAAAAGCTAAGTTTTACTCTTTCCTGCAATTACTTGTGAACTGACTCTTTATGCTGATGAAGCTGCTCCCTTGTTCCTTGGCTTGGCTTCAGTACCTTCTCTGAATCCAGTCTTGAAGCGTCGGGGAACATTACGGAGATACCTCATCCTTCCGGTACCAGTAGTCTTCCTCCTGATGGCCTTCACACTCCAGTTGTCTATATAATTCAAAGAGATTAGGATTCAGAACTCTTTCATATATTAAGACAGAATTGAGTTAAGAGACCAAACCAAAGAGAGCAAATCAATTTCTCTAATTCGAACGATTATTACAGCTATTGACAACATATCAACTGAATCAACGACATATAAGAACATTTAACATTTCTACAATTCAAGTCAATAGAGCTACAGAAAGGATTATAAAAATTTGCTCCATTTGTTATGTAATCTATCCAGATGCAAAGAAAGCTTCAAACGCAATCATGAAGCACTAATAACCAAAATGGAGAATGAACAATAGCATACTAAGCAAATCTAGATCGAGCAAATGAAACAGACTGTGAGGTAAAAAGTAAAAAATGATGTTGTTCTTACAAGTCCTCTTGCGAGCGGCAGGGTAAGCACAAGCCGAGCAACGACTCTTCTGGATGTGGAAACTACGACGACCACATCTCACACAGAGAGTGTGACTCTTGTTCCTCCTCTTACCGAAACTTCCTGTTCCCTTACCCTGAAATACTCAAAAATTTCCACAACAACAAAGATCAGACAATGGTCTCTAGGGTTCAATCGACGAGAAAGTGTAGCTAGGAGAGAGAGAGAGAGGAAGGAGAGATCACCATTGGAGCGAGTTGTGTGCAGAGAAAACCCTAGGATTCGGCTTCAGAGAAGAAGAAGTTCATCTTTTTAGTGACAGCCAATTTATACGAAGGTGCGATTTCTGATTTCTAGGGTTGTAGTTCAATTGATGGGCCTTTGAATGTGACAGAAATGGGCTTTATTGCACTCGTAACTTATTATGCCCATCAAGAAAGTTAAACAAACATACGGGCCGAACATTCACCTAATAATATTAGAAACTAGGAAGTATAACTTTCTGTTTTGCCAAAAAAAAAAAAAAAAAAAAAAAAAAAAAGGAGGGTATACCTTTGTCGTTGTATTGGTCTAAAGTCTAAACAAATTAAATTGAATGGTAATATTTATATTTATATAATTCTCCAAAATATTAAGATTTTTTGAATATATTTGTGTATTTAAACACTTATAAGTAAATTTAGGTAAAAAATTCCCAAGATAACTAATACTCACTATTTCTCACATCTTTCATTTTATAGTAATGAGATGCTATTTCGCTTAACCACGTCGGTCTAATTGCTGTGATCTAAGAAAACTTTACCTTCACTTGGTTTTCATGGCACTACTCTTCAGAAAAAAATAGTTTTTTTTTCATGCATCGTTCATATAGAGCATAGAGCGATGATCATAATGAGCTATATACTTAGTTTGGGAAATATATTACCAATATGTAAAAGTTATTTTTTTTTTAATAAATTTTTAAATAACAACAAATCAACAGTTTTAAACATCTCTTATTCTCTAAATTTAAAAGTGTAGCGCAATATCACTTAACTAGGTATGTCTAATTTACGTGACTTGTTGAAATTTGAATTATTATTTTTGTAAACTAGCTAGGTGTTTGTTGTTATGAGTTCTAATGTCTAAACGAACATCAAAACTCATATTCATCTAGATTGACCTTCTGAATGAACAAATACATATGATTATATATGACTGCACAAACTTGACACATACATAATACATTAAAAACAATTTGATATTCGTATAGTAAAAAAGAAGAAGTTAAAGTTGGCATAATACTAAAGATGACCGCGATGATTTTTCAGCACATATACATCTTAAGTTGTAGATGATAAGTAGTGTAAAGTCTTAATTTGCATCATACGTATATCTACGCCAATAATTTATAAAACTCTTTATCAATTTTGCCTTAGTGTAGTGTCTAGCCAATTATTTTTTTAAATAACAATAATATATTAATATGTATGAATTGGGGATACAAATAATTATTATACATATATTAATTTATGTGTGCAGTTGGAAAAAAAAAAAGCTGGATTTAACTAATGAAGTAGGCCCATTGGTCAAGCTCATGAAACATGATTTTTGACAAAGAGTACGGTTCCTTGATTCTTGCACAACGGTAACATCGGTACCGCATATACGTGATCCCAATATGAAGTCAATACTATTAACTTTAATTTAAGATCTTCAGATAAGCAAAAGACATATAAACATTGGAGGACAAAGATTAAACAAAACAAAAGAGAAAGGTTTTATTCCGAGACATGACAAATTTTCACTTTAGCCTTTTTGATGCTGAGTAATAGACACAAAAGGTGTAATTTCGCAAATACTATGAAACTAAAGTAACATCGACACATTTAATAAAACGTATAATTTGATTTCTATGAACTCAAAATGATTTATATATATGTGAGTAGCATTGATCTGCCGACAAGATCACATATCAGTTGCAGTGAAGAGAAATGTTTCAGAAAACAAACAGCTTCTTTCATAGAACACTTCACAGTCTCAAGTCCATCTTTCTCCGAGTAAGTAAGAAACTCCCTAGACCAAAATCTCACTTGTCTTGCACATTTTGCAGATCAAATTCTCTCGATGGAGACAATATTTACGCAAGTTTCCTCAACATCTGGGAGTCTGATCTGGAAAACAGCATTGGAGGTCCATTAATGTTGGAGCACGAGGTTCAAGAGCAAGAACAAGATCATCACGAGAAGAAAACAGAAGCTTGCTCTTTGCGTTCATCGAGAGACTGCGATACAATGGAGAGGAAGATTAGCGAGATGTATATGACTGAGACAGGAGATATAGAGCAAGCCCTTGACGTCGAAGAGGCACTTCATTACTATTCTCGTATTAGAAGTCCCGTGTATCTCAACATCGTTGACAAGTTCTTCTGTGATCTCTACTCGTAACCTATCCAAACGTTTTAAAGCCATTAAAATCTTTGTTTTATCGTATTCTTGATTTGTTTGGCTTTTAGTATTCTCTTCTTGTTCATTTGTTTCATGTTTTACCAGCATCATCAGATGGTTAATCGTCGTTTATCAATTCCCAGAACTTTGAGGTTGTTAACTGACAAACATAATGTTTGTTGTGATACTGTTTGAAACTTCAAATCATCGGTTGGAACTCATTCTTCGAGGTCTTAAGTCCCTTAAACCAATCAGCAAACTTATCAATTGGATCATAGGGCACAGCGCGCAATACAAAATATGGTATAGAATAGAAGGCAAGCTCGTTAATAGCACAAATGCAATATTACATAGGTATTTCATCCTCTGCCATAAATCCATTACAAGAATCTGATAGATTTCAAATTGCAGTAGCAAGAACAGACTGCATCTATTACGTATGAGAAACTCTGTAATCATCCGTAACTCTTCGCTGTAAAGTTCTCAGTAGGCTGTAAACAGATAGACTTCTGATCTCCAGTCCAAGCCAGTAGGGGGCACAAGTGCAAAACCCGAGATGAGGTCGATAAAAGGAGGACCAGTATTTACTCGAGAGTCTGATTATCGATCAGTACCCAGTGGTAGAGACCAATACATTGTGCTCCCTAAGGCGTTTCTGGAAATGAGCAAGACGGTTCTGTAGTTGAAGTATACCTGCAGCCTTCTGAGATAGAATTGTGTTCAGTCTTGAAATGTAACCATCTAGCTGGTTTCCGGGTTGATCTGCTTCAACCAGCAAGTTCATCTCCTGCGCAGGTGATGTAAAAGGGTTTTAGTGAATCTGAGCTTAAGTCATAGAACCCAAACCAACTGAACAAATTCATACCTCTTTCACAATATTCATGGTATCCTCAACTTGTTTACGGTGTGCATTCACAAGGTCTTCTTCTTCCTGGTAAAGTTCATGAGAAACCATTTTTTTTATCAAAGACAATAAAGACAGAAGTTGACTTTTCCTGATAGAGAATGCTTTAGCTGAATGTTACCTGCAGAAGTGCATTTAGATTGTCATCAGAGTTTGACTTCTTCATATCGGGCCTTGGCATCTCTCTTGACTTCATTTGAATAGTCGGTTTTGGAATTCTTTCCTGTGCCATACCATTATAGGATGGCTCTATTTTCCCATTTTTCTTCCACATTTGTTTCTCTTGCTCATAATCTGATGCATCAAATTCATCGTTCTCTTCGGTCCACATCTCATTCACATCATCATCATAGTTGGTTGGAGTTGGAAGTGCGGACGACAAAGGTATTTTTGTGGACTCCCTTAGGTTCATGGTCGACGAAGATACATCTTTCTTAGAGCCGTTTCCCTTTGAGAGACTCTTAACCCTACAATGCAAAATTTTATGAGATGCAAGAATGAAAAAAATTAAAGAAAGACAATATATAACAGAAAATGAGTAAAACCAACCTGTCTGCGTATCTTAAGGTGTTAAGTGTGTGCTCACATGATCCAGAGCTTGGCGATATACAAGATATCATTACAGTACGAGAATTTCCCATGAAGGAGTCCCTAAGAACTTCAGTTAACTTACTGCCTCTAAAAGGGATGTGACCTTGATCATTATCCAGAGCTCTAATACATTCCTTTAAGGCGAGTAAGCTCTTATTGATCTCAGCTCCTTCCAATCTGGGTCATATGAAACAAACAAAATATCTAAGCAAATACTTAATAACTTGAAAAGTGTCACTATAAGAAACTGTGTAAATTGTTACCTTGTCTGCTTGTCATTGTCTGTTGTGTCTGCGCCACGTTCACTTCCAGCGAGATCGATGAAAGAAAGCTTGCCAACGAGGCGAGGGGGCTTTGTCTGATTTCCCTCTACTGATTTTTTTATTGCGAGCTGAAGTATAGCATGGGAACGAGAGGATTCTTCATTTGCACCAGTGGTTCCAGTACTTCTTGTTGCGCTTCCTCTCTCAATAAGCTCCATAATCGCATCTGTATCAGATACTCTGTACTCTTGCAAACCAACGATGCACACTTGCTGCTTACCATCCTCTCTCATGCATAGCTTCCTATAAAGTTAGAGAAAGTTTGAATACATCTACATAATAAGCATTGCAGTCAAGATCTAAAATCGCGTAAGATGCCTTTCAACTTACTTCCTCTCACTGAGGAGATCATATAGCTTTCCTCCATAAATCTCAAAAAAGCTGACAAACAACTGAAACCCTTGGTTTCTGTATGTGTGGTGCATCAACCTCAGGATGTCCCTTGAAGCTTTTAAAGGCAAAGGCTTCATAGTATAGGTTTTTCCACTACCTGAGAGGCAAACATAAAACCAAAGATTGTTCACATAGAAAAAATGGGTAAAAATATAGTTAAAGCAGACTACTCTTTGTTTTCTGATAAGTGGATGTTGTTTATCGCGTTTCAAACAAATTTCACAATTAAACTGAAGAGGCTTTTACAGGCACAGTTTGGGAAAGTAGAGTAGGCCTTAACCTCCCACAGCAGAAACGCATGCCAAATACTTTAGATGGTGGATCTTAAGGTCTTGCTATTAGCTTGTCAGATTTTCCAGGAAAGTGATCTTGTGTATTTATGATTCCTTTGGAGATAATTTACCTGTTTGCCCATATGCAAAGCAAGTAGCTTTGATGCGCTGAAATATCAGGGGGACTACAGGCTCCACCGTCTCACGATAAACCTACAGAAATTTGAAAAATAAGGGCCAGAATAGTAATTGATTATTATGTAAGTAAGGTTTATTCCAGACTCCAGAGTTATATTCAGTCCTGTTACTTTCAAACAGCACTTACCTCATCATTTGAAACTTCCTCATCTAGCACGGCATCAAACACAAATTCATGCTTTTCAACATAAGCAGTTAAGTCAACCTGCAATAATGTAATAATAGGTCAGTCTTATTGTCTTCCTATGGTGATGACTCAGACACTTGAGATTGCATGAATCCAAACCACCAGAAACTAACCTTAAGTTTTGTTTCATGAACTGTTAAGCAATTGGAATGGGTGTCAACAATGTCTTCCTCGTTTTTTGTTGACTCTTTTTTGTTAAGTGGTCGCTTCCGTACCTGTTCAAAAACGATAAGGGAACATCATGATACGTTATGGATTAGTATTTACAATACTCAAGGCAGAGAAAATAAAGTGATTCTATGTAGGAACTGAAGGAAAGAAAACGTACAACAACTTTGATCTTTGCAACAGCGTTCATCCTCTCCTTCTCAGCAGCCAAGTTTTCAGCCAACACGCGACTACGGTTAGGCTGCTTGTTGTAAGCTTCAAAGTCATCAAAGCTTTGGGCTTGACTAGGATTGAAAAGTGAGGGGCCATCTAATTGGCTAGAGACTGGAATCTGCTGATAAGATAACAAAGTTAAAAGCCTATACAATATGACCACAATGGCAAATGCAATGGATTCCACATATTTATCTGATGTTAAGCAGAGAATCAAATAACCAGATGGTGTCATATAATTCTTTTATAGGTTTTATCTTCAAATTGGTTAGCAGGTAATACCCATGATATGGTCACAGAGAAAATAAAATTTCTTTTACTAAAAATAGTCCAATAACCTAAAAGTGCAGTGTAAAGAGTCCACTCTTCCAGCAAGCAATCAATTTTATAGTTGTCCACCTAAATGCAGCTGACATTTAAACAAAGGTACGAAAATAAAAGCTTGAATTGCAGGTCTGGTCTGTTACTAGCATATGTAAATGGAAAATAAAAAACGCACCAAAAGGTTATGAATTACACTAATACCTACCTCAGGAAGAAGCTCAGTATCAAAAGAATGCAGATCTAAGAGCCCGGGACTAAACTCAGATTCATCATTGTTCTTCCTTTGGTTCGTGGGACGAGCACCGTATTGAGGAGTAGTGGGTTCTCCAAAGAAGTCATTACCTCCATTAAACCCTCTCTGAGCATTCTGGTATCCTCTGGTTGCTTGACCACCACCTTGTCCACCAGCATAGTATCCATAATCCTGTTAATAATCACACCAGCAAGTTAAAAAAAAAAAAACATCTCATAACACTAAACTTGGGTTCGCAAGTCTCATCGAGAAAAAATGCATAATAAACAATAACTCAAAAACAAAATTTCCGAGAACTTCAGATCGGAGAATTTTCATTAAAAAGATATAGAAACCATCTGAAGTAACAGATCTTCATAGAAACTTGGCAGAAAATTCAAATCGATGGAAAGATAGGGAGGAGAAGAAAAAGGATCAGATTCTGGGATTACATTGGCGGATGACTGGAAATGCTGAAGACCAGTAGATTGAAGCCATCGGCCATTGGAGGAAGACATGTCGAGAGGGTTATCGGAGAGCTGCCTCTGGTGATGCACAGCCGCGGCGCCAGATCTCTGTCTTCCGTTCATGACCTCTAGCTCGAATCGGAGCTCCAAATGGATCCTTGAATCGGATCTCTAAACAACAATCTCCTAGACGCCGAAGCAGCTTTGGTTTCTCTCTCGATATCTCTATCTCTCTCTATCTAACCCTTTGTTTCTCTTCTCTCTCTCTCTCTCCACAAGTTCAAATTAAAGCGCAGAGAAGAGGAGTAGTAGAAGAGAGAGAGTATATTTTTTTTTGGTTGGTCGCTGTATCTTATTTTCTCTGACGCTCCCTTAAACTTGATTTGTATATGTCGTTTTAGTTCTTCCTAATTATTTAATGAGAGATTTGTGGACCAATTCAAATGGTTTACATACTTTATGGGATTTAGATTAAATATGATATTTATAGTTACTATGCCAAGATTTGGTAAATGTTAGTACTAAACAAACAAATAACGTTTTTGAATTCTAAAGTAATGGTAAAAAATTTATAGTCGTTTTTGACCCAAAATTTTCTCACACTAAAAAGTATATAAATAAAACTGTTTATAAATCAGGATTAGTTTTTTTCCAATCCGGATTGTGTGAAGTAGTTTTTGTTTTTATCTTAAATAAAATGTTTATATTATATTCTATACGAGACCGCGATGATGGTTGGGTTATTCAAGTTTTGAATTTTGCCGATAAAAAAACAAAAGTGGTGGTATCGCCCCACTCAGTTGTTTGTAATTCGTTGTAAATGTATCACATCAACCAAATGAGTTATGCATCAAACATATGAGAGATGCAATGCATAAAAGTATCTTTCCCTCAAGTAGAAGAAATTGAAGGGAATGTATAAGAATTAAGAAGCACTCATCGAACAAACAGAACACAAAAGAAGATATCAAAGTCATACAATACATATTTTGAAGCTTGAGCACGAGTAGTAGTCTTCTATATATGCATACTATTGGTCACAGATATCAAAACGTCGTCACAATATTAATTTCCCCCATAACTGTCGGGACTTACTTGTATGTACCAAAAAGAGGGTTGATATTTTGAAAAATTCGCATGGTTTTTTCATACACTTGCAGCTTCATATCATATCATATAGGCATGTGTTCAATCCATGTTCCCACCATTTACTCGTGTCTACAACTCAACATAGATGAAATTTGTGATCCGATTATCGAAGTTTCAAATATCACTCAGATATTCTTTCTTTTCTATGGTAATGACGATTTAAAATAAAGTTTTTTTTAATAGATTTGAATCATTGTTTCTTAGCTCCTTGTTGGCCACTGAGATATTTTTTTGTCTCATCTAAAGATATATAATACAAGTTTCAGAACTTTATATGATTATTCATCAGTGGTAAGTGGCAGAAGCGGGAGAGTAAGATTTACGTACTCAATCGTATTCAATTACTACAAAAAAACCGTGAAAACAAAAACACAAATAGCTGGAAGAAGCAACCTGAAACACGTGAGGAGCACTAAAACGACGCCGTCTAGTTCGTGACAATTCATTTATATAACATGGTGGGTCACTATGTAAAGACAGTTGTTAGATTCACCCCCTCCCCCTTTATCTGGGAAAAATGTCAGAAAAAGTCCGAACTTTCAAATTTAGGACAAAAAAGCATGAACTTTCGAAATGTCAATTAAATCATAAAGTTTGGTTTGATTTTTCGATAAAATGTTCAAGTTTCGTTGACTGGGTCATTTTGAGCACGACGTTAACTTTCCGTTAAAAAAAATAATAACGCAGTTAATTTTTCGTTAGAACCAAAACGACGCCGTTTAGTAACTTTTAAAACGTGGTCCAATCTGAATCCGTGGGGAATCGAACTCACGACCATGTGTAGTTGCAACCTTCAATCAACCATTGTCCCACAATAACCTTTTAGTACCAAACACACAGCTGTTCTATATATATACACGTTAAATATATATTTATTAAAAGTAACAATTTTTAAAAAATTATATATATATATATATATATATATATGATCTCTAAATTAAATAAGAATCCAAGTTTTAATTGAAACTTCATTTTTAAACTCAATCAACCTCCTTTCAAATTAAAAAATTTACGAGTTTCAATTATTTTTAAGATAATATTTTAATAGTGTTAATGGGTTTTGAAATTCAAATTCATATATGTTCTTTCAAATAAAATAGAATTATGGATTTAGTTAAAACTGTAAGTTAAATTAGATTTTATTTAAATAATTTAAGTTAACCCATTTTGAATTTTAAAATTTATGAGTTACACTTGAATTTGTTTAGTTAATTTTCTATATAATTTTTATTTACATTTTAGTAGTAAAGTGTGGATTTAAAATATGAATTAATGTATATGATTAAATGTGTTTTTTGGTTTAGTCAAAAATAAATATTATTATAAAGAGAGAGTGAAACCTTACTTTTATATATATTATTTAATATTTTGTTATTGTAATTCATTTCCTATTTATATATAAATTAGTTGTGTGGTGTGATGCTAAAAAGTTAATGCGGCCCAATTGTCATGAGTGATTTATGATTTGCAATAGCCTTGAGTTCGATTCTTCTTGATTACAGTTCTGTTAATATTTTTTTGAAAAAAGAACAATGTTTTAAAAGGTTACTAAAACGACATCGTTTTGGTTCTAACAAAAAGTTAACTGCGTTATTTTTTTTTAACGGAAAGTTAACGTCGTGCTCAAAATGGCCTAATCAACGAAACTTGAGCATTTTATCGAAAAGTCAAACCAAACTTTATGATTTAATTGACATTTCGAAAGTCTATGCTTTTTTCGTCCTAAATTTGAAAGTTCGGGCTTTTTTTGACATTTTTCCCCCCTTTATTTCGTATTTATATATTTTTTTCACGCTTTTTGGCTGCCTTTGGTTTGACTCGTGTCCACCAAATAATCATTTCGAAAAAATATATAAATATCTCTTTGGACGGTTGTCAGACGAGAAACAAGCGGGAATATCACGCGATGATGCCACGTGTTCTCTTTACATCTGACGGCTCTTAAAAAAATAAGTTCTACTTGGATGGATGGATATCATCATGGAAGCCCACTTTGTTTCCTCGTTTTTGGAATACTACGTCGTTTCTCGATTTCTTCCTAATCGGCGACCTAAATCGATTTCTCCTCTCTATCAGTGACGACGACAGTCTTATTAGAATCTTCCAGACGAAACCACACTCTTCTTCTTCTTCTTCATTCTCTCTTTTTATTTCTCCTTTGTTTCAACGCACCTTCCTCGTCTCAGATCGTGTGACTAGCGAACTCTGTTTCTCCCGCGAAATACTCTCTGTTACTATACTAACAAGCTACGAAAAATCTGACAATGGCTGATCAAGCTATGACTGATCAAGATCAAGGAGGTGCTGTTACTCTCTACAGCGGCACTGCCATTACCGACGCTAAGAAAAACCATCCCTTCTCTGTTAAGGTTGGATTAGCTCAGGTGCTTCGTGGCGGCGCTATTGTTGAGGTTTCTTCTGTTAACCAGGCTAAGATCGCTGAATCCGCCGGCGCATGTTCTGTTCTCGTCTCAGATCCGGTTCGATCTTGCTCTGGTGTTCGTCGTATGCCCGATCCCGTTCTCGTCAAAGAAGTGAAACGAGCTGTTTCTGTTCCGGTGATGGGACGAGCTCGCGTTGGTCATTTCGTCGAGGCTCAGATCTTGGAATCTCTTGCCGTTGACTACATTGACGAGAGCGAGGTCATCTCTGTTGCGGATGATGATCATTTCATCAACAAACACAACTTCCGATCCCCGTTCATTTGTGGTTGCCGTGATACAGGAGAGGCTTTGAGGCGTATCAGAGAAGGTGCTGCTATGATCAGGATCCAAGGTGATTTAACTGGAACAGGTAACATTGCCGAGACTGTGAAGAACGTTAGGTCATTGATGGGTGACGTTAGGGTCCTGAACAACATGGATGATGATGAGGTGTTCACGTTTGCTAAGAAGATCTCAGCACCGTATGATCTTGTTGCTCAGACTAAGCAGATGGGTAGGGTTCCTGTGGTTCAGTTCGCATCAGGTGGGATCACGACTCCCGCCGATGCAGCCTTGATGATGCAGCTAGGTTGTGATGGAGTCTTCGTGGGTTCAGAGGTGTTTGATGGTCCAGATCCGTTCAAGAAACTTAGGAGCATTGTTCAAGCTGTTCAGCATTACAATGATCCTCATGTGTTGGCGGAGATGAGCTCTGGTCTGGAGAATGCAATGGAAAACTTGAGTGTTCGTGGTGACAGGATTCAAGATTTTAGCCAAGCAAGTGCTTGATGGGAAGGTTCAATTCGCAAACTTTTTGGGACTTCAAAAGTTGTAATCTTTTTCTTTTTTGGTTCGACTCTCAGAATATCGGATGTGGTTTTTGTGAATGCTGGTGCAAATGATCTTTTTTCTGTTTGATCGAAGCTTGGAACAACTAAAAACCCTAATGAAAGTTGCAGAATTTTGGAGAAAGTGAAAGTCCTAGATTTATGGTTTTAATGGTTTTATAACCAGTCATGATACATTGATAAGCATACATGGGAGATTTGAGATTACATCGAGGTAGATTAGTCTTATTTCTTCCCACTCTTCTTAAGTCCTGTGCCTCCAAATGATCCTTTTTGTGACGCCTTGGCCCTGAGTTCTTTAAGTGCCTGTTTTCAAGATCATCATTAGCAATAACTGTCTCGTAGAATTGTCCAAATAATCAAAACTAAGATTAGGGAAAACTCTACCTTCTCTTCATCCTTCTTTTTCTGCATTAACTCCATTTCGTGCTACATTTGAAACAGAGCAAAAAAAACGTTGAGCTATAAACAAAATGGCATAAACCAACCACAAACTTGCCAAAAGAAAAAAAAGGGCATAAAGCCATGAATCAACCAAAACTTGGCTAGAAAAACTGTTTCCAAGATAAAAGGGTAATTAGCGAGTTGAAGAAACATATATACCTCATCGTACTCCTTCTTACCAGACTTAGGCTGCTTCAATGGCTTCAATTTCCCTCCTGGGATACCAATTAAGAAACCGATCGGTCAAGAATCACATTACATTAAGAGCACACAAGATTGGCAGATTGATCGATGAATTTGTGAGATCAAAATAGAAAGCTAGCACATTATCAACAGAAACTGCTAAAGGAAGATATAGATCAATATGATCGTAACAAACCGAGATAACATAGATATGAGAAGAAGGAGGATCATAATAACCTTGTTTGGACGACATGGCTGAATATTAGGGTTAGGGATAGACCTGAAACTCGAAGACAACAGAGATTATAACTTTCTTAATTCCCAAAACACAAAGAAATATCTCTGTTTCTTCGAGTTTAGATAATTGGTTTTGTCCAGCCATGTCGTGTATATATAGTGGTAAGAATGAATACACGCGATCACTCCGGGCCACAGAAGCGTATCCACGTGGAAAGTCCAATTTGTATTCGAATTCAGAATTTGGGGAATCGCTATAATAAGCAAGTGTAACATAACGAGAAAATTATCCAACATACAAGTAAAATAACTTTTACGTATTAATGAGATGAGATTCATATACGAACTATCTGGTTTTCCTCAATTCACTCACTAGCTTCACCTTGCTTCCATTACTGTGATAGTAACTCTATTGGCCGATACATTTTCTACCTCCTGTGGCTCAACATCCATCTCCGGTGAGCTTCTCCGGGGACCATCATAGAAAGCTGGCTCTTTAGGCAAACAAAGAGCATTGTTGCCGTCGCTGTATATCATCGAAACAACGTCTAACATACTTGGTCTTTCTTCTGCGCTTTCTTGTACACACAACAGAGCAACTTGTAAACATCTCAACACTTGAGGGTTAGGAACTGCAGGATCTCCCCAAGACGGATCTACGACTTCGCTTATTCGGTTCTCTCTAAACAGATTCCATACCTGAAAAACAGAGTTTCAGAGATCCAAGGACAAAACAAGCTGAGAATGTTTACAAATGATACAAGAAGAAGTTTAGCTTTTCTTACATGGACTATGAGATTTAGAGGTCCTTCTGAGTCATGGTGGAAGCTATTGTTTTTCCTTCCACAAATAATTTCGAGCATTAGAACTCCGAAGCTGAACACATCTGATTTCGCCGAGAATAGTCCTTCTCTGAAGTACTCCGGAGACATATATCCACTATGCACAGTATCAACAAAAGAAAGTCTATTAAAAAAACTGACTTGCGAATCTTCTCCTTGTTTCTAGTCACTATTGACTTACAATGTGCCAGCAACTCTTTTGGTGTTGGCTTTGGATTCTTGCGCTCCAAATATCCGAGCCATTCCGAAATCTGATATCTTGGGATTCATATCCTCGTCCAGCAAGATGTTGCTGGCTTTGATGTCTCTGTGTATCACTTTCAGTCTCGAGTACTTGTGAAGGTACAAAAGTCCTTGAATTATCCCTTCCATGATCCTGAACCGCAGCGTCCAATCCAGAACGTTTTTTCTCAAGGGATCTGCACAGATTCAACAATATTTTTTCAGATAAGGTTTCTAAAGATTCTTAGATATTTAAAGGAAGCTCACCAAAGAGGAAGTAGTCAAGACTCTTGTTGGGCATGTATTCATAAATCAACATTTTCTCGTCCTTCTCTACGCAGCATCCTAGCAACTGAACAAGATTTGTGTGCTGAAGTTTTGCAATAAGCATAGCTTCGTTCTTGAACTCCACTAATCCTTGTCCGGATGCTAATGATAGTCTCTTGATAGCCACTTCTTCCCCATCTGTTAACTTCCCCTTCAAGAGTGTAGCGTAAACGTTAAAACATACTTAATTTAATATCAAAATCTGAAGAATCTGGACTGGACTACCTTATATACAGGACCAAAACCTCCTTCACCGAGCTTGTTTCCATCAGAGAAGAAATCTGTTGCCAAGGCAACACTTTCAAAACTAAAGATCTGAAGTTCATTATTATTCTTCCTTGCACTTCTCTTGCCTCGGCGGCTCCTATCAATTCCCAATTCACGTAGTAGCATTTCTTGGTCTATAGTTGGACCAACCCTCAATGTTGGAAGCCTCCTCCGTATACAACCAATAACTAGCAAAAAGCAGAAACAAAATCCCTAATTCAACATGTACATTATTCATATATGCTTATACAATAACTATTCAGCTGAGCCTTACTTTGTGGAATGACTTTTTCCCATAAAAAGTAGAACATCCCGCGAAATATAACAGTTACTGGATTAAAAAGACACAAAAAGGTAGTGAATTTATTAGTAAGAGAACACGATTGACAAGGAAACATTTGAGTGATCCTGATACAAAATTTTACCTTTTATTTTAAATTTCCTTAGAACAAGATAGATGATAAACCAAGTCAGAGGTATAATTAGGAATAGTGATGCCACAACAACTAGCCAAGTTGCCGCCTTTTCGTTCTCTTGGTTTACTAAAACTCCTGTATTCCAGAAAACAACATAGATATGCTCTAGTTATACTGACATTTAAATAAAAGGTAGATAATATATTTCCAGAACTTGTATACCTTTTAAACGAATATATATAGTTCTGGGACTTTGAGAAGACGACTTTTTGTTGGTAGGATCACTATTCCAGATTTCGCAACCCGTACCATCCAATTTGGTTGAAGCATAGGCAAGACAAGAAGAGTTAAGCATACATATAGCATGACAATCAGCTGAACTAAACCTTCCACCAGTCTCACTAAGTACAAATCCATTGCTGGAGAAAGCCGATATCGTCTCTCTGAAAGAATAGCTTAGCCCATATGGGTCATATGGGACTATGCAACCTGCGTACAAACAATCTCTAGTATCCTGCCTGTAACACTTCCAGTTACTTTCTTCAGTGAAAGGAGGACAACGAACATGCAAACGCTTGTCCAGCCTGTTTATATGCAAATTTCCCTGTTGGTCTATCATTATAGCGGGAAAAAATGTTTGGGCATCGTATTGTTCACTTGAATACATAAAATAGTGTTCAGTCTCGGTTGAAATGAAGGTTAAGGGCAATTCTTCCAAAGAAAATCGACCCTTAAACCAGAGCCCACTTGCCCAATACATGTTTCCACGCCACGAGATGGTCAATAGGTTGGGAATATTGGCATCCATCCCAAAGACAAGAGATCCAGAAGCAGGTAAAGTATCACCTAGCCATGATGTCAGTTCCCATCTCTTCCCGGTCTTGACATTGAAACCAAGTTTCATCCCAGGGAGAAAGGTATCTGTTGGATAATCAAAACTTTGCCACAAAATCCGCCTCATCGATCCATCAGAATCCATCTCCTGGAGCTGAAGATTTCCAGAATCCAAAAGCTTAAGGGTTGTGTTTCCTGTGGTTTCCGTAGAACTCAGCTCAAGAAGGCTTGATGCTCCTCTTAAAATACTCAATCTGCCAAGAGAGTCCACTGTAAGGCTTCCAGAGCGTCCCAAAATAGGATTGTTACGGTTAGCAATCCAAACAGCTCTGTCATAGATATCACCATCATACTTCTTATTACCACTAAGATAAAAGTTGTTGTACCAAATTCCAAGATACCAGCTGCTTGAATTCTTGAAGTTGAAAAACTTGAGCTTGAAGATACTGAAAGGCGAATTTAGCTCTTTCCCATCTTTCAAGTACTGACCCTGCAGTAGCGTATCTGTTGCACAGCATGATTGCCCTAACAAGAGAGACAAAGTAAAAAGAGTGAGAAAGAGGCCATTTGACCACATAGTTTCAGAAAAATCTGAAACTTGGAAGATGGATAATCTGGGAATCGATTTCTCTCAAAAGTGGTTGTCAAGACATATCTCATTTATGGCCAAGTCTAATTCAGAAGTCCAAGTCTACGCTGGGAGGCAAATTTGAAGTCTTGTTCGTTGAAGTTTCCCAGCTACAACTGCTTCACACAAAAAATTACCAACAAAATAATGCTGACAATGACCAGAAATTGAAAGTTGACCCTTTCATGCAGAGATAACCCAAAACCATTTGCAGCAATTTGTTTTTTTTTTTTTAAATTTTTATCGAACATTATGTCCTTCGGAGGAAGACAACAGGAAGGCAACAAAGTTACAAAGGAGGGAAACAGAGTTGTGTTTGATTTTTTTTTTTTTTCATAAAGACAAAAGTTCTTCCACCAGATTCATAAAATCCCAAATACTGATATAAATTAGTCCAAAAGCATGTTGTTGATAGAATTAACAACAAAATTAGTATTCCAAAAGTTTCTTGAATTGATCGAATGGAAAAACACTGGGAGCACAAAATAAAAACCCAATTATTAGTTTTACGGTAGGAAAGAATACAAGAATCGGACTAGAAAGACACAGGAAAACTGTATATCTCACCGGAAACTCTTCAAGCACAGCTGGTTGACTGATGGTTAATGTTCTGACAAAGGAGATGACATGAGTCATGGATCCGATTTAGAAAACCAAGCAAAGTTGATGCCAAAAGTAAGCAAGTTTTTAACGTTTCTCATCACATCCAGACTAAAAGAACAAAGAACTTAAGAGAAGGCATGCGGGAAGATCTCTTTGGTTGTTGTAAGTTCTTCGAGATCCACTTCTCTCAAGTGACCATTTATCTCCAATGAAGTAAGCTGTGTTGCGATTGCTTTCCGATACGTTTTTATCTTCATCTAAAACAACCATGGCTCTCTTCTCCTCGTCAATAAGGAAACTCCCACCACTATAGAACCAAAACCCGGTGAGTGGATCCACATCCACCGTTAAGAACTTGCTCAAGGACAATGCATTGGGCTCAATCTTGGTCGTAATTCAAATCTCCACTTCATGTGTATCACAGTTCTGAAACAATACCGCAAGCTGCTCTTTCTCTAACACTAGATAAAATCACGTCATCATCACTATAAGACTCAAAAAGCAGATGCAGACGCGGTCCAAACCTCTCTGTCGTAAAATCGAAACAGAGTAAGAAATCAGAGACGTTGTCTCGTGATTCCTTATCCGTAGCATACCAGTACGTATTCCCCTTCAAAGACAGACCATAGTGATCATTGATCAAACTCTACATCCCAATCGTTGAGGCTAATAAGATTACCTCTAGAATTCACAGACAGATCAAAGCCATTGTGGTGAATTCGGTTGAGGCTCATCAAATAAACACTATAATTGATCAGCACAACTGCCTGAAGCTCACCTCCTCTTCTCACTGCTTAAGCCGCTTGAGCAAGATGCTTCTTTGTAGAGCTCTCATCTTTAAATAAAGAATTCCACTAACCGTAAGTAAATCGCACTGCTCTCGTAGATGTCACCGGAACCCTAGAGACAATCTCCATTACCAAATCCGACCTTCATAAACTCTTTTCCTACCAGATTTTTTTCCGGCGATCGATAGTTTCACGATTGAAGACGGAGAGGTGCTATACGACGAATATGGGCTTATCATGGGCTTTTTAGAATCTATAACTTGGGCTCCATTTATTTACTATTTCTACTTTGGATTCTAAAGTGTGTTTAATTTTTACAAACTATACATCAATCTTCAATTAGTAGGAACATGATGATGACTAAAGAGCTTTTAGCATTTGGTTATGTGAAAGGTAAATGAAGATATAATGTATATTTCAAAAAAAAAAAGATAATATATGCAGATTTATGTCACAAAAACAGATAATATGCAGATTTTATGTCAAAAAAAAAGATAATATATTTACTGGCCTATTAAACAATTTTGTGATTATCTGACTAATGATGTCACGTCTAAACAAAACGGCAAATATTTGTATATATGCCAACTTACACATTTTTCCCTATAAATACAATGGATATCCATTAATTGTATATCTCTTAATGATTAATGCTTCAAAATTTGCTTTATAACTTATAAGAGAAATATCTTATAATATGACGTACGAATCATTAATATATTATATGCATCACATTGCAGGATTAGCAAGTTGTAACATAGAATATGCCAACTTTAAGTACTGTATGTAATTAAACAAATCATTCTTTACTTCCGTAAGACGAGATTAGATCCTCATCAACATCATTATCATAAGATCCTAAACACTATTTAATACACACACCCAACAATACATATCACTGTCCCTAAATTTATATTCTGTTTGTCTAAAGCTTCTTTTCATCTGCTCTGATGGAGCTCTTCAGTTCAGGTATCAACAAGAAACACCTAATGCGTTCGAAGACTTGCAGTTACGATAGGATCAAAGATCTGTCTGAAGACGTTTTGAGATTGAAGAAGATCTCGAAATGGAGATTGATATGGAGGAAGATACTGATGCTGAGACAGAAGAAGAAGAATCAGATCTTCGATCATCGTGTTCGTTATGATCCTTTCACTTATTCCCAAAACTTCGAGGATGATGGAACCATTGCATATAACGAAGATCCTGATGTGTCTTCTAAGTCTTTTTCTGCTAGATTTGTTGTGTCTTCTAAAGTTTTCAATCTTAATTATTCTTGAGAGTTTTCTTTCTTGTAGTCATCATCTTTGAATTTAAGTGTTTATAGTTTCAAAACCATACATGATACATCAATCTTCAATTAGTCTATAATAACTAGGGGAAATTAGTGGGAACGTTACATAATGTTGAGTAAGAGCTTTTAGCATTTGCTTATGCAATACATAATGTTGAGTAAGAGCTTTTAGCATTTGCTTATGCAAAAGATAAAAGGAAGAACTTACGGATACTCATGTGATTCACTACAATATAAGCCGATGATTACGTGTAATCACGTGTCCTAAGTCACTGCTTATATTTTAACATTACTATATGATCAGTACACTTTTTTTTATGAAGTCTATACACATGCTGTGTGAAAGAAATGGAACAGAGTCGTAAATTTTTCAGCTTATATTTCTTTTCTTTTTTCCTTTTGTTATTCCAATTAGAGAAATCATCTCTTACAAAAATTAAGCATCTGTTTCATGATCCACATTGCCAACAGCTTCAAGTATAGATGAGTAAGTGATGGCATCATACTCAAATCCTTTATCTTTCATCTCCCTCATCATTCTTGCAGCCTCTTCAAACATTCCAGCATGTGCGAAGCATCCGAGGAGGGTATTATACGTAACACCATCAGGCTTAATACCAGAATGCTTCATAGTTTCAAACATTTCTATAGCCCGCCTCGGCACACCTGTCCTAGCAAACCCATTGAGGATGATATTATGCGAATTTATATCTGCGCTGCAACCGTTTTCTTCCATATTTCTAAGCAACGAGTTAGCTTCGTTTATCATACCAGCCTTCACCATTCCTGACATGAGGGCGTTGTAAGCGTAAACATCAGGACCACTTCCTTGGTTTTTCATCTCATTGAAGAGATCTACAGCTTCGCTGAGCTTCCCACATTTCCCAAAGTGTTTGATCATCACAGCGTATACTCGAGAACTTACATTGCCGAAATTTTCTTTTAGTTCTTTGAATAGCTCATTCGCTGCTTCATATCGTTTTGCCTTTCCAAGAGCATTTATGAGGCTGCAATATGCTGCAGGACAAGGTGGAAAACCTTTCTCATCCATCTCTTCAAGAAGCAACAAAGCTTTCTCTACTCTATTCGTTTTACAATAACCATCTATGAGGATTGAGTAAGTGAATTCACTAGGGGAAACACCGTCTGCCTTCATCTTATCAAACCAAGAACTCACTTCAGAAGCCGGTGCTTTAGACTCAAACAGAGCTTTCATCACGGTGTTGTATGAAACAACAGTGGGTACACATCTCCACTTTCCCATCTCACTGAAGACATTTGTTAGCTCCTCCACTCGACCCACTTTTCCTAAAATGTTCATCAGATTGTTTAAGAACACAACATCAGGAGTCAATCCATCTCTGAGCATGTTCTTATATAAATCATATGCTTCTTCTACCCTCCCAGCTTTGCCAAGTCCCTTTATCATTTCTGTGTAAGTATAAACAGTAGGCAAGCAACCTGCTCGTTTCATCTCCTCGAAAAGATCCAAAGCTTTCTCAACTTTACCCACTTTGAAGTAAATTCCCAACAAAGTGGTGTATATTTTCTCTGTAGGCTGCATACAGTTATCCTTCATCTCATCAAACAACCTTATCGCAGAATCATTACGGCCTAATTTTTCATATGAGGATATAAGCGCAGAGTAAGTAATCGTGTCTGGAAAACAGTCACCTTCATTACACATCTCAGTATAAACCTCATGGACTTTCTCATGCTGTCCTTCTTGCATCAACATTAGAATCACGGAGTTGTAAGTGCTCGAAGTAGGTTTGCACTTGCGTCCTTTCGCCTGGTAAAAAACCGACAAGGCTTTACTTACCATCTTTGCTCGCCCCAAAGCTTTCACAAGCTCAGAGAGAAGAGCAGGGCTAACGCTAACATATGTGTTACGGACCACCTCTTGTATCGTTCTATACATTTCACCATAAAGCCTAGCTTCTTCGAGGCAACGTATTAAGGTCATGTAAGTGGAGGAATCATGCTGAAAGTTCCTTCTTTTACCAGCCCATTTGAAAAACTGAATCTTGACATTGATCTCAACGTCTATCTCAAGAATGGAACGAACTAATCGATGATCCACTTTCAATTTAAGCACCTCCAAGGCTTTCTCAGCATCAGGTCCCCATTTGAAGATTTTCACTATCCTAATGAATCTCTCATCCAACATCCGCACTGACGGATCCTTTCTAGATAATTTCCATTTCTCTTGAGGCTTCTCCGATTCCTCAGGATTCGGAACACTAAACATCTGAACAATCTCATTCTCTGCAAATTCATGGATAAAACAAATGTTCAGATCAAAACCTTTAAACAAATGTTTCTTACTTCTAAAGGAAGCTGATTTAACACTTTTTTGCAAATCCTGTTTCCCCTAAAACCCTAAAACCATCAATTTCAAAAGAAGGCATTTTGCTTATCGACGGATAAGCGTAAGAGGAACAGAAGTATGCATAGTACCTGTTTGTTTAAATCTCTGAGAGAGATGAGGTAGAGTTGCGATGCTTCTCTTCGGGAAAATGGATCGAGCAGATATGTACAGCATCTTTATAGACGGGTTTTGTCACATGTAAAAGTCCGGTGGCGAAGAAACTCCGACGCCGAGCAATCGATATTTCGCCGTCGGTGGGTTTTAGACAGAAGGGGTTGGAGAAAAAAAAAAAGGTCAGAGATGGTGAAGAAGACGCACGTGACGCTCACGTGTTTTATTAAACCGAGCCAACCCCTGAGATTGAAGATAACGAGGCAAGCAGAGTGTAAAAGGTGGCGAGTTTTGATTGGTAAGTTATGTACACAAAGCACCGAACTATTCCAAAATTGCAGATATGCCATTGCCCTCCTCAAAGAAAAAGTTTCAATCTTTTGATTCCCAATTCCGCAGGATTTGAAGATATTTTTCAGAAATCGAAGGATAGTTCTGAATTTCTTGGCATTCTTCTTTGGGATTTGCCGAGGTTTATACTAGTCAGTACCCAAAGGAAGTTCCTTTTTTATAAACTAGTCAGTACATTGCCCTCCTGTGAGAGTTGAGGAGGATTGCTTCATTTGCCACACATTTCCAATCTCTAAGTAAGTTTACTTGGCGGCGAAGATGGGTTTCCTCATTGGAGGCTCTTGCTTCGTCCCTTCTGTTCCTCTCCACTCCAGGTTTCTTCCATCTCCTTCTTCTTCTACTTCTCCATCTCAGTTTGGGCTTCTGTGTTCGAGCAATGTCGCCAAGTTTAAGCGTCGCCGACCAACATCGGCTTCTTTAAATCGGGAAGATGGGCACGCGTACGACGCTGCTTCAGCCAAAAGGAGGGCTTTTCTTCTTGTGGGTATCTCCGTTCTTCCGTTTCTGAAGCTTCGAGCACCGGCTTTGGCTGATGAAAGTGAGTTTTTTTTTATTGCTCTCCTTTTATTCTACTTACTGCATTGATGGTCTAGTGAGTTGATGAGAATGCTCAGATGTTGCTTCTGGTTATGTTTCTTTCATTGCTGTGATCAGTTCTTCTTTTTGATTCCAGGAGGCAACGAGATAAAGACATCAAAGGTTGACCAAGAAA